CAATAATGAGAGAAACGCGCGATCAGTACGAGGCTTTGTGGCGGACTGCCGGCGCAGCAGCCCGGCGTCACCTGCGATAACGCGGCCGCGCGTTGGCTCCTGATTGGCGCGCGCACGCATCACGCAATCAGGAGCCAATCAGGCGCATAACGCATTTCGTGTGACATGCTAGTACGATTTTGGTCCCCATAATTTTCATACCCCGGGCCTATATATGTAAATCGATTCTAAAGGAGTAAACTCCAAAAAAAAATTTGCACTATTAATACGCTTTTATTAGCTTCAGACGTATGTATGTAACGGAATCTTTGAACATGGTTTTGATCCCCTTCAAAACGTCGGATTAACTCGAAATTTGGTATACTTATTAAGGACCGATGACAGTTCAATTTTGAACAGAAATTACTATAAAAGAACTTTACGTTCTGTCCAAATTATGTCTTTGTTATGTAATTATTAAACTATTATTTATTTTAAGTCTTCATTTAAAGAATATTATTGGCAGTTAGTGTTCAGAAGTAGCTGCCGTTTCGACTTCAGGAACGACCTTATATCGTGAATGAAAATTTCATAAAAACTCACCTCGTGGTCTGGTCCGGGTTTGGATGCTAATCTCGCTTCATTTAGTTGAGTCTTGAGAGCCCTGCATATTTAAAAATAATAATAATAATCTCATCAATAATTCACATTTACAACACATGTAAAGAAACTCATAGTTACAACAAAGACAGGTAGTATGAGTCATTTTTATTACTGGTGGTAGGACCTCTTGTGAGTCCGCGCGGGTGGGTACCACCACCCTGCCTATTTCTGCCGTGAAGCAGTAATGCGTTTCGGTTTGAAGGGCGGGGCAGCCGTTGTAACTTACTTGAAACCTTAGAACTTGTATCTCAAGGTGGGTGGCGCATTTACGTTGTGGATGTCTATGGGCTCCAGTAACCACTTAACACTAGGTGGGCTGTGAGCTCGTCCACCCATCTAAGCAATAAAAAAAACTGAGGACATAAAAAAATTAAAAAAAATTACAACAATAAATGCTTAAAAATCAGCTAACCGTGGTAAAATTAGGCGAAACGAGACAAGAAATAAAAAAATAAGATGACTATTAAGTACTACAAACATGACGAAGATGATAAGCTTTTTGGAGTAGTAACTCTAAAGGACCAGACTTTACCCGAGTTCTTATCTATACTATTATCATATCGGTCTTATTTTAAGTGGAGAACATATGATAATCAATCAATAACGAGCCGTTAGATCGCGCCATAAGACCATAAGATTACTTAAAGGTAAATATATCTGCCATATACGCCAGCAAATCGTCACTGTCAAACCAAAATCTGCTATATGCAAAAACTCTATTTTGAATTAACGAGTAAAAACATTTTCGTATATAATTTTATATGAAAATGAATTTTTAAGAACTATATCAAATGAAAGCTATAGATAAATATTAAAGCTATAGACACATAAGTTTTTTTTATACGGTAGATAGGGCTGTGAACTATACGAAAAGGTCAATCTCAAAAAGTGCACATAGCAGATTTTGGTTTGACAATGACGAAATATGATGTTAATATCACGGATCAACACCGAATTTGACTTTGATTGCAAAGCATAAAATTTCGATATTTTAGATCGTAATTAGACGAAAAAAAATACATGGCATGAAACAGTTTGCTTTTGAACTTTAATAAATTGACCACATATGAAACAAAATGTATCAGCATCGTATTTACACTTTCGTGACATTTTAAGTTTTTCTGGGCTTGTACAAAACACCTGATCGTTGTTTATGACTCGAGTCCCATCTAGTGGCACTGTGTAAACGTTAACACCCCACTCTCATAGCGTGGTTTTTTTTGAAAGTTTTAAAATTTATAAAAAAATTGAAAAATGAGTATTATTACTATAACTATCACAAAAGCAAACTTTATACCAAAAAAAGGTATTTTATTTTCGTTTTTGTGAATAATTAACCGGAAAAAACCTAGTGTAAACCTTAGGACAAAGAACGAATTTTTTTTGTAGAGTTGTGTTATTCCACAATTCCGACGTACATATATAAGTCCTCGGCTTGTCTCGCCTGCTTCTCGCGTCGACGCAACAGTTCGACGCAGTGCTGCAGCGTCGCCACCGTCGCGCCGCAAGTCGCTCGGAACGACGTACTCGTCGCCCGCACTTCGCCTGCGTGCACTCTGAGATCGTTGCCTACATGTACATAAGAAAATGTATTAATGATTTCTAGGTAGACCTTTTAAACGGTAGGCAGGGGCTTGACTCTGCCCCTGGCATTGCTGACGTCCATTGACTCACCATCAGGTGGACCGTATGATCGTCTGCCTACACGGCAATAAAAAAAAAGGTAACATGTTTTTTTTTTTTAATACGCTTTTATTAGCTTCGGACTTATGTGTGTTAGTATGTAACGGAATCTTTGAACATGATTTTTGAACCCCTTCAAAACGTCGGATTAACTCGAAATTTGGTATACTTATGAAGGACCGATGACAAATCAATATTTAAAAAAACTGGAATAATTGAAATTCTACTAAAAAATGAAAAATAAATAAGTTTAAAAAACTAACAAAATACGCTTTTATAGAAAATCCAACTAAAAAATAGAAAATAAATTTGAATTAAAAATAGTGTAAGAAAATATTTTATTGTAAAAAAAGCGCGGGGTGCACGGTATCACTAGTTATAAATATTTTATGAACAGATATGAGTAGAAGGGTTATTTTGATAATATCCTGAAAAGCACCCCACACTTTGTTAGTTTTTTTAAACTATTATTTATTTAGCTTTTTTTAAACTATTATTTATTTTGACTGTTTAACATTTCGAAATTAAGGCTTTTAACGTAGTTATTTGCCGTTGACTAAAACAATAGACATATTTTTTGCTGCTCGTTTCTTTGTTTACTCCCCATTAGTTTTACATTTTAAATTTTACATGTGAATACATGTGAATGTATTCCTTGCTTTGAATGTGTGAGTAAAATCTGGGAACGCATGACAGCTTCCCTACAGAAATAGGCAGCGAGGTGATACCTATGTGCGCTGTCTAGCCTTACCACAATGATTATAATTCGTGCCTCAATCTGAAAGTCGATTTGACGACCTCTAATTTAAATATTCTCATGTAAATCTGTTTCTAAGAATATATTCATAGGAATGAAGCCCGGCTGATGTTTTTACAAAACCGAAAATGGCAAAAGAACCTTACCATCGGCTAATTTAACAGCATCTATCGCATCATTAGCATCATCAATTTTTGGGTAAGAATCGATACACATATCGAAGTATTGTTGCAGTTGTATTGCTTGCTTTGACAGAAGCTCATTGTACGTTTCCAGCTCAGTGATTTTCTCTGTGAGGCGACGTGTAGAGTGACCTGCAATGAATTTATCCAATAAATATTACAGTTATGTTTTTGAAAACAAAAAGTAAGCCGATGTTAAATCAATTAACGAACATTGATTTAGTTCTGTTTATCAAAATAGTTATTCTGTACTTGACATTTAATGATAACATTCACTATGTGGGTTTTGCAAAAAAAAAGATTATTGAGGAATGAAAAAGTTTTTTTTATTTTATCTAAAATACCATATATTTAGAGCCACAAACAATGCTTATCGACGCTTGAAAGGCAAACGTGACTAAGCGAACAATAACTGCTTTGTACATGCTAATTCTAGTCACATAAATAGAGTGTTCATTGCACAAAAGCAATGTGTTCGTGCCATGTGCAATATTCATCCTCTGACTTCTTGTAAACCATTCTTCCAAAAACATAATATTTTAACTGTACCATCCATATATATACAAGAATGTTGTTTGTTTGTTAAAAAGCACCCACAATTATATAAATCGTGTGGCGAGTACTGTCAATTTAATACAAGATACCCTACTAAACTAATGTTACCAAGTATAAATACTCGTTACTACCATACAAACTGTTATCCTATGACTATCAGAATATTTAATAAGATACCAAACAGCATAAGAGATCTTCCACTAACTCAATTTAAAAGAAAATTATATTTATGGCTAATAGACAAGGCTTATTATAGTGTGCAAGAATTTTTAAATGATAAGTGTTGTACATAACAAAATATTAGAATAAGAAGTGATAGAATGTAAAAATAGATAGATTTAGTAAATTTTGTGTTATAATTAATATAAAAATAATTTAAATTTTCGCATGCCTAAACAGGCGAAATATATGAAGCTATGTCCTATATCTTGTAAACTATATTTCTGGCGAATAAAGATTTTCTTTCTTTCTTTCTTTCTTTCTTTCATAAATGATGGGCAATAACCATATTCTATTTATTATTTCTATTTATTATGAAATAAAAAAATTAGAATAAGAATTGATGTAGCTACCGTGTGACCCTGTAGACTGTAGTGAAGTGGCAGAACCATGCCTTTGAAGACCTCCTCCATTTGAGCTACTATCTGAACTTGTACCGTACCCTGATTCAACCTGTAAATTAATTACTATTTTTATAAGGTTAAATAAATAATGTGTCAAATCGGTGCATATTTGCAGTACCTCTGGCGTTGAAGATGTCCACGGGCGACGGTGACAGTTCACTGTCAATTGAACAGCCCGCTCATCTGCCTTCAGTGGCTAGTGAAAAATACAAATTCCAATTTACCACTAATTTCACTTGAATATCTAATTTCATTTCCATTACTCATTATTCATTGTTAAATTATAAAATTATCATCAGATTGTTTTCCTTAAAACTTTTCTTTCTATTAATAAGTTATTAGTTGCTGTAGACGGACTATGTTGGTAATTCCTGGCATTTTTAAAACTCAAAATGATGAAAATAATACCTGCTTAATCTAAATGCTGATTACATAAATTGTAAATTATGAATTTTGTTATCAGATGATATAAATGTTGATAAAAATAATGTGCCAGGCTTGTATGGATAATAGTTTGCCAAAAGATTATTTGGAATATGAATCATTTTGTTACAAATTCACTTGTATTGAATATGTTACACTCACTTCTATATATTGACCTGATTTTTATTTAATAGACTGAAGTTCAATATACTTTATAACTTGACTGCAGATAAATTCACAGCCCATTGAAATTGGCAGCTCACAAATAATAGTAATTCTATGTCCCAATTTAAAAGCTAATAAATGCATAAAATGAATGATGAATGATAATTAATGATTTAATACATGCAAATTACCTAATATATATTTTATCTATCATACAATTAAAGTTCATATTTATTTATAATTTTCTCAATATGGATATTAAAAGACAATTGTTTTTCTTTCTTGATTACACAGCATGTTGGTTAGTAAATGTGATTATTTAAAAAATCTAAATATCTAGCCATAGACATCAGTAGCTTCACTATGACCCTAGCACTACTGAAGTCCAGATGAGCAGCAGTAACTACTTACCATCAAGCGGGATGCATGCCTACAATGGCAATACAAAAAAGTTAACCTGACTGATTGTTTATTATTTTATTCATTTATATTATGAATTTTCCTTTATTTTAGTACCTATTTTAATGAACGACATTAACTTCATTCATCGTTATTAAAAATGTACCTATGAATTGTTATATTTTCGTATTTTTTAAATATTTAATAGACTTAAATGAACATTATAAACTAGTATCAACTAGTAAACTATAAACTAGGAAGACTTACTTTGAAAGACTCTAGAATATCAATCCATTGCTGTTTCTCCTCTGGATTAGACGCTCTTAAGTACCAAACGCAGTCGCTAACAGAAACATCGAATCTACAGTCATCAAACTCGTGAGGCTGGAAATAATAAACATAAAAGCAATCAAGGCTATCCGTAATACTTGATATTCGCACGGTTCATGCATCGACAACCGAAACTTGTTAAACATTAAATAAATCTTATAAAAAACTGGGCGCCGCAAGGACAAATTAATTTCGTTATCTGTCTAGCTTTGTTCAAACGCAATGAATACTCACCTTGACTTTAGCTTTTTTCAGACATAAGGCACCGCGGCATCCTAGATTACTTTCGAGTTCATTCTTGTAATAAGATAAAGTAGAATCCTTAAGGACAATAAATCTATCCTGCCAGCCGTGTATATAGTTTGTCCATTTGCTTAGGTATCCGCGAAGTTCAGGAGTTCCGCCCTCTTCTAAATCAGAACTATCGCTGACTGTGATGTTTTCGTCAATCATATTGTGTTACGTGTATGGAAGTGTTAACATTAAATCAACTTTAAACAAAATGACACCAAACAATTAAAAACCAAACTTTTATCTGATATAATTCCGTTTTTACAACGATTTGTTGCTTGTTGCCGTTTTTTTTGACATTAGCTGAGGAACTGCCATAGAGTAAAATAATAAATTCTTCTCCATTTTTTATTTTTTAAATAATTCCGAATTTAAGATCTCTCATAGCACCTACATCATATTTCTTAGAATTGATAAAAATACCTTGTAATCATCAGACATTTAGGTATAAAGAATAATTTGGAAATTACAAACACCTGCATTTTTTTACCTATTAAGCGTTAGATACGATTATTTATTTATTAAGTTATGAATTTAAGGATGATAAATGTTTTCTTTCCATTCACACTCAATTAAGTACACTTTTTAGATTAGTTGTATTAAGATGTTAACGTATCACATAATATAATTCGACACGACGTCTAAGGTACCACCCCTTTCGCAGAATAAGTCTTTTTTATTTTGAACTACATCAAATCCCGCGCTAATTTGTTTTAGCTCAATAATACATTTCGTGTAAAATGTATTTGCATGAAACATCATATTATTACGAGCTCGAAATTAACCTTATTTCTGCAGTTGCTGCGTGGTAACACGTCGTATTGAGAAATCTCTATTAAAATATTTTGACAGCTTGTCGTAGACTCTTCCCATCGATCACGTATAATCAAACTATTTGAACTAGTTGAAAATTTCAGTAACGCTCTAATTTTATTGTTTATTCCACAATCTATACTATGTTATCACTCGAACCAAGACACCGGTATGGTGATAAGCCCGATCTGTAATCGACATCAACCCCACGAAAAGCACAGCGGTGCTCTTCAAAAGGGGTCGCCCTCCGAACACCACGCTGAGCATCCCTCTCCCGACTAGGCGCGTCAATACCCCCGCCCCCGCCGTTCGCCCAATCACGATGTTCGACCAGCCCATACCGTGGGCCCCGAAGGTCAAATATTTAGGCGTCACCCTCGACAGTAGGATGACATTCCGCCCCCACATCAAGACGGTACGCGACCGTGCCGCCTTCATTCTAGGACGTCTCTACCCGATGATATGTAGGCGAAGTAAAATGTCCCTTAGAAATAAGGTGACACTCTACAAAACTTGCATACGCCCCGTCATGACCTATGCAAGTGTAGTGTTCGCTCACGCGGCCCGCACTCACTTAAAATCATTCCAAATTATTCAATCCCGTTTTTGCAGGATAGCCGTCGGAGCCCCGTGGTTCGTCAGGAACGTCGACCTCCATGACGACCTGGACTTAGAGTCCATCAGTAAGTATCTACAGTCGGCGTCGATGCGCCACTTCGATAAAGCGGCACGACACGAGAACCCTCTCATCGTGGCCGCCGGTAACTACATTCCCGATCCTGCGGACAGAATGGAAAGCAGTCGACGTCGCCCAAAACAGGTCATCTCGGATCCTCCCGATCCACTAACGGTGCTTTTAGGTAGTTCAAGCACCGGTCACCGTTCTCGTCGAACCCGTCGCTTGCGACGAAGGGCTCGACGAGTAAATTAACTCTCAGACACAGCCCACTGAGTTTCTCGCCGGATCTTCTCAGTGGGTCGCGTTTCCGATCCGGTGGTAGATTCTGCGAAGCACGGCGCTTGCTAGGGTTCGTGTTAGCATCGTCGTCAGGTTTGAGCCCCGTGAGCTCACCTACAAACGTTAGGGCGAAGCTGAAATAGCCTCTCAAGGCTATCATAGCATAGGTAGGAAAAAAAAAACCGATCCGTATGATTGCTGACTAACGACCGCGTAGTGTGTAAGTTGAAGTCGTCGTGCCCTAAAGAATAAGACGTCTGGTGCATTTGTATCGAGCGATGAAACGGTTGAAGGTCGGTTTGAAGGGTGGTGCAGCCGTTGTAACTATACTGAAACTTATATCTCAAGGTGAGTGGCGCATTTAAGTTGTAGATGTCTATGGGCTCCAGTAACCACTTAACACCAGTTGAGCTGTGAGCTCGTCCACCAATCTAAGCAATAAAAAAGGTCACATAGACAGATATTCAATTAAAACCGTAGCGTATATACGTAGCGTTTTTAAGTATTGTGTACAAGAATGAAATTTTAATCAAAAAATATTTTTTTACGTGGCTTGTTTTCTTTTTAAACAGCGAATAAATTAAATATGCATATTGCAAATTAAATATGCTTAAAGATAATACACCTAAATTATGTAGGTAGTGAATATGGATCATAGTGTTAGTATCTTTACTCCATGTAACTCTATGATATGGATAAAGTGCAAAGAAACAATTTATTTAGTTAGTAAGTAGTTTAGTTTAATAGAATCCCTACATTAAAATTAGATACATCGTCTCTTGGAGAGCAAACAAGTTTTAGGCCTGCATTAGCATTTTAACCGAGAAGTAACAAAAATTTAAACAAGCTCTATTATTTTATTTTGTTAAAATAAATATTCGCTCCTGGCTTTTACACCCTGTCGCACATTATTAATTGGTACTCTTGCATCATCATAGTTTTTATTAGTAATATGCTATTGATGATATCTACTGTACTTGACTTAATTTCTCAGCTTTACACTGCCATCGTGCGTGAACAATACGTTTCATACTCGAAAGCATTTCATACTTTTTTTAAATAAGTCTATGCTCTATGTATGCTCAAAAGCAGCCAGAATAAAAAAGGAAAGAAATTGTCTCTGCTCACAGCACGTTTTGGGCCGGATATGAATTCCTATTCGCCGTGAAGATGATTGAACCTGTACTTTATTCTCATTGGCAGGAAAAGTGAAGCCGCCAAAACTGTTTTCGAATCACCAATAAGGTACTAGGATTTTGACAAAAAGCGTTATATCCGTTCAAGATGGCCGACAAAACTATACCTATTTTTGTTCCATCAGAAAAGCCTGTGAAACTCGCAAAGTGGAAAATAAAACAAGGTACTGTGGTAACACAAGGCCAAGTATTATTTTTATACAAAGATTTAGCGGGCGATGGTGAAGAGTTAAAGAAATTTAAATCATCACACGCTGGTACTGTGTCATCGATCAAGGTGAAAGAAGGAGACGTAGTAGAACCTAGGTAAGTGACGTCATGATAACAACGATAAAATAAAAACGGTGCATTTAATTCATGATAAAATGTCTAACATTTATGTCATGTTTTATTCTCATTAGATGTGAAGCATATTATTAAAGCAACGCCATTGTTGCAAATCCATTTTATCGATTGAGCGCCAATTTTGAATGTTGAAAACATTTCCCGCCCTGCATGAAATAGCAGCTCGGCTGTGCCATTAACATTGAGGATGTTTTTAAGCGACGGTGATCACTTAACNAATTCATGATAAAATGTCTAACATTTATGTCATGTTTTATTCTCATTAGATGTGAAGCATATTATTAAAGCAACGCCATTGTTGCAAATCCATTTTATCGATTGAGCGCCAATTTTGAATGTTGAAAACATTTCCCGCCCTGCATGAAATAGCAGCTCGGCTGTGCCATTAACATTGAGGATGTTTTTAAGCGACGGTGATCACTTAACATCAGGTGGGCGATACCATCGTCTGTCTGACTTTAATTGCAAGCAATGACATCTTCGACTTTATTTTGTAAAGAATGTTATTTTTAAATTTGCTTCTAATGTACAATGTAAAATTTTATATCTGCCATAATATATTTATCAGACGATGTTATCGATTGTTTCAAACGTAGTATTTTGCGTTTACAGTTCGGCTGTAGCAGATTTGGAAGAATGCCGCCATCCAACAGTGATGATGGAGATGTGCGCGGAGTGTGGAGCAGACCTCCGCAGCGAGGAGACCAAGAAGCTGGACGTGGCCATTGTACCAATGGTACACTCTGTACCTGAATTAAAAGTAAACACTTTTGATTATGTCAATTACTCTGGAGAACAATTTACAAAATGTATTTATTTTCTGATGACAAAACCTAGTGGTAATAACATTTTATGAAAAGCCATTAGATCAGTTTAATTAAATAGATAAACAGTAGGGACAGCTTTAATTTAAATGAGAAGCTCCACTGAAAGATAATGCAAAAAATTCTAAAATATATCCTGAACTTTCTTATGTTAATCTTAATAAAAGCCCTGGATTTGGGACTCATATCACAGTTTGAATGTGAAATGTCATTGTCTTCAAAATCAAAAATCTCACGTCTCAGATTTCATGTAGATCTTGATAGCAAATTATACCATCAATGTATATAAATCAAACTTAAACATATACATAATTACAATTTAGTGTATGTACCTACAACACCTTGAGATTAGTTACCTGGACTGTGATATCCATACCCTATTTTCAAACTACATTCACAGGACAGTATTTATTAACAATATTTACAAAAGTCACGCGGGTGGTATTTGGAGATCTACAATAGGGATGTCATACTCAAGCTAAAACTAGATTTAGTAATTTTTTGATTATATTTCAAATTTCAGGTGTCTGAAGAACTGGCACAAAAACTAGGTAAAGAGGATGCTGAGCGTCTTCTGAAAGACAGGAAATTAGTACTTCTGGTAGATTTAGATCAAACATTAGTTCACACTACTAATGACAATATACCACCCAATCTAAAGGTGAGGGGTTTTTATTTTTCTACTTCTATGCAATTGATTCTTCCCTAATAGTTTGAAATTGTGATTAAATAATATGTGATTTCATTAAATAAATACTGATACTATGTATACAATCTAATGTAATATGATTTTTTTGTTTCTTCAGGGAGTATTACACTTCTTCCTAAGAGGACCTGGAGGGCCAGGGCGTTGGTGTCATACGAGGCTTCGACCACGCACTCAAGAGTTTCTTGAATCAGCAGCAAAGAACTATGAACTTCACATATGTACATTTGGAGCCAGGCAATATGCACATGCCGTAGCTGAGCTCCTAGATCCGGAAAAGAAATATTTCTCACATAGGATACTATCCAGAGATGAATGCTTTGATCCTAGAACTAAAGCAGCCAATCTGAAGTAAGAATGATATTGCTAAGTAAAAGGCCTTTCCAACATTTTCAATAAGTTTTTTCTCTTGATGAGAGAATCAGTTGTGGATATTCAGTATAATCTGAATCAAACTAGGTTTATTAATAGACTAAAAACAGCTTTAAATTTATCAAATTGTGCTGACAGATAGAGTTTTATCTAACTTTATCTATTAATTATCTAATCAACACTTTCTTTTGTAACTTAATACTTTTTTAATAAGAAATAATTTGTGTGGACAAAATATTCTAAAATAATGCCTTTGTAAAGTTAAAATCTCTGAGTCCCATATCAATCTTGAATATTCATAACCAAAATTTTTCTAACGTATATAATTAATTGTTTTAATTGTGACTATTGTACTTTTTTGACATTTTTTTATGAACTATAATTTACAGAGCACTGTTTCCTTGTGGTGACAATATGGTTTGCATTATTGACGATCGGGAAGATGTGTGGAGACATGCTGCTAATCTAATTCATGTCAGGCCTTACTCCTTTTTTCAATCGACCGGCGATATCAATGCACCGCCACCAAGTAAGAATCTCGTAAAAGAGAATATGAAATAAAATATTAAAACTAATAATTCTGGATTAACATACAAGTTTCAAATTTAAGAATGTTTGAATCTCACTTGTAATCCATACATTAGTAATAGTCCTTCTGAAGACTTTCTTTTGTATAGCTTAAAAAAAAAGACAGATACGAGGACAACATTTTTTTTGCTAACAAACACCTCGTAGTCCACTTGGTGTCTAGTAATTTGTACTATCCACCTAAAGATGAGATCAAAATGGTACTATGACGGTAGTATGGTTGAAACCGTAATGCATGACTGTTGCAAGGCAGGATGATGGTTACCTGCCCCCGTGTGATGAAAATGTCATATGACTAATAATATAATTTAAAATGTTTACCCTTTCTGATCTTCATGAGCTCTCAGACTACATCATAGCATAAATATCAACACTCACTATCCCATTGAAGATTGATTAACAACTATTGGGCACTGGTTATCGACCGATTGCCTCATGGCAGAGGGTTTCAACTTATTGAGAATAAAGATAATTACTGGTCTTACCAACATTATTGCTAACATTATTATTAATTATGGCAATATTGTTGAAGAAACAATATTAACAATTAATTAAGTTATCTGTTTAAAAAAAGAGGTTTTCACTAGAAATTACTTTGCCAACTTTTCTTGTTAAAAACATCTACACTTTACCAATGAATATATTTTCTGAGTTTATTTTCTTATTTGATTTTAGTTGAAGAGAAACCAAAATTGACGATCGGCAAAAATGGTACTCAACCACAAGTACAAGAAATGCCGACTTTAGATGCAGAACCAGATGAAAATCTAGAAAAACCTGCTAACAACTTTGAAAAACCTACTGAAGGTAGCAACGGAAAAGTCATAAAAGAAGTAATGGAAGAGAAGCCAGTTGATATTAAGGAAGGCAATGAAAAAATTGAGGAAGTTGAATTACCGCCAGCTGAGCCAGTATGGACAGAAACATCTGATGGACAGATAGAGGTGGAAGATCCTGATGATTATCTTATCTATTTGGAGGATATTTTGAAAAGGATACATAAGTTAGTATAAGTTATAAATTTAACTATGTTAAAATTTGGTTGGATGGATACAAATATAAATCATATATATTTATATATATTTACAGCTCTGAATACTTTAAAATAATTTTAGATCGTATAATTTACATGGGAAAATTTAAAAGATAAGAATGAGCACAATAACATTGTATGCATGTATAAAATACTTATTCATTTTCAGGCATTTTTATGATGTCTATGACAAAATGGGTCAGAAACAGATACCAGACCTTAAAATAGTAATACCTGAAGTTAAAAGTGAAGTGTTGACTGGAACTAGCTTAGTGTTTAGTGGTTTAGTGCCTACACATCAGAAACTGGAAACTTCTAGAGCATATCTTGTGGCGAGAAGTCTTGGTGCCGAGGTGACACAGGATTTTACTGATAAAACAACTCATTTAGTAGCTGTTAGAGCAGGTAAGATACATGTTACTCTTATTTAGTAAAAATATTTTAAATACATGTGTTTTAATATAAAGTTGTGTGAATAAAATAACCTTTTGCTATGGTTTAATCTCACTAATACTCGTAAATCAATATGCTTCATAATCACAAAAAATTCAGTATTTATGTCGACAAAAATAGAAAAACGTAAGCTTAAGTTTAAAATTTCATATATAAATATAATATGAAGGAGCTGCAATTGAACAAATATTTATCTGCAGCTCATGAAAATACATTGTTGTTTAATCGCGATCTTAGGTTCTTATGTTAAATATAAATCAATATAAAATAAAATTGTAATTTACAGGCACGGCAAAAGTAAACACAAGTAGGCGAATCACTGAGAAGAAATCCAGCAAATTACATGTTGTTACACCAGATTGGCTGTGGTCATGTGCGGAACGATGGGAACGAGTGGAAGAGAAATTATATACATTACAAAGAGGTGGACAGGTAATGTACATGTCCTACTTTGGTATTGTACGTAATGTGAAGTCGTCGTGGCCTAAAGGATAAGATGTCCGGTGCATTCGTATCTAGCGATGCACCGGTGTTCGAATCTCGCAGGCGGGCACCAATTTTTCTAATGAAATACGTGCTTAACAAATGTTCACGATTGACTTCCACAGTGAAGGAATAACATCGTGTAATACAAATCAAACCCGCAAAATTATAATTTGCGTAATTACTGGTGATAGGACCACTTGTGAGTACGCGCGGATAGGTACTACCACCCCGCCTATTTCTGCCGTAAAGTACTAATGCGTTTCGGTATGAAGGGTGGGGTGCCGTTGTAATAATACTGAGACCTTAGAATTTATATTTCAAGGGGAGTGGTGCATTTACGTTGTAGATGTCTACGGGCTCCAGTAACCACTTTACTACACCAGGGGGGCTGTGAGCTCGTTCACCCATCTATGCAATAAAAAAAACTTGTGTATAATATTTTACATATGAACAGCATTTGTTCTTGATATTTTTTTTACGCTTTTTCTTTACGTACATCTGCCACAGCGATTTTACTGCATAATGTCTTTGAAAAAAAAACGTGCGTGCAACTTGGTGCACGTGAATGAAATGAAACTTCTTTTTCGATGTGTAGTATTATGTTTTTCTTCATTTTTTATCCTTAAATCAGATTGCTTTTGTAATAGGGAATGCTGTGTATAAAGATGCGACATCCTCAACATTTATTTTATATATTTTATTTTAAATTATAGATAGAAAAATAAATTAATAAATATATATTTTTTTCTTTTTTAAATACTTCATTAAAATATGGGACGCTACTCGTTGCTAACACTCGCGCTGGCCTGTAACGGGTATACTACGCGCATGCGTTCGAGTGCCGCGCATTCACTCTAGCTCTGTCTCTGTCTATTACCCTCCCCACGTTTAACGCAACCTTGCTGGAAGTCGCATTAGAAGTTTCACTTCAAAAACGACTAAATTGCTATCATAGTAAATACATTAGAAATGTGCGAGGTCTATAATAGAACGTGGATGTGTGTGAACAGAGCAGCTGTCGTCGGCCGCCGGCGCACTGCAGCAGCCCGCCCCCGCCGCCCGCGCCCGTCGCCGCCCTCCGCCGTCGCACGCCCTCGGGACGCTTCATGGACACCATCAACCCGCTGCTGTCTTTCTCCAGCGACGACATTGCTGATATGGACCGAGAGGTAACTATCACACGCTCCCTATCTATGGCTATCTTGACGATCACAGTCGTCGTCTACGCTACGTACCAACTTCTTGAAGTAAATACGTAACTAACATGTTCGCAAACGCAAGACACGATGTAGGTACGTCCTGTAGCAAAAATGAAATCCGCAAAATTAATAGAATTGCCTAATTTAATTATCACCATTCTTTCTATTACTGCTGTAAAACAGTCAAAATTAAATCTATAGGTGAATGTCGACATTTACGTTTTGAATTATACCAATAGGGTTTGTACGAACTAGTCTATCAGCGTACAGAAATTAAGACAAAATACTACAAGTTAGTTAAAATGTGATTAATCTTATAACACTTTTTTAAAAATATTTATGATTTGTGAACTTAAGATGTAATTACTTAATGTTGTAATGATCTGATTTTTTAGATAAAGTATAGCGAAAAAATAATTTACTGGTGTCACAATTAAAAATGCTTTTAAGGTTCATCTCGCATTTATTATTTCTAATGTTTCAAAGACTTTACCAGGTGGGCCGGGAACCCGTCCACTCACCTAAACGATAAATAAAAAAATTCAAATTTCGTGGTCACAGTTGTCGATATTACAACAATAGCATTATTATTTTAGTCAACCATTTTTTATACGTAGAAATCACCCACAGATTTAGAGATAATTAAGATATACGGTGCTTTCACAATCCACCTGCTAATGATTTTTTTATTTAATATAGGTTGAAGATATTTTCAATGAATCAGATGAGAGTTCCACTGATGATGAGAAACCATCCCAAGATGATGTTGATGATGAAGAAAACTTAAAGGAAGATCAACTAATTAGGATAGATGAAGAAAGTACTCAAGACAGGTACTTATGAAATATCGATATTTCATTCAATAAACTACACCCTAGCAACCAAATCAGCTTTATCTTAGTACACTTATAACAGTAACCCTTCTAGTATTTAAGTTAATTTCAAACAATACACATGGTTTTATTCGTTATTATTGTTAGCAAAGAACTATCAGACTATAAACCTGCTAGTCAGTGTAGTAACACAGTAGTAGTATAACTAATTTATGTGTATTATCTATGGTAGTAAGGTAGTCAGTCACCCTAACCCCATATCATCTCATCTCATTTCATTTAATTTCATCCCAGTTGATTAATGTCTCAAATTAATCATCTTCATTTCATTTCACTCCATAATATCATTTTTCATCAAAATATGAATATAAATTAAAATAAGACGTGACTTAAAGGTCTTAGTTACCAGGTCATAAAATCCCTTAAAAAAAAAAGTCACCCTAACTAAAGCATTAAATCCACTATACACCTAACTACATTTCTTGGATAGATTTTTTCGAGAATGTGCACCTAACTCGTTTCCTAACCCGGACACCACTATAAACAGTTGCATTGGAAATTTTGCGTTTTTTAATAAAGCAAAATCTAATACAGGTATCAGCTGACGAAACAACAGCGTAACGTTCGGTGTTGAGAGAACGCAGGAGACGCCTTTGTGTTAAATTTTGAGTTCTGTTATGGTGTTGATTCTGTGTGACTAAGAAAAATTGATTTCAAATTGTCTACTGACTTCATAATTGTTATAACGCCAAACATTTTATATTCGCAGCATAAAATAAAAAGTTCTCTTATGATTGTATGTATGTTTATTTTCAGATTACAAGAAACGCAAGATAGCTCTAATGAGTCAGAAAACGGTAAGTTCCATACCAATTTTTTACCTTTTAGTCAGAATAATGTCCATCGTGGATTGAGTAGATGACCCTCTGTATAAAAAAACTAAAATACATATTTTTTATTATACACAGACGAAGAACAGCCAAGACCACGGAAACGACCGCGAAAATCGACACCGCCGTCAGACGAGGAGCCGCCGGATGATGACGACAGCTCTTGGAACTTGATGGGCGCGGCACTTGAAAGAGAGTTCCTCGCGCAAGACTGATGTCACCTCTACACCGATGTTTTAAAAATACAAGCACCCTGTTCAATAAACCGTTCTTTTCTAATGTTTTTTTAATTGAATTTGCTGAATCACACTCTATTATGTACTTTAGACATTAATATAGTTACAGCGGCAGCCCCACCCTTCAAACCGAAACACATTACTGCTTCACGGCAGAAATAGTTGGGGTGGTGGTACCTACCGGTGCGGACTCACAAGAGGTTCTACCACTAGTCATTACACAAATTATAATTTTTATTGCACGATATTATTCCTTCACCATGGAAGTCAATCGTGGACATTGTCGAGTTCGACGAGTACGGGTCCCTAAGCCTGCTCCTAATATTAGAGCTGAAGGCGTCTAATGCAAAGGTTATTGGATCTGATGGATCCGTAAGGACGTAAAAGCTCTTTACTCGCGGGGTATACGTTCCGTAAGTCTGCCGCGAATACAGAAACCGTGAATATTTTACTTTTTTATTATTAGTCCATTTGACGATGCGTTTACAAAGGATATTCGGTTGGATACGTGCATGTTGCAATCCTTTTTATCCATGTGTATGTACCGATTTATAGACTAGATAAAATTGGGCGGAAGTGTAGTTTGCTGCAGTCATGCGCGTGCACAACTCAGGGAGCCAATCACAACCGACGATCTGACGACTTGAAAGGCGACGTGGGCAGATCCAGTCACGTAATCAACATGGTCGGCACCACCTCCCTCTCCCCCTTGTCTCGTTCCCCCAAACGAGAGACTCAAAAATGTACTCCTGCTCATGTCAAGGTCAGAGCTCAGACTCGTGCCGATTATTATACGTTGAGTATTGTGTTGTTGAGTGTCATCGCCCACTAAGTTTCTCGATTCCGTGTGCTTAGTGCGAGTTTTTTAACGTTCTCGATAGCGTAAAAGTTAACCCAATGTTGTATGCAGTTCGAACAGCGCCCCTAGCGGCAAACGTAGGCAAACGATCCCATTCCATACAAATATGAGCTAAATTTTACGCTATCGAGAACGTTAAAAAACTCGCACTAAACACACTGATCCGGTGGCAGATTCTGCGAAGAACTGTTCTTGCTAGGGCTAGTTTTAGCAAAGTCCTGAATTTATAGTCAAAACCTACTTTAATGATTATTTATAATAGAACATAAAATTAGGTTGTTATTCACAAAGCCAAAATATTACTCGGACGAAGCAAGATAAAAATATCTACAATTATCATGCAACATAAGAAGCCTTTTTTATATTGTGGCTGGCACGGTTTTTGCATTAGCCAGTGTCAAGTAATAAGATTTTTTTCGCCGTTATGTTTATGTACAGTTTAAGAATAATANATATTGATAATTTATAATAGAACATAAAATTAGGTTGTTATTCACAAAGCCAAAATATTACTCGGACGAAGCAAGATAAAAATATCTACAATTATCATGCAACATAAGAAGCCTTTTTTATATTGTGGCTGGCACGGTTTTTGCATTAGCCAGTGTCAAGTAATAAGATTTTTTTCGCCGTTATGTTTATGTACAGTTTAAGAATAATAATAAACGAAGGAAACTGTCCATGTTGGCCATTATTAATATCAGTGTAAGTATGAATTAAATTAGCAGCATGGTACAGTATAGACAAATTAGGTTGAGAAAGTAATTTGATTAATGTAGTAAATAATTGCAAATGTTAATATGAAGTGAAATGAAATGAAGTTGATTAATATTATGAAAAATGGCAGGAAATGAAATTAAATGAGATGAAATAATATGGGATGAAATATAATCTCAGTAAAATGGTGATCATTTACCGAGATAATCCCAATGGACTTTTAAAAGGATCCCGAGAAGTTATATCCTGTGACTTTGTTTCATTTTCCCACATTTGTGCACTTTCACAGATACTAAACCACCGTTGTTACACATTTAAACCTGAAGAAACACTAAATAGACAAAATAAAACAAATCACGACTTCTCTCCTCGCTTTCCCACCAATAAGCCATTTGTGAACTTTTTACAGAACACTTTCACAGATACTAATATTATATTTGATAAGCACCTCCTTACATATTCAGCAATATGTGAATAAATCGCATTTACTGAATATTAGGCAGCATTAAAATTGGAAAAAATATATCATCCTAGTTATTTGTAAGTTATGTTTACAAACTTGAGAAATTGTAAAATGAAAAAATTTACTGTGATTAAAACTACTAACATATAGTATAGTTGGTAGCTTTATTTATTAAATGTTCAATAATTACATTTTTTTACTACTAGAATTTGCATTATTATGTTCACTAATTTAACTAAATGAATGTTATGGAATCAAATACCATATGGATCATTTTCATCAAAAACATGGAACTTTGTGTACGTTGGTTTAGAAGTAAAATCTTTTTTGCCATCCTGCCAGCCTCTCGGTGGAGCTTTACTGTAGTTGAACGTAGACTTTAACCTTCCATACAATTCAGTTTGTCTTTCTATATCTTCTTTATATTGCTCTTTAGAAACTTTCTTGCCTGTAACAGGGTCTGTTATATCGCCAAACGGATAAACGACTTCTTTTATTTCATGGGTTATTAACTTTGTTAGCTTCTCAGGTAATGCTTGGATCAGGACTATGTCTCCAGTTTTGCATATTTTTTCTGAATCGTGGCAATAGTAAAACTCTTCTTTCCTAAAATACTAAATTGCATAAAATTAGAAATCAAATCAGCAAAGAACTTGATCTTATTGTTTAAAGTGATATTTACCATTAAAAGATTTTCATCTAATTCTAACCTCTTTACTCTGATTTTTGCAGCATTTTGTTTAACAGTCGGTACACATTGTCCAAGTAAGAGAAATTTTCTGGCTGCATCAGCGACATTTCTTGACATTTCTTGGTTGTTTTTTTATTGATTCGTTTTGCTGTATTCCTGTATTTTGAAAATATTTCTATAGTCGGATTTTTAACTAAACGAAGCCAGCTGACAGTTGCTAATGTCACTTTGTGAAATAATGTTGCTATATTTAAAGTAATAGTGATGCGTTCAGTTCTCGTTCAATCACATGAATGAACAATGAGTGTGAAGAGTTAATCATTAATTTCAAACTATAAAAGAATATTATTTATATTTTACAATAAAATTGTATTAAAGTGCTCCAAAATATGTTACTAGTAGTATGTAACTGCAATCAGTTTTTTTTATTTTCATTACTTACCTATAATTGTTATATTTTATACGTCTATAATTTCAACTATATGATGTATTGGAAATAGGACAGTCTTACAAGCTTCCTCGCAATGTTTTTCTTAATGTTTAAAACACTCGGTATTCAGTACAGGTAGATACTATAGGAACATAATATTTCGTCAAAAACTCGTTGGTATGTACAAAGCATGCCTAAAATTCGAACCCCGTACCCGATATCGGCAATTCGGCACACCAACTATTCACTAGACAATCGAGGCAATTTCATTAATTCAGGAGTTTTTTCAATCGTTCACTTTGTCACAACACTATTTTTATTTCATCAAAAACTGACAACACAGTAAACGTCAGTTGACTTCGTCTAATAAAAAATCCGACTATAAATAAAATATGATTTAGGGATAGCGATTTGAATCGATTTTTTTACGAATGAAAATCGAATATTAACTTAAAGTAACCAATCAATCGCTTTGTAAAAAAATCGAGATAAAAAAATTATATTCCGAAAAGTAGGTAGCAATCGTAAATTATTAAACAGTTGGATGCCATAAAAACTCGATAGATCGAAGTGTAAATTTTTCTTAAATAGCTTTAAAAAGCTATTGTTTGTAATGCCTTTTCAGAAAAGAACGTTTGTTTTTTAATTTTTTTTTTTCAGGCTTATTCTTCTTCTTCGTCGCTTTCTTCATTGCTGAAGGTCGTGTCCCTGAAACTTGACCGTTGCCTGTCTCGTGAGCTGTTTCCATCTCGTCCGGTCCTCAGCTGCTCGAATGGCGGTTGCGACTGGCAACCCAGTTAGAGCGGTTACTTGATCACACCAACGGCTAGGTAATCGGCCGCGGGGTCTCTTTCCTTCTACTTTNAGCGGTTACTTGATCACACCAACGGCTAGGTAATCGGCCGCGGGGTCTCTTTCCTTCTACTTTGCCCGTCACAATCACTTTGTCCAAGTTATCTGACTGTCGGCGGGCAATATGACCGAAGTAGCTGAGGATCCTCTGGTAACAGATTGTTGAGAGCCTGACTCGGATGCGAAGCTGATCCAGGATAGATTTATTTGTCCTCTTGGCTTATAATAGTTTTTAATTGATGAAAGAGAACATGTGTAGGAAAATTAATAAAAAACGTGGCCCTTCACGCTCTTTTAAAAAGCTTATTGAAATCTCAGCAAATTCCTACCATTTACTGAGAGCATCTCGCGAACCGCTCGACCGTGGCGACAGCGAACGGACAAAGCGAGCTAAGTCATTTTTTTTATACACAGCATTCTCTATTTCAAATTTTATTTAAGTATGAAATATGGAGAAAACTACAATATTATACACACCGCAAAAGAAGTTTCACTTCTTTCACGTGCACTAAATTACACGCGCACCATCTTTTCGATTCGCTAGTAGTTTGTGGGGCTATTCTGGCTACGCCCAGATGGGGAGACGGGTAGGTAAATTCACGGGCTCAGCCTCAGAAATTTTGCTAACACTACCCCTGCCAAAAGCAGTGATTCGCAGAATTTACTACCGGATCGGAATCGCAACCCACTGAGAAGATCCGACGAGAAACCCAGTGGGCTGTGTTTAATGGGGACAAAGAATAGACATTGGCTTTTGTTTCTGACAAAAAAGAATAGGTTGTTTAGGTACGTGATGACAAAGAAAAGAATGTACGCAAATTATTCAAATGAGAATATAAACTGTAATAAACTATTAGTGTAAACTTAATTGATTTATTAGCGTCGTGATTAACTGTTTCTCATCTGTCATGATTAATTGTCAAAATTGAACCNACACACACTTTTTTTTTCTTTAAATATTAAAAGTTCAAACAAAATGTTTAAGAAAACTATCAGTTTTTTGAAAAGTTCTTTTTCGATCTCGGTATTTTAATGAACAATTCAAACATTGACATATTTCGGGAAGAATCCACATCCCTAAAACGGCCAACGACCGCGGCCAGTGATGCCAGCTTATGAGTTTTCTTCTTCTTTAGAGGAAGAGTAAATTATAAACGAGTATTACAGTATGTCCAATAGCTGACCCAGCAGACTTCGTAGTGCCTCAATCGATAAATAAAAGACCTCAAACTTTGTATAAAATAAACTTAAACCAACCAAATGAATCCGTCCGACGAGGAACATCAAAGGGAAAACAATATCGACGCTTGAAAGGCAAACGTGACTAAGCGACAATAACTGCTTTGTACATAAATGATAGGCAATAACCATATTCGATTCGCAAAAAAAATATATTTCTAGGTCTATTAAAATCATTTCAATCCTACAGCAACTAGCTAGATTCTACTACAGCTAGATTCATTANTAACTTCCATATTTTACTGTATTCAACTGACACAAATTTATATTTATATCCAGTAAACTCCAGTCGTGCGTCGGAGCGGACACACACACTTTTTTTTTCTTTAAATATTAAAAGTTCAAACAAAATGTTTAAGAAAACTATCAGTTTTTTGAAAAGTTCTTTTTCGATCTCGGTATTTTAATGAACAATTCAAACATTGACATATTTCGGGAAGAATCCACATCCCTAAAACGGCCAACGACCGCGGCCAGTGATGCCAGCTTATGAGTTTTCTTCTTCTTTAGAGGAAGAGTAAATTATAAACGAGTATTACAGTATGTCCAATAGCTGACCCAGCAGACTTCGTAGTGCCTCAATCGATAAATAAAAGACCTCAAACTTTGTATAAAATAAACTTAAACCAACCAAATGAATCCGTCCGACGAGGAACATCAAAGGGAAAACAATATCGACGCTTGAAAGGCAAACGTGACTAAGCGACAATAACTGCTTTGTACATAAATGATAGGCAATAACCATATTCGATTCGCAAAAAAAATATATTTCTAGGTCTATTAAAATCATTTCAATCCTACAGCAACTAGCTAGATTCTACTACAGCTAGATTCATTAAAATAAGATTTGTTTTCAGGTATTTCACTTTAAGTTAGTCTACTGTAAAGTTCACGCATTGTCGCTTAGTCACGTTTGCCTTTCAAGCGTCGATATTGTTATTTTTATTTAATTCCGATCATTTTCATATTTATCTACATTTTAAACCTCCTCTGGACTTCCACAAATAATTCAAGACCAAAATTAGCCAAATCGGTCCGGTCCAGCCGTTCTCGAATTTTAGCGAGACTAACGAACAGCAATTCATTTATATAAAGATTATAGATTTAATTTTGGATTTGAGAGATAAATACGACAAACACTACTTCTACTATAAAAAAATATAAATCATATTTAGCTTATTGGACGCTGAGTGGCTAGGTAGTCCAGCATATGTTTAATTGTAATTGTAAATGTATGTCTAGTAGACTTGCGCAAAACATCACTTCCCAATGTAATGTGATATGACATCACTTTTACAGATAGGTGATATTACTCGAAAACATTACACATCACTCTTAACATTACTCGGTGCGTTCAATAGATACTGTGACGACGAATACATTGTATCTATACACCCGAATCATTACCTAAGTGATGTGTTGATACACATCACTTAGGTAATNCCTCAAACTTTGTATAAAATAAACTTAAACCAACCAAATGAATCCGTCCGACGAGGAACATCAAAGGGAAAACAATATCGACGCTTGAAAGGCAAACGTGACTAAGCGACAATAACTGCTTTGTACATAAATGATAGGCAATAACCATATTCGATTCGCAAAAAAAATATATTTCTAGGTCTATTAAAATCATTTCAATCCTACAGCAACTAGCTAGATTCTACTACAGCTAGATTCATTATAATAAGATTTGTTTTCAGGTATTTCACTTTAAGTTAGTCTACTGTAAAGTTCACGCATTGTCGCTTAGTCACGTTTGCCTTTCAAGCGTCGATATTGTTATTTTTATTTAATTCCGATCATTTTCATATTTATCTACATTTTAAACCTCCTCTGGACTTCCACAAATAATTCAAGACCAAAATTAGCCAAATCGGTCCGGTCCAGCCGTTCTCGAATTTTAGCGAGACTAACGAACAGCAATTCATTTATATAAAGATTATAGATTTAATTTTGGATTTGAGAGATAAATACGACAAACACTACTTCTACTATAAAAAAATATAAATCATATTTAGCTTATTGGACGCTGAGTGGCTAGGTAGTCCAGCATATGTTTAATTGTAATTGTAAATGTATGTCTAGTAGATTGGTCGTATAGTAAGCCCACTCGAGCAGGTTTCAGCACTTTCAGTACTTAACTTATGAATAAGCTTTCAAGTAAAATTTGGGCAAACACGCTATTCATTGATGATCAACGATTCTATTGTATTATTTGCATGTGGTGGAGCGTATTGTAAGCTGGCACTGATAGGTACAACCATTCTGCATGCTTTTGCCGTGAACCCGTTTTGCATGAGCGTGAAGTATGCTACTATAAAATACAATTGAGCCTCCAAATTCATATCTCTAGGTGATTTGCGCCTTTCATTTTGTAGTGTAGGTATACAGGCTCTAGGCACAACTTAGCATCAAGTATGCTGCAGAACCAAAGTCAATCTAGTGAAGTCATTACCTAACTCAACAGTACTCGTTGAGGTAGAATACAACATTAATGAAAATTACAAAATCAAAAACTTTAATGTAAATAATTTATATATTTTTAAATCCCTTTAGTACCTTAAGTACAAAATAAAATATAATTTTCCTACACCAATACCAGTATTCACAAAGTCACTCACTACAGCCTTATACATGATTAAAATTATTACATGGAAATATACTGTAAGACAGCAAAAAGATTTTTTACACATTTAATTTTGCTTGCAAAATTGAGAATGAAAACACTTTATATACTTCAACAATTAAAAACTGATTCTCATCCACTGTATGTATCATGTATTCCTCAACAAAAATAATTTATATTAATAACTTTGAATAAATCCCCATACATATATCATTTTGTACTTTTTATTTTTCATTCAAAATTATTATCACTATTTGAGACAGTAGTCAGAATACAACTTTTAAACCTTTATTATATTTGAATTATGCCAAATTTGGAAATAGTTAAGTGTACTGCAATAAAAAAGTTGTGTATCACTGATCAAAGAATTCGCCAAATGGATGTCAGAGTATCTACTCATGGTAAACACTCAGTGCATTCAAATTATTATTATTAAGTAACTAATTTATTCGTGAATGATTATGAATCATATATGATATTGTATTTTATAGTATTTCTCATGTTCACTGAAACATTGTGACAAGACTCTTAATTTTCTTCATTCAAAAATTTAACAAACAATACAGTTACATCTGTAATTTGTCACTTATTTTATGCCATTATGATGGTACCAATTTAGATATAGGTTGAACTAGAGTTATCAAAGCAGCAACGGAAGAGATAGCACCTAAAGTGCCAATCGCACTTGGACTCAATTTTATAAACCCAAGAGCTGTTAATGGTATGAACAAGTCACATGCATTCTTCAATGTATCAACAAATATATCTCTATGACAAAGTAATAACACATGAATGTGTTTCAAAGTAGACATTAGATCAAATTTATGTACTGATAGATTTAATAAATCAGAAGGCCTTAGAAATTTTGAATTGTGTAGTTGTAACAAATGGAGTATTTCATAAAGGTCTCGTGCTAAATTTGCAATAATAGACAGTAACCAGAATTTATTTGCAGTTTGATTCCAAGTGTCTGAGTCTGTTTTTAGAAATCCACTTTTGGCCAACCACACTATGTGGTCTGCATACAAAAATAAACTATGTGATAACTTGCTAACTGTTATTGTTAATCTTAAAAATGGATCTTCTATGCTCATGCTGTCTAAAGCAATGTAGCAAACGTCTATGCATCTGCCCAACCTCAGAACTGAAAAGTTATTATATCCACATTTTAACATTGAATAATAATAATAAAAGCATTTATTGCCTTTCACACAGATTTAAGACTAATAAAAGTAGATAAATAAAAGAAAAGAAAAAGACAAAAGGAGGTGGTTCAGCTAATGCTGTTCAAAATGAATGCATCAAACAGTGCTGATTTTCAGTCACTCCCATTTCCCTTTGGTTTAATAAATTTTTATGTTTTTTTTTAATAGCTTTAAGGTAAGTGACACAAGGGTGAACTGATGGTGATTAGACACCATCACTCATGAACATCAGCAATGCCAGGGTCACAGCCAAGTGGATGCCTAAAGTGATGTTTTTCAAACTAAATTTGAAGAAGAGCATGTCATTAAACATCATATAGGAAAGTTTATTTCAGATCGATTTGATTTAATAAAATATATTTTTCTAGAAAGTGGGCGCACAGTAGTTCCGAGAAGTAGAAATGAGTTTAGTATGGTGGTATCATGGAGATCACCGGATCAACTCAAAACAATTTCTCAAATTTAGAGTACCCAAATTTCTCCTTAAGGTTCCAAGGATTCTGTAATATTGTTTACCGTTCAATAGTATTTTGTATTCTGCTCTAATAAATAAAATATTGACATCCCAGTGTTCGTTTGTAGTTGGATTGTAAGTCTTACGAAAGTTACAAATAGTATTTACTTACTTTTTCTAAATGAACTAAATGCATTTTCCAAATTTTTTATTCTATCTATGGAGTATTTATTAGCATTCCTGGTCTCCAGTTGATGCCATACAAGCTTGCTAATATATTGAATAAATCTAGACAAGACAAATAGATCTATTATTAGTAGAGTAGAGATTAATAAAAGCCAGTTTGTATAAATAAACTTCTTCTGTCTATGAAGTTTACCTTGCCAATTTGTCTCTTCCAATGGATTGATTATTTACTTTTATAATTATATCCATTGCGATTTCGTCATGGACTTTGTGGAGTAGGATCGAATCAAGTGAAACGCAAATAAAATATAAACGCTACGCCAAGAGCGTTCTTAGTANAGTAGAGTAGAGATTAATAAAAGCCAGTTTGTATAAATAAACTTCTTCTGTCTATGAAGTTTACCTTGCCAATTTGTCTCTTCCAATGGATTGATTATTTACTTTTATAATTATATCCATTGCGATTTCGTCATGGACTTTGTGGAGTAGGATCGAATCAAGTGAAACGCAAATAAAATATAAACGCTACGCCAAGAGCGTTCTTAGTACATACTTGTAGTAACTTGCTCGTATGTTAATGTGGATCGTTTTTTGGAAACTGTAACATAGAGTTACGTTTTCATTACTTAATATAAATGGCTTAAACCTTTAAGACTAAGACTTCTTACAGTCTTACTTATTTAGCAAAAACATAGAATGTTTATCTACAATCTACATACACTGTCGTACGCTGGTAGCTTTTTTAAGGGATTTTATGACCCGGTAACTAAGACCTTTAGGTCGTTTTTTATTTTAATTTAATAAATTCTTATTTTTATGAAAAATGATAAAATGGAGTGAAATGAAATGAAACGAAGAGAATTAATTTGAGACATTAATCAACTGGGATGAAATGAAATGAAATGAGATGAGATGATATGAGATGAATTACAATCTCAGTAAAATGATGGTCATTTTGTGAGATTTTTTCAGAGGACTTTTTGGAGGATCCCGACAAGTTACGTCCAGCGGCTTTGTTCCACTTTCCCACATTTGTGCACTTTCATAGATATTAAACAGTTAATAAACCACCGTTATTACACATTTAAACCTGCAGAAACACTAAATAGACAAAATAAAACTATTCACACAACTTCACTCCTCGCGTTCCCGCCAAAAAGTACTACACTGGTAGCATTTTTTTAAAGTGATTTTATGATCTGGTAACTAAGACTTTTTGGTCATGTCTTTTTTTAATTTTAATGACAACTTTTTTAATGAAAAATGATATTATGAAATGAAATGAAGTTGATTATTGTTATACATGGCATGAAATGAAAACGAAATGAAATGAGATAAGATGATATGGAATGAAGTATAATCTCAGTAAAATAGGGGTCATTTGCTGAGACTTTTTCAGTGAACTTTTTGGAAGATCCCGAGAAGTTACGTTCAGTGGCTTTGTTTCATTTTCCCATTTGTGCACTTTCACAGATACTAAATAGTTAATAAACCACGTTATTACACATTTAAACCTAAGAAACACTATTAAATAAAACAAAGCACACAACTTCACTTCTCGCGTTCCCGCCAAAAAGTCCAGATCATAGGTAGCTTTACTTCTCTTGGGATACAGATCAGTAATTTTCTCTATTAAGTATTCAGTTTAGCAGTCCATATTACAACAATTAGTTAATTAAATCATAGCAATTTCGACAGTAGCATGGATGTGACTTGTTACGTGGGGGTTGTCCAAAGAATTGGATGGCCTAGACCATGCTGATGACTAATGTTTTTTTAATCATGAAGTTGTCTGCATGCAATCCAAACTGGACGATATATAGTTGGAAGCGCCAAAGTTGGTTTTAAGATCAACTCGAAGAAGACCCAAAAAACACTTATCGGAAAAAATCCGCTACCCGTAAAGCTGGTTACAGAACCGAAACAGCGTACCTATCGTACATAATACAAATCAGAAGAAAGGGCAAAATAATTTGGGAAAATATGTACAAGAAATTCAGAAATCACATTTGGCAACCCTCAGCCAAACTGCCATTTTGTGAGATTCCCATGTAATGGTCGATATTCTTGATGCTTATCAGCGCTTCTAATTTCAAATTTACATTAAATAAAGTTGAAGTGAACGTGATTATTTTAAAATAATTGTCTACTTAATAATACGAATTAGTTCGTGCAAGATTGAGGTTTTCAGTGATCTGCTGAGTGATTAGTGTTTGTAATTCGTTTGGGGTAAGAATAGTGCATCAGTGGGTTACTTTATTGTATCGACCAAAACTAATTTACAGTGACGTGTAATATTGTGATGTGTATTTCAGATAGTGGTTCGTCGAAGTGAGCTTTCATGATTGGATTACCGCGTAGCGATAGAGATAGAGATCGAATTACGGTGAAAATTCGCAATATGAAGCGAAGTTCGTCGCGTGATAGTATGCCGCGATCAAAACGGACACGCAGCAGTATTGGTAGGTATGACGATAGCTCTGACGAGCGTGGAAGCCCGGAACGAGTACGACGTCGAGTACGCTCCCCTAGCCCGCGCGGTCGATATGTGTCACCTCATCGCGATGATTACGTGCGTTCTCGTGACGCTCGAGATGAATCTGTCCGCAGCTACTACAAAGTACTATGTGTTAGTGCTTTACACCCTAAAGCGTCGGATGAGATTGTCAAGGATACTTTGTATAGAGAATATAAGAAGTATGGTGACTTTAGTATAAAAATATCCCATGAGTTGGATGAGAGAGTAGCCTACATCTGCTTCCGAAGTGCAGAGGATGCGAGAGACGCTAAACATGCCAAGCCTAGGATAATACTGTATGATAAAGTTGCTATAGTTGATCCTGTTTATGAACCTGTACGTTCTGAGTACAGACCGAGGCCTCGTAGTATAACTCCTCCTGACTATGATCGCCCTTATTCATACGCTTGGTCTCCTGTACCAGAGAGACGTCGTCCCCCTCCTGATGAGAGAGCCTATGGTATCCCTCCTACAGTGCCACCTCACCATAGAGATTTCCGCCCTCCTATGCATGAGTATCCCATGGCAGGTCCTCATGGGCCTCCAATGCATCACAGACCACCTATGCATCACCCTCCACATCCCCATTATATGCCACGTCCATACATGCCCCGGCCTCACCATCCTCCATTTGAGAAAATTGAGAACAAAAAAGATAAATTTCCAAATTACCTACATCATGTTCAACCTGAAGATGATCCATTAGCTACAAGAACTCTTTTTGCTGGTAATTTAGAAATAAACATTTCTGATGAAGAGTTACGCCGAATTTTTGGACGCTATGGTATAGTAGAGGACATTGACATTAAAAGACCTCCTCCAGGTACTGGAAATGCTTTTGCATTTGTTCGTTATCAAACTTTGGACATGGCACACAGAGCCAAAGTTGAATTATCAGGCCAATACATTGGCAAATTCCAATGTAAAATAGGTTATGGCAAAGCTACACCCACAACACGTGTCTGGGTGGGTGGTCTGGGACCATGGACTTCAGTAGCACAGTTAGAGAGAGAATTTGATAGGTTTGGTGCCATTAAAAAGATTGAATATGTGAAGGGTGAACCTCATGCCTATATTTTATATGATTCTATTGATGCAGCCCAAGCTGCTGTCAAAGAAATGCGAGGCTTTCCTTTAGGAGGACCGGAGCGGCGTTTGCGTATTGATTTCGCAGACGTTGGAACAGGTGGACCCTACAGACCTAAACCTTACAGTGCACCTGTTGGTGAAGATGGTAGGCCTGTTGAAGGATATGAGGGATATGAAGGTAGTTCTTGGGAGGATGGTTATAGCTATGGTACTTATAGGGGTAGAGGTGGGCATCGTGGCCGTGGACGTGGCTCCTACCGAGGTGTCTATCATGGTACAGGAGATTATCGTGACGAAGAGTGGAGACGTGCTCCATTAGATTCAGAATATGAGAGTCGCTTGCGTCGTTCTGGATCAAGGGAGCCTGGAGTCGATAGATCACGCTCACGATCTCGTCGTAGATCACCTGATAGTGACTCTGATGGATCAATGCGTAGAAGTAGTGGGATGCTATCTTCGTCACGAACAATGGCAGAATTAGTTCGTAAAGCAACTACAATTTGGCATGGAGCACTGATTCTCAAAAATTCATTGTTTCCTACCAAGTTGCATTTAACAGACGGTGACTCTGAAATTATTGATAGTCTCATGAAAGATGAAGATGGTAGAAAACAGCTCAGAATCACACAAAGATTACGTTTGGATCAACCTAAGTTAGATGATGTTCAAAAACGTATTGCCACATCTAGCTCTCATGCCATTTTTGTGGGTGTGTCTGGTTCTACTGCTGTAGTCACCAATGAAGATGTTTCGATACAAACACGACCAATGAGGAATTTGGTATCATATCTTAAGCAAAAAGAAGCAGCAGGTGTGATATCACTTTTGAACAAAGAGACTGAAGCTACTGGAGTTCTCTATTCTTTCCCTCCATGTGAATTTTCAACAGACCTTCTCAAAAGAACATGTCACAATTTAACTGAAGAGAGTTTTAAGGAAGATCACCTAGTTATAGTAGTAGTACGAGGTGGCACTGCTTAATTATTCAAACACTGCTTTAGTAGATTGTATTGTAGGTATATACTCTTAATTTAAGTTTTTTGTTCTACACTTTACTTTATATTCTTGTGATGTGTGTGATGTGAGGTGCATAAGATGTGCAAGTTTAAATATTTGTGCAGTGCTGTGTTCTCACAGTGATCAGAATTAACTTTGATGAAAATGTACAGTATAGAAGCTAGTTCAGCTAGATATCCGACTAAAAGAAGTTTATCTTACTTTTTTAAAGTTAAGTGTATAATATTCAGTGTATGATTTAGGTGATGTGTAGTGTGTGAACAAAACAAATAGATTATTTTAATTTTGAAAGTTGTTTTTTTAAACCTTGTGGTTAAGTGACATATCCAGTGCAGTTGATCCATTAGTGGTTTTGTGATGTTAAGGTGTTCCAAAAAAAAAGTATTGTGAATTTATGTTTTGGTATGTCCATTAATTTGCAAAAAAATGATTATATAAGGATGTACAGTGGAACAACAAGTCAGTGGTGTGTTGTGGTTTTAACAGTAAAATTACCAAAATTAGAGTCAATTGAAGACAAATTTTCTACAATTTACAAATATGGTGATATAAATGTAGACTCAGTATTGTTTGTGATTTGACGTGTTTCATATTATAATATAAAACTGAAACTGGGTAAGTCTAGATATATTTCACACAACACTGTAGGCACTGTATTGATAATTTGTGTGTGCTTTATAAATTGTTCTTTACAATGTTGGACTTTATAGAATTTTTTGAATGCTTACAGTTGCATGGTACTTAAAAAATTAATAATCCCATGCACTAAATGAGCTAAGGTATAATGTAATATAAATGTGATTCATTAATATGAAAAAAAGGAAAATTACCTAAATTAAAGATGGAAATTGAGATCAAAAAAGTAAAGAAACAATTCAACTTTTTCATAAAGAATACAAATAAAGTTAAAAACTTGATTCTAATTCAACAACAGTTGTCCATGAATTTTTGTGTTTCTTTAAATTTGAATTGTAATTAAACATAAAACATGGGTCTATCTAGAAAATTCTAGATTGAAACACTGACGAGGTTAATGGGCACGGTCATAAACTAACTTAATACGAAAGTGTACGATAATTTCCATCAGTGATAGCGACACTGGGGTGGTCCAGTCGAAGTTGGTTTTTATCCATTGATTTTTAATGTTGAGTTTTTGAGTTGAGTAATTGAGTTTCATAAAAAAATCACGATTTATATTTTTAACAATTTTAAAACATTTCTTATATAAACATAGCTTTAAAGCCAAAATTACGAATATTAAGTTTTATGTTTTTGATATAATAATGTATAGTTTTATGAACATTTTTGTACTTTTCGACTTAACTTCGCAAATTATGTTATCATTTTGAACCGAAAACTATTTTGTTTACTTTTATTCATATGACCTTTGGGATGCGTCACAGATGAAAATGACATTAAATAATTCTGTTTTTCCAACTGTAAAGGCAAAGGCATCATACTATACGGTCTAATCTTTTGTGTATTCTTTTTTATGAAAAATGATACAGAGCGAAATGAAATGAATTCGATTAATTTGAAACAATCAATTGACATGAAATGAAATTAAATGGGATTAGATGTAATGAGATATAAAATTTCAGTAAAATGGTCGATATTTACTGAGACTTTTTCAGAGGACTTTTTGGAAGATCCCGAGAAGCTACGTCAAGCGGCTTGTTTTCATTCTTCCACATTTGTGCACTTTCACAAATACTAAACAGTTCATAAACCACCGCTATTACATATTTAAACTTAAAGAAACACTAAATAGACAAAATAAAACAATTCACACAACTTCGCTCGTCGCGTTCGCCCTCTCGGATTACATAAAATAATTTACCTAATGTAGGTACCCATTTCTTTTGTAGCTAAGCGAAAGTTTTAATAAAAAGTTGCAAGCTGCAATGATCTGATAATTTGTCTTTTTTAAATATGCACTTTCAAACTTAACCAATTTACTTTGAATGTTAGTAAGCTTATTACTTAATTTAAACTTGAAAATGATATTAACTGAGCAAAGATCTATTTGTATGTTAGTCTTACAATGTTGACATATTTTTTTAAGTTTTCTTTTCGAGGCTGTTTCCTAAATATTAGTCAAATGAATCTGGTTTTTGAAACAAGTGACCTTTTGCTCGGTTCAAAATGGGAACTTACTGGTATCTACTCGTACGGTATCTAAAATCCTTAACCTTACCTTATCTATAATCCAGACATGTCATAGAGGATCAAATGAAAATAAATCTAAAATTGACTTCACAGTGTAAAATATCGAGACGGATTTTTTAAATTCTAAGTACTTACAACACAGAAGACTTAGAATATTCACATTTTTAGTAAAATATACATATACGTTATTTAATTTAATAGGTAATTAACTATCTTTTATTCTTGCTTTGATGGTTGGTGGTGCGACCCTTTTTTATGGAAATTACCCTTAGAACATGTGTCCTGGTGGATGGGGAATTTGCGTTGTTCATGTCTGGGCTCCGGTAATCACTGAACATCTAGTGAGCTCGTTCACTCGTCTAAGCAATAAACAAACAATGAAACTACGGTTGTCTTAGTCTGTTACGTTTTCACGACCAAACCACCGAATTTTTATTAAATTCAATAATGAAATGGTTTGAACCCTGGGAAATAATAGGATACTTTTCACTCTACTGTTGAGTATGGATCTCCACCCCATAATAGAAGATAAGAGAATAGAAAGTAATTACACTTTAACACACAAACTAAAGCTGTAGATGGAAACTAGACAGTCATAAATATAAACAGTCATAAGAGTAACCGTTGTCCTACTTATTTAATGCCATAAATAATATTAAACCAGATAATATGTTAAGAAAAAAATATCTTTCATTTATTTATTTCATAGAAATTTGTCCATTTGGTGTTAAGTGGTTACGGGAGCCCATAGATTGATATCAAGTTTGCTATCAACCTGAATGCTGTTGTTACACCAAGACGCGACATCGAAGACTCAATTGTATAGTGTATAGTGAATTAAATCGGAATGTGTAAATTCCCCATGGCAGAAATCGGCAAGAAGGTGGTATTGATAAGTGTTACGCCGGTAAGAGTAACGTTATCTATCGCCGAATAGTCGAACGAATATCGAAAGATATAGTACCTAGCACCTAGAACGTTTGAGAAGTACAACGCTATCTATTGTCAGGTAGCGGAAAAACAATACTTGAAATGTGTAGAATATTCTCGATAATTCTAGGGATGTGGTATCGGCTATCGCAGTCAGTAATCGGAACTACTCGAAGTGAAACAGCGAACGGATCACCTGAAGCGAAAGGAAAGAAGCGAATTTGAATTTTAAAGTTTTTGTGAAGTGTTCTAAGTGATCTAAGTATTGAATACAGTTTTTAGTTGTACTTTGGTGGAACATTTATTTATCCCGAACTCCAGCGTGTAACAATAGTACTTATATACCACAAAAGAGGCCAACAACTCTGGAATCAATGCTTTTTTTTGCTTAGATGGGTGGACGAGCTCACAGCCCACCTGGTGTTAAGTGGTTACTGGAGCCCATAGACATCTACAACGTAAATGCGCCACCCACCTTGAGATATAAGTCTTAAGGTCTAGTATAGTTACAATGGCTGCCCCACCCTTCAAACCGAAACGCACTACTGTTTCACGGCTGAAATAGGCAGGGTGGCGGTACCTACCCGTGCGGACTCACAAGAGTGAGTCCTACCACCAGTAAAAGTTTGGATTCGCGAGTTGAATTTATGACGTTGAACGGCGAACATTCATAACATTTTCGGCATTATAGTTACTGCAGCACAAGAATTTCTGAACAGCGCGATTCGGGCCTACAAAATGTTGCTCAGAAACTTACTAATGAGATAAAAAGGTAATTATTGTTTAAATTGTTTTCAGAGTAATCAGACAATACTTTTGATTTGGAATTGTCTCATTCTAGCATATCCTCAGCGACTCTTATTAAGTTTTTGGAGAAAATTCAGATCCTTTGCAACCCAGCCAAGCGCAAAGTTTTTCGTACCTACTCAAGTGAAATCCAGAAAGTTTGGCGGGTATCTTTTTCAAATTTTCAATCACTATATATTTCACTTTTGCGATGTTAACTTCAGTTGCAGACGTTGATGGCCTAAGGCTGATAATTCAATTAGCAGATAAAAAAAATCAATTTAAAACTTTATACTAATAAGCAATTCTCAGACCACGGATAAATTTTCTTTTCGTTTTCCCGACTATAATAGTTTTTTACTGCAGTTCCTTTTTTATGTTTTTCCAATCTTCGCTATTGCATTTAAGTAAATTTTAAAAGATTGCATAGGTACTTATTGATTTCAAAGTAATTCTAAACTATAAAGCAATTTATTCGTCCATCAGCTTACTTCCTGTAAAGTAAGAATCAAGCAACATTAAAAAAATCATCTTGTGAAAGTCTTGTTTGTAAAAGCGAGTTTAATGCAATAAACGTTTTTTTATGATAAAAATGTTGTTTTATTTTGTAACCTGATTAAGCTAATTAATTCTAATTTTTTTATAAGGGAAAATTATGATCTTAATATAACTTGTATACCGCCGCACATGGTGATCGCCAATGCTAGTTACTCTAGTGGTCTTGAGCACGTTACTCCAATCTCATTTTAAGGACAATTTTCGCTAATGTTATAAAGAATATCAAAATTAGTAGTAGCTTCTTAACAAATAGCAGGGACGCTCTCCCGAACATGTGACATCCTAGATGAGAATGTTCCATAACAAAATGCGCTGAAACTCGGGTCTCTCGGTGCTTGTAGCACCGGTCACAGTCGAACTCGTTGACTCCGACGAAGAGTTCGACGTGCGAACTAACCCATAGATACCGCCCACTGAGTTTCTCGCCGGATCTTCTCAGTGGGTCGCGATTCCGAGCCGGTGATAGATACTGCAAAGCACTGCTCCTGCTAGGGCTAGTATTAGTAAATTCTCCGTCTACCCGTCCGGGCGTAGGTAGTTGGCATTGCCCCTTAGACTACCAAAGATGGGAAAAAATTGGGATTGGGATTTTATTTAGATTTTACACTCGGATATAAATATAAAATTGGGACCAAGGTTTCGAGTTAAAAGTAACTAATTATTTTTATCTTTGACCAGAACGCTCTAAATATTCAAATGGAACGTTCCTGCCAAAAAGTGTTTATTGATAAGACATAATTCCACTTCTTACATAAGCTCTGGTGTCACTAACGTCAACATCCCTGTTGTGACAATAAAAAAACTAGTTTTATCGAGATCTCGAGTCTGTCGATTTTAGATCAGTTCACAATACGAGATAGTTATGAGTCGTAAAAGACTGAATAGCATTGGATATATGCAAAGGAAATGTGAAGCTAATTATGATGAGTACCTTTTAGCAATGAAACGAGTTCATCGTCGACATTCCAGCAAGATTACGGCCCCTCTGGAGACACTTTCGACGAGAGAACACTACAGACAACGTGATTCGCAAGAACAGGAAATGTAGGTATTCACAGAATGTGCTGAGGGTAGTTGACTAGGCAGGTACCCAACACGTAATTCCTGCGAAATTTTTACTAAGAGAAACATTGCAGGCAGGCGACACGATTGAATTATGAAGTGTTCGACGGTGTTTAAATAGATTTAAAATACTTACATAATATTTATTAATTAACTAGCTGACCCGGCAGACTTCGTAGTGCCTCAATCGATAAATAAAAGACCTAAACTTTTGTATAAAATAAACTTAAAACAAACAAAAGGAATGCGTCCGACGGGGGACACATCAAAGGGAAAACAAAATTGTTATTTTTATTTAATTCCGAACCTTTTAAACCTTCTCTAGACTTCCACGAACAATTCAAGACCAAAGTTACCCAAATCGGTTCAGCCGTTCTCCAGTTTTAGTGAGACTAACGAACAGCAATTCATTTTTATATATAGAGACGAAGACAATTAATTATTTAATTGATGGTTTTTTTTTTAATTGCTGTTTTAAAATGCCTCACGGCTTGGACGGGGTTTTTGTTATACATTACATATTTTGATGTTTTACTGATTCTAATATGTTTTCATTTTTCATTAGGATAAAAGACACCACTAGTACAATAACAGAAACCACCCGTATTAGTATAATAGCGTCAATGGTACCTGACGAGGTTATTTACGAACTTCACGAGCCTTCCGTCAGAATTTATGAGGCGGCTCTTATGTTTATTGATATTTCTGGTAACTAACTATGTTCTATCTGTGTTATATGCTATAACTGTATGTTCATTTTTATTCTATACTAGCGACCCGCCCTCGCTTTGCTTCGGAAACATTAAAACACACATGAAACCAAAAAAAAAATATAAAAAAATAATAATAAAAAAGTAGCCTATGTTCATCAGGGACAATGTCGGCTTCTAATGGAAAAATAATTTTTCAAATCGGTCCAGTAGTTTCGGAGCCTATTCGAAACAAACAAACAAACAAATCTTTCCTCTTTATAATATTATAAGTATAAGTATAAGTATAGATATAGAAAAGCAGGGGAAAAGAAAGAAATCAACATTGACCACAGGGAAAAATATCCTGTATAGGTACCTATACCTCCTTGTAGGATATTTTAATCATTCGATGACATTCCTCCAACCTCACGTGTCCTAATTTTTTTTTAAATACATAGGTACAGAATCAGTTAAATATATTTGATTATGCTGTATAAAACCACTAGGTATCCAATAGGATAGAAGGTAGCATATATTGAATAGCCAACACGCAAAAAAATCAAGTACGGTAGTTGTTTATGCTGTACAAGGTAAAATAACTTTGAAACAAAAAAAACAACTTTGATTTAGTTTGCTGCAGTTCGCAAAAACGGATTATTTTCTTTAAAAAAAATTGTTTTGATGTATGTGTTATATTTGTAACATCATGTACCTATACCTATACCTACATATACCTACAGACCATTGCTTGGTATAGTGAGTGACACCATAACCACATCCATGGCGAGCTAATAAAGTCGTTGATTACTAGTTTTATATTTCTAAATTCTTGGTTACTTAATCCTTACCTTAAATACTACTGGTAACTGAAGCTCGCTTAATACCCAGGTATTCGTTAAACCCATATAATTACGACATCGCCAGTATGGACTGTAGTATTTGTGATATGTTGTCCATGGAGCCTGGTAATCACTTAATACAATGTGAACCGACAACTTGAATATATTTTGAGATGAACTAGGGATTTTAATCAACCGACATTATAACAATGAGAATTAACAGCTTATATCGTTACAACCAAGGGAACTATCCGGGTGAAAAACTTCATAATAATTGATTAAGGTTAAGAAAAAAAAACCTTCATTATCTCCGGCACGGTAAAGCTAGGAGGTATATGTAGGTCCACTTATTGAGTTACGAAACACCGGTCAACTGAATGGAACAAATGAGATTCTTAATCTTCAGCTTTAAGTACCACCTGTAAGCCTCTACATTAGGTTTATAATATGTTTAAGGTTTCACCGATCTGTGTGAAAATTATACAAATGAAAATCGAGGTGGTCCTTCTAAGCTTACGCAAGTTCTCAATTCATATATCGGAGCTATGGTCCAAGAGATTTTAACTCATAACGGTGACGTACTAAAGTTTTCTGGAGATGCATTTCTGTCTATGTGGAAGAAAACATCAAGATTAACCATGCAAGATGTCGTTCACAACGCTATCGATTGCGGTCTTATTATACAAAAGAATTACGGAACTTATTTAACGGATGTTGGAGTGGTTCTCAAAGGTTAGTAAGACTTAGGTTGTAAAGCTTAGGCAAGGTTTCGATCTCCATTTTTATACCGAAATCTCCAAATCCCCTAAAATGTGTAAAATAATGTAATGAAAGATATAAAAATTGAACTAAATCCCAGACTTATGCCTATGTAGGAAATTTATTGTATTAATACTCTACAGTATTAATAAAATGAACTTAATTTCAATACCTATATTATTAAATTAGTATTAAAATTAAGTTATCATTACATACACCTTTATTATTACAATATTCTTGTAATAAAGAAATAAACTCAACTTCGCGCAACGTAGGTCACTGCCTAATTAAAAATTATCGTAAATATCTTTAATGTATGTATAGGTATAGGCAATTTAGTTGTGTTATAAGCGTGATTTTAACAAAGAAGATCGATGTTTGATACGAATCTTAAACTCTTATGCGGAATTTACATTACGAAATTAGAGTTAGGCATGTTGTACTCAGTTTCACGAAAGTAGTTTCGATATATGCGAAAGTAATTTCGTAAAAGAATGAGTGTCGCGAAATCCACAGTATCGTAGTAACCATGGCGCCATCAGCATCAAATCTATATTTTGCTATATTCAATGTAGCTAAAGAAATGCTTGTATATACTTAAACTTAAAAAAAGATTATCAAGAAAAAAAAGACGTTGGTAGATTTGAGGATGGTTAACAAGAAGGCATTTAGGTGCAATGAAGTTAGTCTCTGAATTAGCAGATGAAGATCCTGAGAGCTATAAAAACTATTTTCGAATGAGTGAAGATAATTTTAATTTTTTACTCTAGGTGTTTCAGGTTCCAGAGAGACACGCTTGTCGCTGTTATGAAAGCGCAGGCGCTTTCGCGACACTAGTTCACGTCGCGTCTACACTATCTATGAAATTAGTTGCATGACACTAATTTCACCAAAAAATCGCGCAGGGCACGAAACTTATTTGCATTCATGAAATTAATGCATGCATTACGAAAATATTAAATTACACGTGAAACTGTTGGTAAAACTAATGTCACGAAATTAATTTCAAGCCACTAATTTCGTTATGTAAATTCGCCCTTACAGTAAAAGTGGCCATATCAGCTGGAGTTACATACTTTTCGATCATCGAAAGCAACTGCACAGATCAAAGTCATTATGTGATTGTCGGTCAACCGGTTTGGGATGTTAAGGCAGCCGAGTACATGAGCTCAGCCGGAGACGTGCTCACATCAGCCAGCGCCTGGATGTATGTGAACGAAGCCGAATATTGCACTCAGCCTTGTGGAGACGGAAGGCACACTAAGGTTATTCGGCTTAAAACACGAAAAATTATTCATTTGTTACAAGTATAATTCCTGATAATAATAATTTAATATTTATTTATTTATTAGACAAAAAATACACATAACATGCTAAAAAAACATACACAATAAAGAACAACAAGTAAAAACATATGTGTGGTGTCGTGGGACACCGGATAGGAACGAAGTTCTTTAATATAAAAATATTAATCTTAAGTTCTATTCGAGGTATAAAGAAAATAAAACTGGCGGTTTCGCAATAACCCACGGTCATTAGGTAACGTGCGAACTTATTGTGGTACACTTCATTCACGGTTGTTTGCATAAGAGTTAGTGTATTGCTAAACGAACGCTCTGAAATCGTAGTCAATGAATGATAAAAAAATATGTTATTTTTTGTACGTTTTTACAATGTTAAGTCGCACACTGTGTGCATTACTAATAAAAATCTTACGTTACGGACGTTTTTCCCGGTTAGGGTACCCCTCCACATCGTTCCATAAGGAACTTTGTTCCAAAATCTAGCTTGTAACATAAGCCATTTGCGCACGTTCATCAAGATAATGTGCTAAGTACACAATGTTACTTGCAACTATATGAAAAAACTACACACGTCCATTCAACACGACAACTACAAACAAATTTATCAATAATAGATTTATATAAATTTCTTAATTGAAATAAAATACTTTAAGAGTATTTATTGTATCCAAAGTGCCTAAAATATTACCAGTAGGTATTAGTTTTTCAAACAATCCTGTATACGTGGTCTCAAATTACGCCAACCTGTCTTGTCACAAGTAATTACGCAAAGCAATCAATTCTGCGGATTTGATTTTCATTACACGACCGAGGCCTTCATAATGGAAGCCTTTTATGAACATTTTTATTGAGCCATTTACGTAGTAGCGAAGTATTATAGTAGGTACTACTATTTTTTTAATTTTTAAATTGCTTAGACGGGTGGACGAGCTCACAGCCCACCTGGTGTTAAGTGGTTACTGGAGTCCACGACGTAAATGCGCCACCCACCTTGAGATATAAGTTCTAAGGTCTCAAGTATAGTTATAACGGCTGCCCCACCCTTCAAACAAAAACGCATTACTGCTTCACGGCAGAAATAGGCGGGGTGGTACTACTAGTACGTTTTTATTATATTTTCGATTTGTTAAACTTTTCTGAAACCTGCTAATAACTTATTGATTGCTTTACGCTTCTGTTCACATTTAGGTGCGTAAGACAAAATATGTAGGTATGTCGGGTTACGACTCAGACATCAGGAATGTAACCGAGGTATAGCACATAGGAATTTATTTCTATTAAATAATCACTGATCGTAACCCAGTAATTTAAATGAACTATAAAAACGGAGACTGAACTAATTAAATGACAATCCTGAGGCGAGGCCACGGCAGTACTATTTGTCACGGACAGAGTTCCGTACACCCACGGCAATAGGGACAGTACTTATCGTCAAGGACAACGTTCCACATCCAATGTTGTGCAGTACTGACTGTCGAAAGATAGTGGTTGGTACGTACACCAAGACGCATCCGCTCAAATGCGTGCAGTGTGCTTAGTGCGAGTTTCTTAACGTTCTCGATAGCGTAAAAGTTAAACCAATTTAGTATGTAGTTGGAAAAGCGCCCCTAACGGCAAACATACGCAAACGATACCATTCCATATACAAATATGAGCTAACTTTTACGCTATCGAGAACGTTAAAAAACTCGCACTAAGCACACAGGACTATAATCTATGTGCAGAACTAATTCCCCACCCGACGATACCGCAATCGTGCTGCCATCTCTCGGGAATCGTGCTGCGCTTCGTTTAGCTACCAAACTAATGACCATCACTGACATGTATATCAAACAAGACGATAACATTAAATTGCAGGTATTAGGAGTAGGGGCTTCTTGGAAAAGAGTAGAAAAATTACGCAACACATTGGTACAAGGTATATAATTTATATAGAATTTTACCACAGTTGAATATTTTTTTTTTGAGGAAGTTCTAATTCTAATCACCTTGTGTTTCAGATTCAACTTTACCTAATGTTTCGAATCATGTTGGTGTTGAATCAGAATGTATATCGAACGATTACAGGGAATATTCACGTAAGCCTTACGCTATGCACGTATTATACGATTTATTAAAGAACGTATCAAAATCATTAATTTAGTGCCGTCATAAAAAGTCATTATTAAGTCCATGGATCGGTTAAAGAGCTCAAATCTTTCATACCTACATTAATAACAACAGTAAATCATTGTTTTGAAAATGAGGAAATGTAAAAGTAGGTACGTACACCTAAAATTAACGCCATACGATCGTTTTATTTATGCTCTAATCAGCTAGTGCTTTAGAGCATCATCAAATCGTGGTGTGTCACCATTATTGTACTAAGTTTGAGAAATAACACCTAAACGGACGAAAAAACGGACTTAAGATTAATATAGTGAAGGAGCCGCCTGGAATCAGTGGTTACCGATCGAAGTTTTAATTGTAGGCGTTTCTCCCTGCCTCATGTCTCAATTACACAACGGCTTCTCACTCTTCAAACAGACAAGATTATGATATTTAGCTTTACGGGCCCCTACTTTAATATTTAGGTACTACCAGTGTGCTTAGTGCGAGTTTTTTAACGTTATCGATAGCGTAACAATTAAATCGTATGGGGTTGGAACCTTTGCCTACGTTTGCCGCTAGGGGCGCTGTTCCAACTGCATACAAAGAGTTACTTTTACGTTATCGAGAACGTTAAAAAACTCGCCCTAAGCACACTGATCATGATTACCTTAATTATAGGGTTCGTTCATTCAAATTATTCTATGACCTTATTAGTTCGACCAGCAGTAGTAGCAGCCATGCGGAGTACGTGGTGGCCGTCTCTGCGTCGCTTTATGCTTGGTCCTGTACTCCGAGCGGTGGACAACGACGAGCCCATGGACTTCTTGACTGAAGTTCGTCGGGTCGTCGTCGTATTTCTGAACATAATCACGAACAGCGTTTCCGAGAATGTTTTGATTGATATTGTAAATGAGGCATATAAGCGTGTTTCTTGGTTGGTTTTTGTCATTTTATCGTTAAAATGAAAATCTATTTGTTTACGTGTTGTGTTGTGTATTTTTCTATGCACCTCAGTTTGCTTGACTAATTCATTGTTCATTGATCATCGTAACTTATTTAAATACTATGATTTATAAACAGTACAGTATAGATACTCGTAGTACAGTACAGTTTTCAATATTTTTTTTATTGATGCACGAAACAAATTACAATCGTTACAGTACATATTAGTTAAATCGTACAAGTAGTACCTAGATCTAATCTGGATTGCAATCTAAATAGTATGTGTACTCAGAAAAACCATATTAATGTGCATAGCTTTGGCTATTTTACAAATTTAATTATATTACATATCAATCATTATTTTATTTAGTTTCAAGTACACCATGATTATTATCATGCTTTTTTTCACACATTATACAATTATAATTATTTAATATAATTATTTACGTTATACAATGTCAGTTGTATTGTATAACGTACCTATCTCCCCTTCAAATCGGAACGCATGATTGCTTCACGGTAGAAATAGGCAGAGTTATGGTACACATTGTATGCGCTCACAATACTCCATACTATCAGTAATGCCAGTTGGCGATCACATTTTTCTGGTATGAAATAACGATAAAGGTGCCTGCCATTCTTAGATTATACCTTTAGCGCCTTTTACGGCACCGCTGGAAAGATGAGATGACGCTATTTCTAGGCCGACACCGCACAGCTAAAAATCATCAAATCAATGATGTATCATTTAATACCTAGTCAGGTCATAAGTATTGTCACACAGTAAAAACTTTTCTTTTAGAATGCTGGCCACAAAAAAGTTTATTGAATTCGAATTTCGAATTGTTCATTAAAATAAAAATGTATACTTTTAGAATTTTACTCATTTTTAAATATGGAGTGGACGCTTAAAGAAGACCGTGTTGCAGTTATTGCGTTGCATCGTTGCGGTTATGCGCCAATTCAAATTTTTAACATACTGAAAATTTTGAATATAACCAAAAGATTCGTTTATCGTACCATCAAACGATACAATGAAGACTCTAGTGTAGATGACAGTTCAAGAAGTGGTCGCCCTCGGTCTGTTAAGACTCCAGCAGTGATAAAAGCTGTGAAGGCGCGAATTCAAAGAAATCCCAAACGTAAGCAGAAACTGTTGGCCCTTCAGATGGGGTTAAGCAGAACCACGGTGAAAAGGTGTTAAATGAAGACTTAGGGCTTCGGGCATATCGAAGAAAAACAGGACATCGTTTGAATGCTCGTCTAATGGACCTGAGACTGAAGAGATGCCGCGCTTTGTTGAAGCGGTACGCGGGAAAAAAATATCGGGAAATTCTTTTTTCGGATGAAAAATTTTTTACCGTAGAAGAGAGCTACAACAAACAAAATGATAAGGTGTACGCACACAGTAGTGAAGAAGCGAGCAACCGTATTCCGCGTGTCCAACGAGGTCATTTTCCATCCTCGCTCATGGTATGGTTGGGAGTTTCTTATTGGGGCTTAACAGAGGTACATTTTTGTGAGAAAGGTGTAAAAACGAATGCAGTTGTGTATCAAAATACAGTCCTGACGAACCTTGTGGAACCTGTTTCTCATACCATGTTCAATAACAGGCACTGGGTATTCCAACAAGATTCGGCGCCAGCTCATAGAGCGAAGAGCACACAAGACTGGCTGGCGGCGCGTGAAATCGACTTCATCCGGCACGAAGACTGGCCCTCCTCCAGTCCAGATTTGAATCCGTTAGATTACAAGATATGGCAACACTTGGAGGAAAAGGCGTGCTCAAAGCCTCATCCCAATTTGGAGTCACTCAAGACATCCTTGATTAAGGCAGCCGCCGATATTGACATGGACCTCGTTCGTGCTGCGATAGACGACTGGCCGCGCAGATTGAAGGCCTGTATTCAAAATCACGGAGGTCATTTTGAATAAACTTTAGTGTCATAAGAATCTATGTTTTGTTAAGTTCATTTTGGTATATGAATGGTTACATAATGAATAAACTTGTTTCAATTATTTTACATTAAACATGTGACAGAATTTACGACCTGACTAGGTATATATAAAACTACAGTGGCTTTTACGGATGTTCCGTTATAACTACTGAACCATGCATCCGATCGACTTGAAACTTGGTATTCATGTAGAGAATACTTGTACTTAATGGATAGGCTAATATTTATATGAGTGTTGGACTCCCTACACCAGTTGCGGGGGCGTTAATGATGAGAATCTTTGTGGGCGTGAGAAATAATAATGTTAATTTTAAATTCCCAGCGAAGCGGCTGGGTACAGCTAGTCTTTAATAATTACACAAATCGCGTTAGTTTTTTTCCACAGTGCGGCATCGGATTCCGGTGGCTTAGTGAACAAAGTTTCAATGTTCGATAAAGACATGATGTTCCTGGTCGTATTTGGACTCAGAGGTCTGAAGCAAGAAAACGAAGCTCAAAAGGCTCTAGCGTGCGCTGATCAGTTGAAACAGACTTTGAATGAACCCAATATTAATGTTGTCTCAATCAGCGTTACTTCTGGTCAGTCAAGATTTTCTTGTAGTGTGTACATTAATTAATAAATAAAAGTACACTAGATAATATTGTAGCTAATAAAAACGTAATAAAACTTACCCTTGATTATTAAAACGTACTATTAAAAAAAATTGAGGAAATTTTCGATTAAGCAACTTTATTGTTTAAAGTAGTCTTTTCTAAGATTTTTCTAAGTCTAAGTCTATTTTTTAAGTGTAAGGTTTTTAAATTACAATATACTAACAGGAACAACATATTGCGGAGTCGTCGGTCATGTTCTACGGCGTGAATATACTGTGATAGGTCCAACTGTGAATAAGGCAGGTATAAAATTACTAGTTTTTTTTCGGTATAAAAATTATTAAGGCTGTCACAGTAATAACCATCTTAGGGCCGATAGGCAGCGGCTTGGCTCTGCCCCTGGTATTGCTGAAGTCCATGGGCGACGGTAACCACTCACCATCATGTGGGTCGTATGCTCGTCTGCCTACAAGGGCAACAAAAAAAATTAAAAAAAAACCTTAGATAAGCTGATGGTAGTTGGTCAGGTTGACGGGAGAAGATCACGCGGACGCTCGCCTACCCGCTGGTCTGATCTAGTAAAGACGCTCACCAGCCTACCAATAACCGAGGCAGTAAAGACCGCCGAGGACAGGAAGACGTGGGGAAAGATAGTGAGTGCATCGAGTGGTCAACATTTCAAACTAGACAAGAACTTCAGCAATTAAGAGACCGACTCAGAAGAAGAAGAATAACAAAAAGGGTCGAGGTGTAGATGAAGAGGTCGTTACATTACAATGCAGAGGTTTTTGGAACTTTATAGAAGTTTAAAATGTTTCTAATAAGGAGAACCAGGAACTATCTTATCCCTACTTTGAATCACTAAAGGCCCTAAAAGTAATGTTCTTGAATAATTAAAGAATCCTATCTAATTTGTGTTGCGTAATACAATTGAAAATTAGATCTCACCCTTATCATCTCCGGATGCTTCTGATGTCTATGGTATCCGGTAACGACTCAACAGCAGGTGTTCATTGAGGTCGTAATCCCATTGATGCGATAAATAAAAGTTTGGTCTTTTTTTTTTCTTTTTTTTTTTTTTTTTTTTTTTTTTTTTTATAGCCTTTGTAGGCAGACGGGCATACGGCCCACCTGATGGTGAGTGGTTACCGTCGCCCATGGACTTTAGCAATGCCAGGGGCAGAGCCAAGCCGCTGCCTACCGCTAAAGTCTAAAGTCTAAATAGTAAGTTCGAAAAACCATTAACTTTTGGTGATTCCAGGCGGCCCGTCTGATGATGGCATATCCAAACGTTATNTTTTTTTTTTATAGCCTTTGTAGGCAGACGGGCATACGGCCCACCTGATGGTGAGTGGTTACCGTCGCCCATGGACTTTAGCAATGCCAGGGGCAGAGCCAAGCCGCTGCCTACCGCTAAAGTCTAAAGTCTAAATAGTAAGTTCGAAAAACCATTAACTTTTGGTGATTCCAGGCGGCCCGTCTGATGATGGCATATCCAAACGTTATTTCGTGCGACAAGGAAACGTTTCTGAAAAGTAAATTAAATCAAGAATACTTTAGGGTTTTGGAGATAAAGCCCCTGAAAGGCATAGCTAAGCCTGGACCGGTGTACGAGTTCAGCATGACAGGGTTGGTAGAACATTATTGTGTTTGTTGAATTTCTACTGGGCTCTTGAAGTGAATGAAAACGCTTTTCGACGAATCTCGAAATACCATCGCACCGCCCGCCACCGGAGTAGAGTTCATCCATACTACCTGGAGCCACTGCGGTCATTCACAGTGCGTTTCCAGAGGTCTTTTTTGCCACGTACCATCCGGCTATGGAATGAGCTCCCCTCCACGGTGTTTCTCGAGCGTTATGACATGTCCTTCTTCAAACGAGGCTTGTGGAGAGTATTAAGCAGTAGGCAGCGGCTTGGCTCTGCTCCTACAAATACACTACAAATCACGCTACGTAAATCGTCTATACCTCAATATTTTCAAATGGAAATGTTGGATGCATGTTCAAAATCGTATGGAAATGCAAAATAAAGGGGTGCATGTTCAAAATCGTACATACATTTTATAATTAATTTCATTTTTTTTTCCTACCTATGCTGATAGCCTTGAGAGGCTATTTAAGCTTCACCCTAAAGTTTGTAGGTAAGCTCACGGGGCTCAAACCGGAGAGTTGCTAACACTGACCCTAGCAAGAGCAGTGCTTCACAAAATCTACCACCGCATCGGAAACGCGACCCACTGAGAAGATCAGACGAGAAAAACAGTGGGCTGTGTCTTTGAGTTAATTCGCTCGTCGAGCCCTTCGTCGCAAGCGACGGTTCGACGAGGACGGTGACCGGATAATTGCTTCATACACGTGCATACTACGTTAAGTTCATATGTGGTGTTATAATTTGAGTTTTAATGGTTTGAAATTAAACTTATATTCCAGTTGGTCGCAACGGAGTGTAGCCTCCAAGCATCCTATACTGGGCCGGACCGAAGAGCTAAGTCAGTACGAAATGTACTTGCATAACGCGATACTACAGCATCAACAGGATTTCACACGTTATCGAGACAATAAATTCGCCATTGCTTTTATTGTTAGTTGCAAATTGTTTCTCGTTTTCGTTTTAATCACTACATAGTATAAAACAAAGTCGCTTTCTCTGTCCCTATGTATGCTTAAATCTTTAAAACTACGCAACGGATTTTGATGCGGTTTTTTTTTAATAGATAGAGTGATTGAAGAGGAAGGTTTATATGTATAATAACATCCATTAAATAGTGGAGAAATCAATAATAAATTACAGTTTCCGAAGCGAAGCGAGGGCGGGTCGCTAGTCTATACTATAATAATATTATAAAGAGGAAAGATTTGTTTGTTTGTTTGTTTCGAATAGGCTCCGAAACTACTGGACCGATTTGAAAAATTCTTTTTCCATTAGAAGCCGACATTGTCCCTGATGAACATAGGCTACTTTTAAAAAAAAAAAATTTTTTTTTTGTTTGTTTCATGTGTGTTTTAATGTTTCCGAAGCGAAGCGAGGGCGGGTCGCTATACTAAATAAAGTAATATTTTTGTCGACGTCAATATTAAAAGCATAGGGGTTTTTAGAATACCAAAAGAAATTCAGAATGTAGTAATAGTTTATGTAAGTGACATTAATTAGTAAACCTATTTACAGGGTCCGAATTCGATAGGCAAGACTCGATTGCTGGAGGAATGTCTTGTAAATACGCCGAAGTTTATTAAATACGAAAAGTTCGTACTGGATCACTACGATAAGGTAACAGCTTTATTTAAAAAAAAAAATCGTTGTCATTACGAGCAAACGGGTTATGTGATCTTTCAGTACTATAGCTACTGTTTATTGATATGGACTGTTTTGAAACCTTTTTGCGGAAGTGTGTATGTACCTTGTGATTGGATCGAGACTTTGATCTCATATCTGGCGGTAGTGACGTCACGATAGGGTTTTTACTTTTTAACATTTCAAACAAGTGACTTAGGTAAATATAATTTATTGTCAAAGCCGTTACCAATAGTCGCCTTTTTATTTAGAATAGTTTCAATAGTTTCAGCTAGTTGCTAGATGATAGTTTAATGCTGAATTTATTTGGAGAGATATTTTCAAGAAATAAACTTTTTTGGCATTGCGATTTAAAACACGATGTAACGTTATTATGTCGAGGCTAAAAAGAGAAACATCACACACATTACAACAAATAATAGTGAGAATAAGCGTTAGAATATGTACTTCTGAAAGTTTTTCTCTCCGAACTGTACTCATATTTTCTTTTAGGTGTCTTTCAAAGGCTTTCACTATATTCTTTCAAAAGTCTTCACTGGATCAAAGTCTTTTCGAGAAAACTCTGAAAATAGAGTTAGATTCAGGTCAGGCTTACAAATGATTTTTGATATTAGATTATGTCTTAGTATGTAAGACCCACCAACCACCAACATGTAAAAATTAACAGAAATTAATTTAATATGAAATAAATAAATCGATTGAATTACTCTTGAAAATCAATAGTCGAGATATTTTTCGCGGAGAATCTGACCTGACCGTAAGAAACCAGTTTTGAATTTGGAATTTGAAAAAATTAGTACAAAATGTTGTTGTCGAAGAAGCATTTAAGTATCTTTCTGAATATTATTTCTAATTTTTTGCGTACGTATTTTACGCTTTCATTTCATTTTACAATCGCTTTTTTTGTATGTTCAACGTGTCGTAGATAGTTTGTATTATTAGATACATTTATAATTAATTTGAGGAAGGATTCTTCGGTATCGCAATAAAACCTCGAGATGTACATCGATATATAACATACTGCCGTCGTAATGGATACTTGATAATGATTATATTTGCACTATATGATTATATTTTGTAGTATTGATCTGAGTTACGCTACACCGATTCAAATACACGCAGTTAACATTGTTTTCGATTGTCGTTTTCCATTACCGGAAAATTTTCAACACGAAGAAGATTTGTTGGACGATTTGAGCGTCAAGCAGGTGATACGTAATGTATGGAAACGGGTTAGTTCGTTCTTCATAATTATGAAAGGTCAGAAGTGACGTGAGTGTGGGATGGACATGTGATGCGTAGAGAGAAGATGCATGTGACTAGGAGATGTATGGAAATGGTAGTGCAAGGTAGAGGGGGAAGAGGTCGACTGAAGAATGTGTGAATGACGATGGAGTGTGTGAATGACGATATGAGAGAGAGAGAGGAGTGAGTGTTGAGTTGACGGCTGATAGAAGAGAATGGAAGAGAAAAATTAGCTGTGCCGACCCCACCTAGTGGGATACGGTGGAGAAAAAAAAGAAGATATTAATATACAAGAATTGCTCGTTTAAAGGTATAAGATAAAATATATTATTTTGTGATTGTGATTCCGTAATTGTTTCAATGTGAAAAATTAGCTGTACCGACCCCATGTAATGGGATAAAGTGGAGAAAAAGAAAAGAAGTGACACGTCTGCATTTAAAGGATAACCGCCATTTGTTTTACGTCATGAATAAATAGAAATGTTGAGGCTACCAAAATAAACGGAATTGTATTTCAGCAATTCAAAAATTTATGGGTGGCCGCTATTGATAACGCACATTACTTGGACGACGAGTCCTGGAGAGTTTTACTGATAATTTTAGATACGAAGACCGTTTTTATGGTCATTGCCGTATCCGATGATGAGGAGCATACGCGTGAGTATCTCTGAATAGTATCCACTGGTAACTCTCTATAGCAAATTTATAATTAACTGTATAGGAAAAAGCGTGAAGATCGGACGGCCGATGGGGCAGAAAGCTCCTTGAGTGGGGACCCCGTACTAGCAAGCGCAGTGTGGGATGGCCACCTACCAGATGTACCCAATAAAAATCGTTGGGTCACGTTGGATACAGGTGGCAACGGACTGTCCACACTGGAGATCGATTGGAGAGGCCTATGTTCAGCAGTGGACAGTGGATAGGCTGACGATGACGATGATGTTGAGGAAACCCAAATTTAAATTAAACAGACAGTCCTGTGTTCTGTTTTAAAGGGTCGGATAACGGTTAGCCTTTATAGTAGCAAGTATGATTTCGACTTCATGTCTGAAGTTGACTGGTGTCATTAACATCATCATGTGGACAGCAGTAACCTTACACCAGGTAAGCCGTGAACTCAGCCACAAACCTAATACAATGAAAAAAGGTACGTAGACACAAAACATAGGTGTAAACTTAATATGTACATTTTATGTTCAATGTACTCGTATAGATTTGTATTTTATTATTAATAAAGGGACGTCACTATTCGTCGTAAATTGTCAAGTTAAAAAGGGTCGTTGAGAAGCCTACTTTTTAGTTCTTCGCTAATTTTTACGGTTTAGTGGCCAATGGGTCCTCTGTTCAGAATTTAACTTTTTGGTCTTTTTTTTATTACTTAGATGGATGGACGATCTCACAGCCCACCTGGTATTAAGTAGATACTGGAGCCCATAGACATCTATAAAGTATGCGCCACCCACCTTGACATATAAGTTCTAAGGTCTCGATATAGTTACAACAGCTGCCCCACCCTTCAAACTGAAACACATTACTGCTTCACGGCGGAAATAGGCAGGGAAGGTACCTATCCGTGCGGACTCACAAGAGGTCCTACCACCAGTAATTACGCAAATTATAATTTTGCGGGTTTGATTTTTATTACCCGATGTTATTCCTTCACCGTGGAAGTTAATCGTGACCATTTATTAAGTAGGTACGTATTTCATTAGAAAAATTGGTACCCGCCTTGCGGAATTCGAGCACCGTTGCATTACTAGATACGAATGCACCGGACGATCCTTTAGGCCACGACAACTTCGCACTGATTGTATGTTAATAAAGAACATAGATGAATTTTATTGAAAAAAAAAAATTTGATAATTTATCTGAGTAAAATATTATTTGAATATTTAAAGCAAGCATTCAAGCAGTTATCGAAAATTCTCACCAAACAATACACATTGTTACGCTATTCTGAATAAATTTTGTAGTTAAGCTTGGCTAAAAAAATTTTTAAGATGAATTATATACAAAATACGATAAAGATCTTTATTTTTATATAGTTAGGTAAATACATCATAATAAATTTTGTAGAATATAACTTTCACCTTCACGAATTAAGCTCTTTTCTTCTCTTTCATCCCTTACTTTAGCGACGGTCAAAAATTGTCTAGAAAACAGCATGATAGTTAATATCCGACTGTCGGGCATAGACAGGTGGTTCCATGCAGCCCTGGCATGCCAATTGCTAGACGTTCAAGCGATACCGGCTGATCTAGAGAAGTTTGTATTTTTTTTCTTTTTGTTTAAATCAAAATGTTCTAGTTTATGGGTCATGGAAGGTCTTTAATCTGGACAGATTGTTACTTAACCTTTAATTTATTATTATTTTTTGTTTTTATTATATTTATGTGCATTGCTTTGGCTTTGATTCATATTATACCTCGTAACATCGAATATGGATAAATAAGAAAATAATAAATGTTTTCTTCTGGTTTGATAATAAAACATATAATTTGGAATCTACCTTAGGTAGGTATGTGAAAGTAAAATAGAGTCATTGAAATTGGCATCTTGCTCGAGGTGTTTATCGGTAAATGGGAGAAATAAAAATATACATAGACAAAGACGTATGATTTCCAGAATCTTTCATATGGTGTAAAAGTGGCGAAAAAAAACGGAAATTTGATGGGAAATCTTTCACTTCTTAGTTGTAGAAAAAGAAGAAAGGCTGTTATCGTTATCACAATAACAATCATATCTATCGATTGCTTTCTTGTACAGTTATCAATAAATATCAATTTACGAATCTATTGCTAAAATATCCAAAGCTTAACTTGTACACTATTGTACCTAACATTGTACAATCTGGCTAGTTTTTCAATATTGCTCACATTCTTCTAATTTGTTTAAGCGCTAGAGACAAACGTAGTTAGCGTTTTCTAAAATTGCACAAACTATACTTATATACTGATTTGTATTTTTGCTCTTAACAGAGTTATAGAAACGGCCAGTGCTGGGATGCCGGGTTGGATACAAAACTTCGTGATCTCACTGGTTCAACGAGGAGCCTTGTCAATAGTAACGGTGACTCGTGAAGAAGCAATAGATTTAGGTGCTGTGGTTCCATCATCGACCCTTCTGCGTCGGACTGATGTTCATATAGGAGCTCAGTATGACGATGCTTTATCGAAGAGGCTTAGTTACCAAGTTAATACCACTGAACTTGTCATTCATTGTTTTTCTTTTATATGATCCATTAATTTTACAATTCATTAATGAATAATCTGGACTCCAGAATCAACTTCGAGGGGTGAAAGGTTCTTTGGTTTAAGCGATGTTTCGGTTAATACGCGACATTTATTTTTGTAATTAAAAAACCGTTTTATTTGGTATTAGTATCAACAATTTGATGTTTATACCTAATTGAACTTCAATTATACCCTATGCAAATAGCTGAAGAAGTTTTTTTGTTGTGATATTTTTTCCAAATTTTAATCTTTAGATGGCTCTTCTGTAAAGTTGCAAAAATGTCGCTAAAAAAGGCCTTTCACCCTTTTAAGCCTTTAAACCAAAATTTCTATAGGCATTGGGGGATTTACCACCCGATTTAGTAGACGAAGTGGAGTAGATATTGATAGATGCTATTAGATCCATATAAACAATTCAACATGTAAAATGTTTGGCCAAAGTGTAGAAGTCACTAGGAGCCGCAGAATTTGAATAGCTTATTGGTGACCAATGAATTAATTCGCAATTGTCTATAGACTTCTACCTCCAAACTTTGTTATAATATAAGTATTATTATATAAGCCAGCTCTTTTGGAGATGAGTAGCGGATGGGAGATTGACTAAAATCTAAGCTAGATGACATAAAAACGCGTCACCCGTTTCAGAGTATCTACAGTATATTAAGCATTAGTGCCTTTAGTAAACAAGGAAGCACGTTCACGATCCAAGAAATGGATACTATACAAATGGCTGTGCTAGCGGAGTCTTTTAATTTTGATGACATTACAATGGACATGAGTATGGATGGTAATAGATAAACGCTTTACGTTTGACAATACAAAATGTACTATATACACTAAAAACGAATAAAAATAGGATTCTGGCCAAGTTAAGATTGGGTCGGACCAGAAAGAGGGTTGACAGCCTTGCTTGTTCCTAACATCATGGTCTTCAGTCTATTCTATAGACTTAATATGTCCAGCCGTGTTGATGGCGCTAATAATAGCACCGAAATATCGAGAACTCATTGAATAATTGTATTTATTAGTTGTACTTTGTCTCCCGGTTTTTTGAACATTGATTGTTGGAAAAAGTTTCTAACTTAATGTCCATAAGCTCGGATTTTCTCCTGCGTAACATGTACCTACCGGAAATACATTCGCGACATAACAATCCAAGCCCAATTTAATTACATATTATATTAGGCACATTAAAAAATGGGTGTTCCAAGTAGTTAAGTTTAAATATTGTTTGACGTTAAAATTGAACTGAATTTATTGGTTTTTTTATAGCTGTAATCCTGAAAACTTACGATTCTCTTAATCCATACGAAAAAATGTTGCTCAAATGTGCATCGGTACTTGGAGACGTGTTTTCAAGACGAATGCTTATGCACTTACTACAGAACGATTCTCCGAGAACTGTTGCTCTAGGTATTCACAGTTGATTTAATAATGGTCGTAAAATATTCATCTAATTATTAGAAATTACCGGCAATTAATTTTATCAACCAGCATACATCGGTACTGCGGTAGCACTTTTTTTATTTATTGCTTAGATGGGTGGACCAGCTCACAGCCCACCTGGTGTTAAGTGGTTACTGGAGCCCATAGACATCTACAACGTAAAATGCACCACCCACCTTGAGATATAAGTTCTAAGGTCTCAAGGATAGTTACAACGGCTGCCCTACCCTTCAAACCGAAACGCATGACTGCTTCACGGCAGAAATAGGCAGGGTGGTGGTACCTACCCGTGCGGACTCACAAGAGGTCCTACCACCAGTAAAGCACGTTCCTATTACGGCTTCTAAACAATCATGCCATACTGTTTGAAGATGTAGGATATGGTGTTGTTCTATGCAGTTGTGAATCAGACTTTGTCTCAAGATAGGTGGCGGTACGTAAACTCTGTTGCTTGTAGGGTCTCGTAAAAACCATACACCATATGGGCCGTTTATTCGTTTTGTTTGTAAATTTTTGTTTTTTACTCCAAAGCTGTGGCAAAACTTTTCGTCATCAAAGTGTTAGAATGTGAAGGGGGAGATTTTACTCGAGATCTATCCATGGTGCTAGTCCATCCCGCTCCGACTTTACCGTCCATGGCCCCTTCTGCACCATACTGTAAGTGCCTTGGAACAAGACAACCAGGTAAGCTAATGTTGAAGGCGATTTTTAACTGTTTTTTTTTGTTTTTTTTTTCACAATTTGTTTACAGCCATTTGTTCTTTGTGAAATGGCGAGAATGCACTGAGACTATCAACTTTTTGCAAGAGTCCGAGAAACTATGTACTTGCTATTTATATATAGAACCACGCTTTTGATCTTTCTCGAAGACTAAGCCCGCTATGACAACTTGTTTAAGCCTACAGAAAAAATAAACTGGACAATTAGGACTGATTAAAACTAGTTTTATGGTTTAATTTCGTATTTTATTTATAGTATTTCGTATTCGTATTATCACTATAATATTTCCGACGTTTCGCGTAGGTACTTTACAGTTTTCGTGGTCATGGACGACCAAGGCGTTTTTCATCGTTTGAATATTATGCTAACTACCGTCTATGTTTCTAAAAAATATATTTCTAGACTTTTCGTTTCATTGAAACATGCGAGATATAGTTTTATGTTTACGACTAAGGAAAACCGAAGAAAATATAATTAAGATCTGATACCTCAACGTGGGAACGGGAATCCGCGATGCGATCTCTGCTGGCTTCGATAATTATAATAGCTTAACACTCGGTGGGCTGTAGGACCACTTAAGCAAGACGAGGCGACGGCTCTGAGCTGTTCTGTGTAAAAAAAAAAATGTAGCATTTTCAGTTACTCACTATTTTTGAACTGTAGCTTGCTGCGAAGATCTCCCAAATTATGCTTTCTGCGGGTACATGAAATTCAGGCATCCCTTATTTCGGTCTACAACATACGATCTTCTGACTGAGAATCAAAAGGTTTTTATTATTAAACTCCTATCAGTAAATCGAATTAGTATTTAATGTAGATTAATTTGAGTATAGTCTGTAGTGAACAATTTTAATTTTGTTATCGTTATAGGTATAGACACACAGAAATTAAGTAAAAACATCGTAACGGTAAAATGTTGTTCCTTGTCATTTAAATGTTATAGTTTTTGTTATAGTACATATTTATATGAACCGAATTAGCTGTGGCGACCCCATCTAGTGGGATAAGGTGAAGGTAAAGAAGAAGAAGTAGCTATTTATTTGGACCGGTTTTGAAAATGATGACTCGTGATTTATTTATTTATTTATTTAATCAACAATGTTTCAACAGCATTTAACTAGACACAGGGTACAGAGGATGTTTTCCGAAACATAAGCCAATTAAAGAAACACATTGTTTTCAAAAAATGTTAACATAATTAATGAACACAGGTAGTCCAACTAAGGTAAAGGCAGTTAAATAGGTAGATGAATTTTGTCGAATGATAACTTGCAAAATAAGTTTGAATCTGATTGTGTTGTGTCGATGTGTGTAAGTGCGTGTGATTTTTGTTTTTATTATTATCAATGGCGGATCTTATGAATTACATGGGGCTATGGCCTATGTAGGTACGTAAGGGGTACCGCATCGCTACCTACTATAGCCAGTCTCGAGGGCATCGACCTTTCCGATACATTGAAGTCTCATGAAATATGAATGCAATCTACTACTCAAACAACACGTAGGTATACGTATGTAGTTAGATTAGTAGTAAGTGAATATTGTTTCCAGTTTAATTTCGGTCTACTTCTCATATAAGTACGTAAGTCAGTGCATAAATTAATAAGCCATAAAGGTGCAATGTAATTTTCAATTTGATTACGATTGCTTTCATGACTGAATTCTTTCACAAATACTATAAGATTAATTTATAATTATTTAGCTTCGTTTATCATTGATTAAATATTACATTTTTTTCGAAATGTTAATACAATATGATGTCATGGACAAGGGCGGATCCAGCTTTGGTGCCAGGAGGGGGTCACATAGCCATGGTCAAGTCAAGAACTTATAATTTAATTTTGATAACAATAGATACAAGTAAAAAGTAGGTATTTTATTAATGTACGTAAGTACTGAACTTAAAAGTATTTATTCTTTATTGTACACTTGAAAAACTTAACACAATAACTTGTACATATACACGTACATATTGTCATCTTTCTTGAAGACATCCAGAGAAGCACTATCACGCCCGGAATGAGGCAGCTTATTTATATTCCATAACCGTGGTGAATGGTTTGTCATAACAGCTAGAGGTATAGAGGGGTATGACGCAAAACTCCGCAAAAGCGGTACGACAAGGGTTTCCAACAAACAAAATAGAAACGACAAAATACATATATTTAAATAACAAAATAAATTTTTCTTTTACGTCTTCTCCCGAAACCCGTTATTACGTCATTTACGTCAATGGGTACGTTTTTATGAACGTGGAGAAGTGCCAGTCCGGTTAGGCGATCTTCAACCATTGAAGATCTTAGCCACGATTTAATTCTGCGCAACGTAGAGAAAGACCTTTCTGCTGTCGCTACCCTGACAGGTAGTGTGGCCATAATACATAAAAAAAATATTATATTAGGATACATATTGATGTCACAATTTAAAATAAGATCAGAAATCGATTGCGGTATGTCCTGGCTCTGCTGCCACTTCATCATCGAAAGCCGATATTCATTTACAATGACAGAAACTTGAGTATTATCTAGTAATAATGTATAGTCGGTAGCTAGTTGTTTCACAGTTTCAATGTCTTCATTACTATATTCGCTTTTTGGCATGAAAACGCATAGCTGAAAGAAATTGAGTACATCAGGAGACAGGCGGTCCTGGAGATCACTTATTATTGAATCTAGAAGAGGGATGTATATAGCTCTGCGGAAATACTCTTCAGTAGATTGAGCAGGTTGAATATTGGTCCTATGTATTTGTTGGTACTATTCTGGGGCATTTAATTTCTACATCTACCTGCTCAGCTACTTCTTTAGCCTCTTCAAAAAGCTGATGAAAGATTACGTCCACATTTTCTCTTTTATTTTGTAACACACTTAAAGTATCATTAATAGCGTTCGTAGCTTTTTTTTAAATCAATTGAGTTCGATTGCAATATTCTGCTTAAAGATACAGTAGTACCTGAGAAATAAAAAGTAAGTAGGCAGTTTTACAGTCCACTGCATTTTCCATAAAGACCTTACTTAAGTTTAGGCCCCTACACGATTTTTTATTACCTAGGTAGGTACTTACGTCAAATATGTAATACCTACTTACTTTAGGTAAGTATAGTGTTAAACAAGCAAAACAATTTCAGGTTCTCTAATATTTTATAGTTTTTAAAAATCTGTAATATACAAATAAAGTAAAAAGTAGTAGGTAGGTAGATTACTATTTACTTGTTGTAAATGCATGCCTGTTAATGAAGCGCAATGTTTTTGTGTCGCGCAACAGTTTGTATCGAAGTTTTCGCTAGGTGCTTTTAAAAACTTTAACGAAGATTATTTTTAAGTTTATGCACGCTATATTCATTCTGTAGGTTGCTCTCTTATTTTATATTTAAAAGCATTAAAATCAATGTGGTCACGACTATACACTTGATTTCATTGTGTGAATTTATCTAAGATTTCACGTTGGGTCAGTAACCTTATGCTCTTCAATCTCTCTCGTCCGATGTCGTGTCATGATCGTTTTAACTTAATTTGATAGACAAAGAAATATCGTTTCATATTCAGAAAACGATTTTTATATTCTCACCCAGGTTTAAGAGAAATCTGTTGTTTCTGCAGCTAAAATTAAGCTGTTAATTGTTTTCTTCGAAATCAATAATCGCTCTCATCATTATTTACAGTATTAAATAAGTTAATTGTGGTTAATATTGCTAGAAATAAGCCCTTATGTACATTTTATTATTATTATATCCTCATAATAATAATAAAATGAAATGAAAATCCGGAAGCCGGCAACGATATGGTTGTTGTTGTTTTTAAATTCGCCAATAAGCAGGCAAAGAGTGTAGCCTATAGAGCCTAGTCTGTCGTAGTTATATTTTTTTATGTCAATAAAAAGCCGGTGTATCTCTTTTTATTGCTTTTTGGGAGTTTTCATGTCAACTCGATGAATAGCACATTGAGTGAGCGTGAATTTCCGCAGACCTTTTATTTTGAAAAAAAAAAAACAGTCACTGCTATGTTAGCCACAGTTTTCTTCCAATGCCTCAATAATCATTCACGACATTTAATACACAAAACAATACCCAATTTATATATTATACATCACAATATATAAATATTGAATTGAACAAAAATAAACTAAGAAGTCTGTGAATTATAACCTTTAGCTATTTTTTTTTTATTTGTTGTTCAAGTCACAGACATCTCTTTCGTTTGGCAGCATATAGGCTTACTATAAGGCTGTATGAGCTAAGCCCTTTGCCTATCGGCGGATTTAATAACTATGGCACTCAGTTTTGGGATGTTATCAAATAAGTAATTTATTTTTTTGTAAAACAATGCCAGGTTGAAAGAAATGTTGATACATAAACTAAACAACTTGAAAAAATAAGGCATAGTTTTTCAAGTACAAATAGTTTTGACACAAAGTTGGCCCATTATTGGGCATTGTCCTTTTCGATGCGTTCGTTCCCAAACATTTGCCATCATACAAAGTTATTATATTAATTAATTAATGAGCAATATAAGGAGCAACAATATATTGTGTCCTAATCATTATGTTCAATATGTGGTCCACCTAGGTCCTGGAACCAGCTCAGGGGGGGGTCATGACCCCCATGACCCCCCCCCTGGATCCGCCCTTGGTCATGGAATAAATAGTACCTACTGGATGTGTATGTGTAGTACAGTGTAGTGAACAGAGTATTTAATACTATTTATATAACCACTACATATTTCAAATGAAAACATTTTTTTCCAGCACGATATGCACGCTAGAGCATTACTGTATTTGGAACGTTTCACACGTCGCTGTTTACCATGTGGCGGTGGATGCTTCTCGAAGTTCGTTGGTTTGCGCTGTGATGATGTTAGCACCTAATATCTTGCCAATATTACAACTAACTTTAAAGACCACGACCCTCAGCATTGAGGATTATCGACGCAAGGAGGGGATAACTAACTGGATAATGTTTTTTGAATCATTCAATTCAGTTTTAAGCAATAGCAACCCTGCGCGGAGAGAAGGTAGACGTGTATACGGCTCACCAAATGCTTTAGTGGTTATGGTGAATAATAATTAAAAAATCTCAAATAATACAATAATAAAATTGAGTAAGATGCACGTAAACTGTGAAACGTGATGCTGTCGTGATATGACGCTAATGGTACCTCGTATCAATAAGCGATTACGCTGGTGTTCAAATCTTGCAGACAGTTATCAATTTTAATAATTAAATATGATATGATAACACGTTGTTCACGAAAAATTCCACGGTAAAGGAATAACAATCAAACCAACAAAATTTATAATGATAATGTCGTCGTCGTGGCCTAAAGGATAAGACGTCCGGTGCATTCGTGTTGAGCGATGCACCGGTGTTCGAATCCCGCAGGCGGGTACCAATTTTTCTAATGAAATACGTATTTAGCAAATGTTCACGATTGACTTCCACGGTGAAGGAATAACATCGTGTAATAAATATTAAACCCGCAAAATTATAATTTGCGTAATTACTGGTGGTAGGACCTCTTGTGAGTCCGGTAGGTACCACCGCCCCGCCTATTTCCGCCGTGAAGCAGTAATGCATTTCGGTTTGAAGGGCGGGGCAGCCGTTGTAACTATACTGAGACCTTAGAACTTATATCTCAAGGTCGGTGGCGCATTTACGTTATAGATGTCTATGGGCTCCAGTAATCAGTTAACACCAGGCGGGCTGTGAGCTAGTCCATCCACCTAAGCAAAAAAAAAATCAGTAGTGACAGGACGTATTATTATTTTTCCACATGGTTAAGTACCTCGATAAAGGCATTTTTTGCTGTAAAGGAAGGCCGTGAGTTCTTTCATCCATGAATGTAATAAGATTAAAATAGTTTATCTTAAATAGGGCTTAGTACAAGAAAGCGAGGCAGTAAAACGAACCCGGCATCAAATTCGTGCGTTGAAGACTGAAACAGTTGTTCCAGGTGACCAAGATCAGCTATCTGTATTCGCTCATGAAGAATCGTCCGATTTTGCTGTAGGTATAAAAGCGTATTTGAGTAATATCTATGTAATTTCTTTAATCTACTTAATTTACAGTTTTCATAATCTACAGTGTAAAAGAGAAACGTTCCCGAAAAAGAGCGATTTTTATTATAAGGGTAAAAGTAAGTGTTTTAGGGGATTTGTAGTTTGTATGATTTTANAGCTATCTGTATTCGCTCATGAAGAATCGTCCGATTTTGCTGTAGGTATAAAAGCGTATTTGAGTAATATCTATGTAATTTCTTTAATCTACTTAATTTACAGTTTTCATAATCTACAGTGTAAAAGAGAAACGTTCCCGAAAAAGAGCGATTTTTATTATAAGGGTAAAAGTAAGTGTTTTAGGGGATTTGTAGTTTGTATGATTTTACAAACTACAAATCGATTAGTAGTTTAAGAATCAAAGAGTTAGTGACTCAAGTAAGCATTTTTGCTTGGCAAAGGGAACGTGTTCCGTTCGATCTAAATAAAATAAAAAAAATTAACCGCCTTACTCGTCTCGCTGGAAATAAGAGATCTTTGGAGCCATCGTCTCACAATAAAAACATTTCATTAGGCAAGCGAAATGCTAAAAATCAGGACAGTATATTCCGACGATTACACGCTTCGGTTGCTTTTTAATTTTGTACTTGTTTATGAAAGTAGATGGTAATATTGTGGTAATATGCGGAGGTGTCCTAAAAAAATTGCATGGGGTGTGTGAAACAGGATATGCAAAAAAATGGAGAATGGTGGCGAGTGCAGAGATGATATTATTATATTAAAGGCCTGAGTGGAAAAGAGGACATGTTGCGCCGACCTCACATAGTGTATTACACACATATTATACATAACTGTGTTTCATTTGTACTGCAATTGAACAAAAGCAACCATCTTGTTTTTTTTTTTTCGTTTAAAGATCATGTAATAGGAATGTTTACGATTTGCGATGTTACGATCCTAAATTCACTACATAATTGGGAGGTTGCTTAAAATCGATGATGTATACGTTTCAGATCCATATCATACCGGAATGTTCTAGCTTGGAACTATTGAAAAAAGAACGCTCATCTTCGAGGTTTTTAGGTATGATAAAAAATATTGTGTCGAAGTCAATTCTTAATTTTATCTGTTTCTCTTGAAATATACGAATATTATTACTTCAGAAATGAAGAGATTAAAGAGATTGAGGAATAAACAAATGAAGAAGGGAGTCCGTTCGTTCTCGTCGGTCGAAACAAACAACTGTGAATGTTTGACTATTCTGATGACCGTTTACTCTCAGATTATTGATCATTGTAGAGGAGCTGGTAAGCTTTACGTTTTATAGGCGTTTTTGGAGATGATTGGCCGTCACGGCTTTGTCTTAAATGTAGATATTTCTAATTCTCTATCAAGCATCGTCACATATCTACCGTTTAAATTGAGGTTAGTGTTGTAGAATCTGTTGGGTATACCGGATAGGTAGATACTGCCGATTTAGGTCACAAAACATTCAGATGATCCGTTTTAAAGGGAAGGACAGCCACGATACAATAGAGATCGTAAGCTCCATCTTTTGACTCGGTTGGTTGTATTCTTTAACCGAATAGCATTCTGCGACGCACTGCTCTTGCTTGGGCTAGTGTTAGCAAATTCTCACAGGGTGAGCCCATGAGCAAGGACGTCTTAAATTAGGCTGGGGCCCTTGGACACACAAGAATTTGAGGCCCTTTTGGAAAGTAAAAAAAGCGAATTATAATAACATTTTTTTACTGAGTATGACAATTTATTATAGGTAATCAAATAAAGTATGATATAATATGTCATTAATGATATTAGAATGCTGTTGGATTTTAGATGCGTTCGGAAATATTACTAATTAGTACAGTAGGAATAGGCGCAGTCATCGATATAATGACGTGGTATATGCCTTGTAAATACCTTCTGATAAGATTACTGATTTGTGAAAAAAGTGTAATGCGCCCGACAAAAATGTTTTGAGAATAAATGTGTGAGAGAAATGGGCCCCGTGTGCCCTTATGGTAAAGACGGTATTGCCCATGAGTTCCGCGAGAAGCTGGAATAGCCGCTTAGGCGACCAGCGAATAGTTAGGGGAGAAAAACATAATTAGAAGACAAAAGTTCTATTGAACATGAATTTGAAAATTTGTTTTTTTTTTCTTTTCCCAGGCGAGTTCAATAAACTATACGAAGCTTACATTGAATACGTTGACATAAACCTCATTAGCTTAAACGTACCGCAGGCTATCAGACTTTTGATCGAAGTTGAGAATTTTGCTCAGGTAACTTTTTTAAACGTGCAAAAAAAAAGTAGAAATTACAAGATTTTTAACACATAAGGCAACTAAGTATATATGTATGTACTGACTATGTATGTATTTACTTATTCTTTGGTGTAGGTACGTTATAATTTCTGAGCTTCTGGCTATTCATAAATTTTGAATGTGGTAAGAACTCATTCATTATTGTAAAAAAAAATATTTGGCGCGAAATCGAATTATTTTTGTAAGGTTTACGTGCAGCTCTTACCACCAAGCGGAGCGAGATTTCGTTTGTCTAAAAAAGCACTAAACATTAAATAGTTTCAAGTTTGTACGATTTCATTCTGAACTGCGATAATATACAAAATACCCCGACCGCGCGTTATTGGAATAGCCACGTAAGCTACCAATGATTTGGTAGTTTTTTTTTTACTAAATACTAAATTAATACTTATTATTATTTAATACTAAATTTAAACTATTATATGTATGTATGTGGTATGTATATGTGTATGTGTATATATATTTTTTGTGTATGTATTTGTAATTTAATATAAATTTCATTGCACCTACTATTTAATCTGCTCTACCTTTGGTTAACTGGTATAGAATGCCTTAGACGTTAAGTCCGCCAATGTAAATTTTACATGAAGTGTAATAAATAAATTAAATGAATAAATAAATTTACATTAGAAAACGATTAACAATGGTCAACAAATAATAGATAAAAATATGTTATATTGTCTATATACAGAGCGAAGACCTTTTTCCGGAAAACGTTCATAGGAAATGGATAAAGAGATTTCAGTTAGCGAAGATTTGTTCAATGCGAGGTGTCTGTATGTTGGAGTCCGGTGACCTTGCCGAAGCGAAGAAACAGCTGTTGCACGCCATGGAGCTTTATTACTATCCATTACCGACTTCTAAGTGACGTTTTATTTTTGATTTTTTTATTCTTTACCTATTATCTATATGCTTATTCTATTTTATTTTATTTTATTGGTTTGATGGGTGGACGAGCTCAGAGCCCACCTGGTGTTTTGTAGTTACTGGAGCACATAGACATCTAAAACGTATCAAGTATAGTTACAACGGCTGCCCGCCCTTCAAACCGAAACGCATTACTGCTTCACGGCAGAAATAGGCAGGGTGGTGGTACCTACCCGCGCGGACTCACAAGAGGTCCTACCCCAGTAATATATTATCTATTATCCATATATTTTTTAATTCTATAACTATGATTATTCTATATTTTTATTTTATAGTAATAATATTACACAGGGTGATCACTTTGATTTCCGTTTATAAACTGATTGACTGAAACTTGAATTAGATTCAAAAACTACACAGCTGGTTGGAATCGATGGAGAATTCCATAGACATCATGGGATATATTGTGTTTAGGAGATACTGCATTGAACGTTTTTCTCGAAGTGTTGTTCTTTTTATTTACCTTATTTATAAACGCTGTGTTACTGATATTACTTTACAAAGTATTTTGTCTCTTTCTATCACGCACAAAAATGAGTGTTAGCATAAGTGATAATGCGATATAACTAGTCTTAGATTACAGTTTATGAATAAAATTGAATGTAACCGCTTAGGCACTGGGTCAAATTACGCAGCTTTGGAGCCTCCCTTCAACAATTAATGGCTGTATATTTACCGAAGATATACCCAAAACGGATATCTGGAATAATCGGTTATTATTACGAAGATATCGCCTTCACGTTAAATATACTATACCAATTATTTTCTGTGAGTATATAGTTTTAAAATTTCGAATTTGTTTTGAATTCGTTCGTAAGTAGTAAATAGAATTGGCGCCGGAATGCTTCCTCGCGACAGCGATAAGACACGATAACCTTCTTATCGTGGTCGCCATTAATTACACCCCTAACCCGGTTCACACAGCAGTCAGTCGCCATCAAAGCCCTATGGACAGACGTCCTGACGAATCTGATCTAGTTTTAGTGCTGTTGGACACTTCTAATAATTAGAACAATTATTGTAAGGCAAGCACGCAAGGTCATCGCATTCGTAACAATCAACAGATATCATCAGCTCGCTGAGTGTCTCTCTGGTTTTTCTGTGGGTTGCAACCAATTCTACTGTTGGTAGGATGTCTTGTGAGTTCGCACAGGTAGGTACCACCACCCTGCCTATTTCTGCCGTGAAGCAGTAATGCGTTTCGGTTTGAAGGGCGGGGCAGCCGTTTACTGTAAAAAGTGAGACCTTACAACTCATATCTCAAGGTGGGTGGCGGTATTTACGTTGCAGATGTCAATGGGCTTCGGTAACCACTTAACACCGTGAGCAGTGAGCTCGTCCACCCATCTAAGCTATAAAAAAAATTAAAAATCCCGATCCGGTAGTAGATACACTTGCAAATCAGTTGTCCTTGAGCTGATACGCCAACTACGATAGCACTAGGGCAGTTTTTAGCAGACCCTTGCCTACCAGACTACTAGTCTTGGCTAAGCCTTGTCTGTGCCCAGGTTATTGCTGACGCCCATGAGGGCTACTGTCACTAACAAATGGGCCGTATGCTCATCTTCCAAACGAAAGCAACAAATAAAAAAAACGTGTGACACACGCTTGATACCGATAGGTTGCGCACGAGTGCCATCAATAATTCAACATTTAAACTGATTTGTTTTTATCATTGTAAGTTTTTATTGGAGTGGAATATAATTTTGAATATCTCCGTATTTGAATTTGTGAACGTAATGAATTGAATTACAACGCTAAATTTCAATACGCTATCCACTGATGTTCAAATTTGTTAACGTTTGACGATTTTTCGCTTATATCAGGAATGCAAAGAAACCGAGAATGCAAAATTGGAGGCTAAACGCGCTTTGAATTACGCTTTAAAAACGAATGCAAATTTTCGTCTGTTGTGTATCTGTTACGGGAACATGATCAGTGTTAATCGAGAGGAACGCAATGTAAGCTATCGCACCGACATGCTAGTGATGTAACGAATAAATTTAGTTATTAAATATAAAAACTACTGAAAATAGTCATGTCCATGCGGATCCATCAAATCCAGTAACTTTTGCATTAGACGCCTTCATAACCCATGCATCAGCCCGCTGAGTTTCTCGCCGGATCTTCTCAGTGGGTCGCGATTCCGATCCGGTAGTAGATTCATTCGCGAAGCAGCTGCTCTTGAGTTGTTAGGAGGGGCTCGGGCAGCTGTTTGCAAATCACACCTCTCCTGGCTGAGCCTTTGCTCGCCCACCTCGCTCGCGTACGCACCACCCTCTCTTGTTCCGTGGATGTTTTAAAAGACTAAGGACAACGAACAGAAAATACTTTCAAATTTACACTGTTAAAATAAAAGTAATCGATTACTTAACATAACGTTTATTTATCGGATAGTATTTTCGCAGTTCCGAAGATGTTTAAAATTAAAAGAACGAGCAATGGAGCTGTGTCATCGTAAACGAGGTCAGTTGGACGTAACGGAAGTGCAATCCGTCTGCTACCTCTATACTTGCATGTTTCTATTCTAGTAAGTCTTGTGTAATGAAAACAAATGTTGAATTGTGATAGTCTATAAATTAATATTAGTATGTTTACTTATATTTTGTAGTCGTCGCGTCGTGGTCTAAAAGGTTACACGCCCGGTTTACTTGTGTCGATATTTTTTTTCCTACCTATGCTGGTAGCCTTGAGAGGCTATATCAGCGTTACCCTAGCGTGTAGGGCTCAAGCCCGGAGTGTTGATAACACTGGCCCTAGCAAGAGCAGTGCTTTGCAGAATCTACCACCGGACCGGAAACGCGATCCACTGAGAAGATCCGGCGAGAAACTCAGTGGTCTGCGTCTATGGGTTAGTTTACTCGCCGAACCCTTCGTCGCAAGCGTCGGATTCAACGAGAACGATGACCGGTGCTTGAGGTACCTAAAAGCACCGTTAGTGATGGGCGTCACACCCGCTGCAGTCCCTAACACTATTGTTGTAACTCTTATTGTATATACTTGAGGAGAGGGGGACAGGATTCCAACGCAGAAAGGAAGAGGACTATAACGGCTAACACTTCACCTCCAGAGGATAGTTTTAAGTTAGGCTATCATTTTTACTATAATTTTTTGAACGTATCTCCCGGCGAGGAAATGACTCCATAGAGCGCCTTGTCGTTCAGGGCAAAGTGGAAGGCACCAGACCGCGTGGAAGGTCGCCCGTGCGATAGATCGACCAAGTCGGCAGTTGGTGGTTGTTTGCATGAGTGTACCAGGCTCACCACAAATCGGTAGTAGTGGTGTTTGCTCGTGAGGCGCATAACATCTGCTCACAGCAATGATGCTGAATGACGATCACGACCGCTTTGACAAAAGTGATACGACAAAGGAAAAAGTTACTTGAGGTAGTCGCTCCGAGGTCGAAATTCTGCCCCGTGAAGAGCTACGAGCATCCGACGTGCTATACCTCTGACATTGCTGATGTCCATGAGCGACAGTGACTTACCATCAAGCGGTCCGTCTGTTCGTCTGCTTACAACGGCAATAAAAAAGCTTACCACAACAAACAGCTGCTGAGACTAAATTACCTATTGTGCCTCTCTCGGATTTAATCATTGTATATTTTGCATTTCAACAACTAAGTACCTACATGTAGTGAATGCATATAATGATAATGAGATTTTCCGTATGTTACCATATATACTTGTAGCGATTTTTTTCGGACTGGAATTATCAGAAATAACTTTTTGATTAATATTTGTGATGCAATAGCTGTCGCATATTATTTCAATATAACTGGTGCAGATTTACCTACACGAACAGCCCGGTGTTGAATCCAAACGTTTTTTTTTTATTGCTTTTATGGGTGGACGAGCTCACAGCCCACCTGGTGTTAAGTGGTTACTGGAGCCCATAGAGATTTACAACGTAAATGCGCCACCCACCTTGAGATATAAGTTCTCAGGTCTCTGTATAGTTACAACGGCTGCCCCACCCTTCGAACCGAAACGCATTACTGCTTCACGGCGGAAATAGGCGGGGTGGTGGTACCTACCCGTGCATACTCCCAAGACGTCCTACCACCAGTGAACGAATGAACTCCTTCCCTCAAATGTCTCTAAATTATTTATTTTAGTGTGGAGTATGGAAAAAAAATGGAGGGTCTTGAGTTGGGACTCTCAGTGATACCGATGCTGTCGGATTTAACTGATCTGAACACACGACAAATGCTTTTGCTTTGGTTATTGAAGCTGCTGTTGGCCGACTTGCGTATTAACGAAATGGTCAACATTATAAGAGAGTTTTTCTACATGACCGATCACTATGATTTGAGTTGTAAGCTCTTAATGTTCTAAACTATATATGTATTAAAATTAGCTGATCCGGCAAACATGTTTTGCCATATATAAGATTTCTAGAGAATTTCTAGTGTAGAAAAAAAAACCTATCTTATTGTAAGTGTGTAAGGATGTGGTAAATGAGTGAAAGAGGCATGTAGCGCTGTGAACGATGAGGGAATATAAAAATAACAAAACCTCATTCAACCACATAATGCCTAATCATAACAAAAAAAAATGTCCAAAAAATAAAAAATAAAAATGTTTGGGGTGGACAACCTTTATCATTTAGGGGTATGAAGAATACGTAGTAGCCGATTCTCAGACCTACTGAACATGCATATAAAACTTCATAAAAATCGGTCAAACCGTTTCAGAGGAGTATGGTAACTAACATTGTGACACGAGAACTTTATATATAAGTCACAAGAGCCAACTTTTTGTAGTAGTAACCGTAGCACTTAATCTTCCACTTATATAACCATCTCCATCAATTCTATTTATTTATCCTTCATTCCTGACTTGTAATAATTGCTTCACTTCAAAATTTTTACTGGTGGTAGGACCTCTTCTGAGTCCGCACGGGTAGGTACCACCACCCTGCCTATTTCTGTCTGAAGCAGTAATGCGTTTCGATTTGGGTGGGGCAGCCGTTGTGACTACTACCAGTAAAAACAATTACGATTTAAAAAAAAAACAATTAAGATTATACATATTTTCAGCTGAAACCTGGTATTATTTTTATGCCATAGTGATACTGCTAGACACGGGCTATTGCGTGGAATCTTATGGATCCTGCGAGAAATTCTATATAACGAAAGGTGACGCTATATTGAGGTCGAAAACTCCAGAAGCGGCTTGGAATTTCTTTGTTGCGATGTGGCTAATGTAAGATATTTTAATGAAACGCTTATCTCTTTAATTTCGAACAACGATCACAAACGCACGGCTTGCCGATGGGTCTTGAAGCATAAAATTGGTCAAAATAATCCGTTAAAATAATATGTAGTAGTACTTGTCGTTTTATACAAGAAGTCGCGCGTGTTTAAGAATAACCTTCCTGAGGCGGTTCAGTAAAGGCTGAAAAGTTGTCATAAACCAAGGTTCGTTTTTGAGCCGAAACGTAATATGTCATTATTACTTTGGAAACGACTACAAGACAGCTAACACGAAATCGTAAGGAATAGAAACCGAAAAAATCCACATTTGCTGATTATCGAAATCGACGGATCTCGTCGCACAACACAACAACTCTGGCGGTGAAAAGTTGTTTTAGAACAAAGCATAGCTCAAGAAAACTAGCTCATAATGCCATAGGTAGACATTGATTGACCAGTAGGCAGTTATCATGTTATCATGTTAGTCATGGACAGAGAAACATTTAAACTGTTTCAAGGCCATGACCACGACCCTCAGTAATGAGGAAACCGACGCAAAGAGGAGGCAGTTATCAAATATTTTTAAAATTTTGCAATACTTTTGTTATTCGATTGTTGCATTCCGCGACTGACCACCATAGTAAGTAGGTATTTTCTTTGTGTATGCAACATTTATCATTTTCAATAGAACAGTCAGAATAGTCTCATGGGAACAAACTTTTATATATTTATTTTATTTTTTCAATAGAACAGTTAGAATAGGCTCATGGGAACAATCAATTATATGGGAAGAAAAAATACGAAAAATATTATCGATGAAATATAAGGAGCACGAGTTCAATATAATGATGCTAATTCGATTGGTCGAAGGACTGCTGATCACTTTAGTGAAGGAGGTAAGTATTTGGATGATTACTTTGATGTTGTATTTGAATCATTCGGATGTAAGTAGTGTTTTATTTATTTATTGCGTACCCATTTAGTAATAAGCTCACGGCTCACCCGGTGTTCAGAGATTACCGGAGCCCATAGTTATGTATACTACCAACAACATGAATATGACACCATGAATGCTACCATCCGCCTTGAGTCTTGAGGTCTGTGTCAGCGCCCCTAATAGCAAACGTAGGGGCGCTGTTCCAACTCCATACAATTTTGAGTTAACTTTTACGCTTTAACGAGAAGTTAAAAAAATCGCACTAAGAACTGTCACTCAATTATATCGTAATTACGTAAATTATAATTTTTGCGTGTTTTAGTTTTTTACACGATTTTATTTCTTCATCGTGGGAGTCATTCATGAGCAGGAGATATGTATGCATTTTATATTTAAGAAAAATTAAACTGCTTGTTAGTACTGATTTGAATTTTGTAGATAATAATAAATGATCAAAGATGTATTTAAAATGTATATTTACCACATTGGTCAGGCTTAGCTCTGCCCCTGGAACTTCTGACATCCATGAGTGACGGTAACAACTCACCATCAGATGGGTCGTATAGGTCTACCGACAAGGGCAACAAATAAAATCTCTATAATTACCTAAGCCAGTCCAATATTTCATTATAATTTATACATTAAATAATTAACAACTGCCTCATACACTCTCGACAGCCTTTCTGCAAAATTATTTTTGTTTTTTTTAAACTTCCTTTTCGATACTGGTTTTTTTTACAGACGGACCAGAGAAACCTTAATAAAATTTTATTGCTAAAAAAATCGATAAAATCAATGTTTAGAGACATGAACAAGGCATGTTGCCGAGCTCCTATGTACCGGCCGAGGTTAAAACTCTTACAAATTATTTTGTCAGCCTTGTTTTGTCAAAACGCGTTTTATTTAGTTTTTGCTAAGCCGTACTTTCCAATTAGCAGGCAATTTATAACGAACTGCTAGTACCGATAACATTTGAAATATCGCAGGAATCTGTAATAGCTTGGTATTTGTAAGTCGTATTAGTAAGTAAAGTATTTGAGTGACTTAAGTATTTGAAAGTCGTCGTGGCCTAACGGATAAGACGTCCGGTGCATTCGTGTTGAAGCGATGCACCGGTGTTCGAATCCCGCAGGCGGGTACCAATATTTCTAATGAAATACGTACTCAACAAATGTTCACGATTGACTTCCACGGTGAAGGAATAACATCGTGTAATAAAAATGAAACCCGCAAAATTATAATTTGCGTAATTACTGGTGGTAGGACCTCTTGTGAGTCCGCACGGGTAGGTACCACCGCCCCGCCTATTTCTGCCGTGAAGCAGTAATGCGTTTCGGTTTGAAGGNAATAAAAATGAAACCCGCAAAATTATAATTTGCGTAATTACTGGTGGTAGGACCTCTTGTGAGTCCGCACGGGTAGGTACCACCGCCCCGCCTATTTCTGCCGTGAAGCAGTAATGCGTTTCGGTTTGAAGGGTGGGGCAGCCGTTGTGACTATACTGAGACCTTAGAACTATATCTCAAGGTGTGTGGCGCATTTACGTTGTAGATATCTATGGGCTCCAGTAACCACTTAACATCAGGTGGGCTGTGAGCTCGTCCACACATCTAAGCAATAAAAAAATAAAAAGAAAACTTAGTTTACCAAATTATTATTTTTCCCTTTTTCCTGAGGAAATATTGTTACTTATTATTCCTTACACTTTTGATTATGTAGAAAATCTGATGACCCGTTATGATCTGATCGTAGTTTGAAAATGTATAATATACATATTTTTACAAAATGCAAATTGCAAAATGCGTAACTATCCCATAGTATATACCAAATTAGTCGACATGGAGACCACGCACTGGAAAACGCATTGTGGGAAGGATAGGCAGTGCGTTGACTTGCGAAGGGTGGCCGGCAAGAAATTTACGAGGAAAACCGAAGATCAGACTTTGTGGTATAAATTGGGAGAGATCTATATTCAGCAGTGGACGACTACGGGCTGGTGGTGATAATGTAAATAGGCGATGACAGCTTCCAACAAAGATTGATTAAGTAAAAAGTTATTCTATTATAAAGAATTAATTTATATATTATGGCTTAAGAGAAAAACCTAGACGAGCAAACCTTTAAAACCTAGTAAACATTTTCCCTCAGGTATTACCTTTTATATGCATACTTTTTGTATATAAAAAAAAGAAAATTACAAGCATTTAATCTCTTGAAAAGAGCACACGAAAGTGCTAAACAGTGCAAACATATTTCATTACTCATTTGGATCGAACACACTCGAAGTGTAAGTACGTAGTAAGTAAAAGTATAATTTAAACGGTACTTTTATGGTTTAATCTCCTAGTTTCATTTTATTATTTTTGACGTTTAAAATTCGAGAAACGCTTCGCCTCGCCTTCGTTACATACCACCATAGATTATACACTTAATATTTGAGACATACCGCGACCGAGTTTTGTCACTGGCGAGTTTGGATGTAAATTGTTGATTTATAGGTCAACTTCAGCATACCCGCTCGCCGCACTCAACGCGTGTGAGAAAATCCTACAATTCGGTATATTAAACTGTGGCGGTAGCCATCATACAACGCCAGATATTTGACTGATGCCTGAATCTCGCTTACGACATTTTCAAGATAAGCTTGCATATATACAAGTTCCGAACTCAACCGAACCAAGCCCACTGAGTTTCTCGCCGGATCTTCTCAGTGGGTCGCGTTTCCGATCCGGTGGTAGATTCTGCGAAGCACGGCTCTTGCTAGGCAGACTACAAAGAGGTTGCTGGGGATGGAGTAGGAGGTGTAGCTGGAAAATTTGTAGCTTCTTTTTTTATTTTTTTTTATTGCTTAGATGTGTGGATGAGCTCACAGCCCACCTGGTGTTAAGTGGTTGCTGGAGCCCATAGACATCTATAACGTAAATGCGCCACCCACCTTGAGATATAATTTCTAAGATCTCAGTATAGTTACAACGGCTGCCCCACCCTTCAAACCGAAATGCATTACTGCTTCACGGCAAAAATAGGTAGGGTGGTGGTACCTACCCGTGCGGACTTACAAGAGGTCCTACCACCAGTAATTACGCAAATTATAATTTTGCGCGTTTGATTTTTATTACACGATGTTATTACTTCACCGTGAAAGTCAATCGGGAACATTTGTTGAGTACGTATTTCATTAGAAAAATTTATACCCGCCTGAGATTCGAACACCGGTGCATCGCTCAACACGAATGCATCGGACATCTTATCCTTTAGGCCACGACGACTTCCAACTTCTTGAGTTATAAAAGGTGGTTTCACACGATCTATTGAAACGTTGACCTCTCTACCCTGGAGTGCAACCTTGAAAAATGTTTTCTGGTGTTTTAATATTTTGTGTGAGCCAGAATATACAGCCACAATACCTATAGGAGAAAAAAAAGCCGTCAGCGCTTAATTATTTTCGTACGCTCTACCGCAATATCATATTTAAGATTAAATTGCATTGAAGTACGAAGTTTCTGTGAGCCTCTTTTCTACGTTTAATTAAAAAGTTGATTAACAGATCATTTCGCAAAAAAAAACCTACTACGGGTTTTCATTCGCATAGTCTCTCGCAACAGTTACCTCATGAAATGTTAATAACCATAGGTAGGTATGCAGGACATTACATTTCGGATTCATGGTAAAGTTGATAATTCGCACAATAACCCAGGAATAATGTGACCTCATTATTCAATTGTTTCGCTTTAGATTAGCCAATCAGCCACCTCTCACACATAAAACTAAAATTTAGGTTATTACCTACTTTAACTTGGTAATTTTACCTTCATTTAATTCATTTAATAAATATCTCATTTAGCACAATTTCCTTCAGTAAAATGTTACATTTTTTTTTATTACCTCCATATACATTACCTCCATATAATTGTTTTGGTTGACTCGTAGCAGACTGAATCAAATAACTGTTACCATTGCAAAACAAAAACAAATGTAATATCCCTTTTATTGACTAGCAATACCTACTTTATTTGATATATTATTAAAACAAATGTGTTTATCATAAGGTGAAGTTAGTGTCCGTATAAAACATCGTAATTAATGCTCGAAGATATTAAGACGGTCCGTAAGATAAATATGTTTATTACTTTATAAATAAACCGTTTTATTTTTGAGTTCGACATGACTTTCAAGTGTCTCTCAATATCCCAAGTGCCTCCTGGCGTGGTACTTGGACCGCTTTGTAATTGAATTATTTTTAAATTTCAGCATTGGAGGGGTACTTTGACACAAGCATGTGTGGATCATTGGATTTATCATCTTGAACCAGACAATTTGTTGGATTATACCGATTTTGATCCTGAAAAAATTGATATAGTGCCTTTCACATTACCGTTACCTAATGATATTGAAAAATAAAAAATAAATTTTAAATATCTTTTGGTTTTTTTTGTTCTTCCTACCTAAGCTGAGATCCTTGAGAGGCTATATCAGCGTAACCTTAACTAGTAGGTGAGCTCACGGGGCTCAAACCTGACGACGTTGCTAACACGAAACCTAGCAAGAGCCGTGCTTCGCAGAATCTACCACACCGGATCGGAAACGCGACCCACTGAGAAGGTCCGGCGAGAAACTCAGTGGGCTGTCTGAGGGTTAATTTACTCGTCGAGCCCTTCGTCGCAAGCGACGGGTTCGACGAGAACGGTGACCGGTGCTTGAGGTACCTAAAAGCACCGTTAGTGGATCGGGAGGATCCGAAAAGACGTGTTTGGGGCGACGTTAACTGCTTTCCATTCTGTCCGCAGGATCGGGAATGTATGGTTTTCTATTTAGAGGTAAGACTTTAAAAAATAAAATGTGTATAGTGTTACTGCACTTGAGTACTTCAGTCATATTGCTCGGAAATAACACCTGATAGCTTAGAGACTATTCGTGACAGGGAAGATCGAGGGAAGAGACCTCGCGGGTGCAGCCCGACAAGTTGGTTCGATTAAATGCGCACCACACTAGAAACCCCATTCCACGAAGCCCTTAACGTGGGGCAAATGATCAGATACGCGAGAAAAACAGCAAAAAATAAAACTAAACATGATGGACATGACCCTCAGCAGTGAGGAAACGACGCAAGGAGGACAGAGTTATTTTATTTACTTTCTTGAAAACTATTAACTATTCAGATAATTATTTATGTACCTTTACAGCTCTTGTACCTATAATACAAAAAAGAGAATCAAATAACATCAAATATCCTAGCTATAATATAAGCTAGTGTATGAGACATTTACTTTTAATGTTATGCACATACAACCTTGTATAAGTTGAAAAATGTAATTGTTATAATATTTAATTAATAAATATTTATTATGATATTTGAATCAATAAATATTTATTTCTAGGACAGCAACCAGGGATATATTTGTATGGCAAACCACAGGCTATCTTCTCTAAGAAAATAAAATGTGATTATAATATGCTCAGACCTAGAATAACTTAATTATCAAACTTAATTTAATTAAAAGCATAAATAAATACACTCTGAAATGAAGAAATAGGAAAAAATATATATACTGACATCTTTTTATTTACATGTTTCAGTGAAGGTTTACAAATAAACTTTACATATATTATATTGGTTCGAGCGTTCATTTCTTAGTTCAGGCTTTTCATCACTAAAACAATCTTAAAGCAGGGTTTTTAAAGGTTAAACCATCGATAAGTAGAACAAAAGTAATATTCTTTGCATTTTTTTGTCTTTAATAAACATAAAACTCATTCTTTTGTAAGCATTCTTCTTGCTTATTTATAGAATATTTTGAACTTATTTCCACATTAAAAAACCCTGGTAAGACCTTCCGCAACTAATCTTCTGCTAACACAATAAGAAACTTCAATTTGTAACAGAATTATCATCTGTATGCAAATTGTGCCACCTGTAGTGGTGCTTCAGACAATTGCAGACATTGCAGTTTTGCCATATGCCGTTATTGTCATGCAGTATGTTTATAACTGCAGTATTATGATAACAAAAAGTCTTTTAGGCTTTTAGGTAAGGGTAAAGATTTCACCGAACCATTTTTCACATTCTGCAGTATTGCATCCCTGCAAATAATCTGAAGAGATTTCACTGAAAAGAAAAATATACAAACTCATATTAACATAATAGTTTGAATTAAATTCATTTCTTTCAAAATACGTGTTGACTAAATTTACTCATCAAGTTGTCAAGTTTATTAACATCTGAGAAACATGTACAACTCACCTCCATAAAGTTGTACAATCTTCACTTGTTTTGTTGTACCATAGACATCAACAACTGCATGTAAAAGACCTCTTGTGTAGGGTATGGATTTAGTACAAGGGCCTTGATCTTCACCATTAATTATAAAGTGCATTTCAGCTAAGTCTTGGTCATTTTTATTAAGTTTAGGACAAGGAACAAACATTACTCCAATACGGCTGCCAGCGTCCATAGGTAAAATACCTTGGGGTGTTCCATTCTGTGAGACAGTCTGTGGCTTTAAAATCATCTTAGATATGTAACCACGTGGCGTTTTTACTACATGACCATCGCCTAGGACCGAAACCCGCGGCTCGTTTTCCCATCGCCCTGGAGATACTTGATTAACAAGTTCGACAAGTACATTGTTTTGTGATTTCGAAATCGGGAATATCCATGACATACCATTGTTAGCGAGATCTGGTAGCGCATATTGAGGCAATCCTTTGTCACCCAGAGCCGCTGCTTGTGGCTCAAGAAGTGTTAACCCGAGCCGCATATGACCACTCCATCCTCTTTCGGTTTTTTCAATTTCTACTAGAAATATTTCACCGGGTAGAAGGGGTTTTTCACTAAAAGTCAAGCCGTGTGCAAAACTAGCTTTTCTGTAGGCAACTGTATTTTCTTCGAACAATATAATATTCGAGCCATGATAATGATGGAATCTCGATAGCATATTTATAAACACATCTGATTCGACTTTAGTAAAATAATTTAATTGACTATGAACTATTGTTTATATCTAAATAACGACACAATTACACACATCGTACTAATATTACTGTAAGAATTTAAAATTCTGTTTTGTTAAAATATTTTTTTAGTCTACTACCTACTTCAGTGTCCTAATTTGCTTAAACTTTAAAGTTGACATATAAAAATTAGCTGTCACACTGACAGTTGAAGCTGTGTCATAAAAAGGTGTCACAGGCACCTTGTTGCTGTTTTTTTCTCAGTTTATGGCAATCGAGTTCTTGGGTTGCTATTGGTGCCAGAGTTGAATTTAAATAAGTACATGTAGTTCAAATAAATCAATAGGTTTGAAAGATTTGAAGTAAGAAAAAAGAAGGAACGAGCTTCTCTCAAATAATAATTAAAGAACCTTCATTCCTGCTTTATAGCTCTACGAATGGGTTTGACTAGTGGGATTTCAACCGAGGGATTCCAACATGAGGATATAATTAATTAAACAAGGAAAATTGCTAAAACTACTGAGCATATAGCCACAGGGTCACGGCGCTCCCTCAGCCACATGGAACAGTGTTCTAACTTGTGCTATGCCGCACATTGTCACAGTCGCATCATCATTGTGACTGCGAACTCCATTATCGGTTCCCTCCGTGCAACGCGGCACAGGTACCGGCTCAAACACCCATGGCTGGTAAGTGTTAGTGGGTACATCCCTATTAAGAAGCTGTATGTAGCACGACACTAGTATAAAAAAGGATATAGAAGAGTAGCGTCATAACACTATGGTCTCTAAGAAAATTGTAAAAACAGTAAAACCAGTAATGTCCAGTTAAATAAATAATATATATTAATAAAAGGTTTATTTTTCTCTCGTCTGAGTATCTCCACACCCTTCAGGTTATGGGCCCAGGACCCGAGACTGCTCAGACAGGACCCGAGACTGCTCAGACAGGACCCGAGACTGCTCAGAACCAGAACCAGAGACTGTACAGAACCAGAACCAGACTGCCCAGAGTGAGAAAAGTGTATAAAAAATTAATAAAACAAAATGAATAACCAAGAAGAAAATGTAGAAAAACTTACGAACTCTGAAAATTTCCACATCTGGAAATTTGAGATAAATATACATGTTTCGGCATCGAATCTGTCGGAAGTGTTGAAAGAAACAAAACCAGAACAGAGAGAAAAACCAGAATTCCAAACTAAGGATGCTAAGGTAAAGAAGTTGATTTTAAACTNTGATGTGAGATACTATTTTATTCATGAAAATTATAAAAAGGGTAAAATTAATATTAAATATTGTCCTACTGATAAACAGACTGCAGACATATTTACAAAACCATTGTTAAATAATAAATTTAATTTTCACGCCCAAAATATTGTCAACTAAATAAGTTCATGATATATGTATATAACTTAAGAAACATCTACTTAAAATTTGTATAATTTAAAATTTGATAGCATAGAATAACAAGTATTATTTAAATTGTAAACAATTTTAATAATAGGAGAAGGTGTTAGTGGGTACATCCCTATTAAGAAGCTGTATGTAGCACGACACTAGTATAAAAAAGGATATAGAAGAGTAGCGTCATAACACTATGGTCTCTAAGAAAATTGTAAAAACAGTAAAACCAGTAATGTCCAGTTAAATAAATAATATATATTAATAAAAGGTTTATTTTTCTCTCGTCTGAGCATCTCCACACCCTTCAGTAAGCCCCTGTGTCAGTCCGAAGGTGAGACCACCACGTTCGCGGTTCATCCAGTCTGCAAAGAACGGTCCGTCCGATTTTCATCTTTTGAACTATAGGGCGAGTGAATATGAAATCTATTTATAAAACAAAAAATGTGTGTGTGTATGTATTTTCACTTAAAGTTATCTTATGTATTTAGGTTTCTGAATTGTTTACGGCTTTTGTGTTTTAATTTAAAAATGTATTTTGTTTGAGGGCCAAGCTGCGGGCGCAGTTAGTTAATTGTATGATTATCATTTTACAAATGGCACAACAACAATGATTTCGTACTACTTGACCTTGAAATTATGTTCAATTGGATGAAATTCGATGAAAACGATGAGAATGGAATGAGATTATATGAAATGAAATTAGTAGGCTCGATAGACTGTAATGTCGATTTCAAACGCTGTAAGCCATTCAAGTCAATTAAGCCTAGTTTTCCAATTACAGAGCATACTGCGACTCAGTGGCGCACAATGCCAAATTATGCTGAAGGGAACGTGAATTATTTTTCAAAGGCATCAGCAGAGTGCGCTAAGTTCAGTGTTGAAAATAATGTGGTAAACAATAATAATTGGTTGAAAACATTTACGGTTATTTTAAGTAATTTGGATTTTAATTATTTCATTAAAAAATTTTTTCGTCTTGAGTATTCTTCTAAATGAGTTCTAAGAAAATTATATATGCGAAGCGTTGCTGTAGTTGGAACATTCACCGTTGAGCATTATGCCGTATGCGCTCTAGTGCTGTAATTAGAAAACTATCAAGATACCTACTACGACATGAAGTCAAAGACATTGACATTTTCCAACACAGCATTAAATTTTTGTTTATCTATGATAGGTATTTGCTGAAGTCTAAAAATTAACATGTCATTTTATTCAAAAGTGGTCACGCGACCATTCCTGAATAATTTGAAGACTAGTTTCTTTAGAAATAAAATAGCATTCTTCGTTCCTGTAAGACTGATAAATTGGAAACATTCTAAAGTTAGGCATTCTCTAATAAACTTCGGTTTACACACAAAACAAACAAGGTCACGCTTCAGGTATGTAATATTGTCAGTTCAATAACCGGCAAATTGTCCTTCATCCCCTGAACTCTTCTAAAGCTTTTTCAGTCAAAGCATCACCTTTAAATTTGTTATTTGTAAATCAGTGCGACATATGATAAGTAAGTTATTGCTATTGTGGAGCATATTAACTTCAAATCACATTTTTAATGGATTTTGTGCTCGAATGATGATAATGGGAAATGAAGTTGATAGACTTAAATAATACAACCGAGCATGTTGCAAATGTTTTGATTTGAGACTAACCGTTTCCTGCGATTTCTCTGGTGTTGAATTATGAAATTCATCTGTAGCATTGTTGTTTGAAATATAATTTATCTTCATTGCATTAAATAACTTAAATATTTATTTATTATCATCATATATAATTATATGTTTTATATTATAAATAATATAATGTAAGTACTTCTAATTTGTAAATTGTGTAGTGAAGGAAAGTACTGTGCCATTTCTACTACAACTATTTATTAGTTTACTTATTGAGAAGAGTTAATATTTTTATTTATTAAAATTTTTACAGTAACAACAGGTTTTGTCATTGACATCCACTTTAATTATATAGTGTTTGTCCAACAGCAAATAGTGCTATTTCATAGTCATCAGGCATATATTATTTATAGTATTTTTTTCTCAGTGTGCAATTGTTGGCCAGGTTTGTAATCTCATCCAGAGATTTGACAGACAAACCTTTGACAAAGACCTCTGGATAAGATTACAGATCGCTGAATGAAATTACAAACCTTGTGAATAACAATAAGCACATACCATCAGGTGGATTACATGAATGACCTTTATTAATATCAATACAAAAATGATTATCTCCATTTTTGTTTATTTTGCTATTTCTTCTTTTAATTCAATTTCTGATTGAAGTCATGCCCCTATGAAAAATCTTCTGGGCAGTCTCTTGTCCAACAGAGGTATATGTTTTGTTTGACATTATTTTGGCCTAAGGGTAAAGAGACCTGCTGCATTTGTATCTTCTAACATTGTTATTAGACACCTACAGCCCTAAAGCTAAGTATGCTTGCTCATCTGTCCTGACGAAACTGAAAAGGCCTCCAGGCCACTGCTTAAGTACCAACACCCTGTCTATTTCTGCCGTAAGCTATAATGCATTCCAGTTTGTAGTACTATAGAACTGAGATTTAAAACTCATGTCTCAAATATAGCGACCCCATGGTTTTCTAAAGTAAAATTATCCCTATCCATTCTTAGACAATTGGAACTAATGTGCACATTTATAACATATCACAAAACAATGACAAACCTGAGTTATTAAATACATTATTAGCTTAATTGCATTATTTGCTGAATTTGTTTATAATCATACAAGTATAAACCAGAGCTTCTGTGTTATAAATCATTTTAGACCACTTCTAATATTATATGTATAATGTTATTGCATTGCATTGCATATAATGTTTTTTTTAAGTTGACATATTTTTTGTAACAGCTACCTTCTGACAGTGCTTTACCTGCAAAACAGCCGAATTACTCTTATATCACAAAATTCCCATTCCGATAAAATCTTTGAAATGCTTAATACTGAGAGTTTAAAAAAAAACTTATTGACAAACGAGGTCACAATACTTATTATAAATTAAATAATAAACTAAAAATACTTTAGAATTAATAATTAATTTAAGTTGAAAATGTTGTTATTTAAAGCAATTGATTGGGAGAGATGTGGTGACAAAGATAATATAATATGTGGTTTTGGCACATTTAAGATGTGAAATTCCCTATTAGTGTGTGTTTCGGTAGAATAATAAATAAAACTTTTGTAAAAAATTGTATATCGTGGAAATAGTTTCTTCACACAATATTGATGCCAAAAATCTGTAGGTGTTAAGTAAAATTAGCATTAACATTGTTTACAGGGAGTCTCTCAGTACACTATAATGTAGGTAATAATTCTTTTTGTTGTTATTTTCTTTTCGATGCATTTTTATTATAAATTGCACGCTATGAGAGTGGTGTTGCGGGCATAGTTACTAATCAAAATCACATTTACTGTTGGTAGGGCATTTTGTGAGCCCGCATGATTAGTTATAGTTAATTAGAGTATTAAGCGGTATGCAGGGGCTTGGCTCTGCCCCTGGCATTGCTGAAGTCCATGGGCGACGGTAACCACTCACCATCAGGTGGGCCGTATGCTGGTCTGCCTACAAGGGCAATAAAAAAACCCCGCCTATTTTTGCTGCGAAATAGTAATGTGTTATTTGTTTGAAAAATGTGGCAGAAATTGTATTATAGAACTGAGACTTAGAACTCATGTTTCAAGGTAGGTGGCGGTATCTACGTTGTTGCCTATGAGCACTGGTGACCACTTAAAATCAGGTTGGCGGTGAGTTTATTCAACCGTCTAAGCAATAACAAAATGATAAAAATAATACGTATCTTAAATTACTTGACCTATAAACCTATGAATTATTAAATTGATAGCTCTATAAACTCTGTTCAAGACAGTTCTGTTATGTATTATAATGAGCAAAGTTAATTTAGTTTAGACGTGGACGTAAATGCGTACAGACATGTTGAGCAGTGTACTCTGTTCTAATCAATTCAGATAGTGTGGATCGGGAGTTGTTATCGTCTCAAAATACCATTCAACTCTCAGTTTAGATTCGAGATGGACACGAAACATATAATTTTGTTTTATTTGTTTAATTGTTTCAGTCCAGTTCCAGTCATGGGTGCTTTCAGTCCTCTGGATCCATCTTCCTTTTCGCGGCCTGGTTAGTAATATATTTAGATTTAATTAATTAATAATAATAGTAAACAAATGCGAACTAAGACGACATAGCGCAGTTACGTACCTACTGCCCTTTTCTGCCTACGACTTCACGCGAAACATGAACTCATTAAAAGGACAATTACAATACATATAACCAAATAATTCCGTTACCATAGTAACAATACTTATTCAGATCTATAGTTCCGGAATTGAAGTTTATGTTATAAATAAAACCCAATTTATTAAAAAAAAAACAACTTATTTATTCATAACATTAATTTCATTATTTTTGTTTAAATAATGTTCGTTAAGCGATAATAGTAAACGAGAGATTAAACCTTAAATGTAGATTCACATGTTTGTGGAACTCACGAAATTTAAAAAAAATACATTATTAATATTATTTTGCTTTCTCATCGTTTTTACGTCTGTAAACACTAAGTACCAGTTTTTCCTACCTATTCGCTGGTAGCCTAAGAGGCTATTCCAGCTACGCGCGGACGGCTAGGTAAGCTCACGGGCTCAACCTGAGAGAATTTGCTAACACTAGCCCTAGCAAGAACCGTGCTTCGCAGAATCTACCACCGGATCGGAATCGCGACCCCTGAGAAGATCCGGCGAGAAACTCAGTGGACTGTGTCTATGAGTTAGTTCGCTCGTCGTAATCAAGTTCGACGAGGAAGGTAACCGGTGCTTGAGGGACTACCAGTTGTGATCACTTGTCTACAATGTCCAAAGTTACGTTATTTTTCGACAGTTCAACCTGAACTGGTGAGACGGCCACCAGAATATTAGGTCAAAGAATATAGCAAATGATAATGTTAAACAAAACATCTAACACATTTTCTTTTCTTGCAGAACAAGCTGTAATAAAACACGTGACTTTATCGTTGAACGTGGATTTTGAAAACAAAGTCTTAAACGGATCCGCCACTCTCGACGTTGACGTGCTCCAAGATATCGGAGATGTGGTAAGTAGGAAGGAGATAAGTCACTCGATAATGTCACTAACATGGCGTTGATAAAATATGTATGTTGTCATTATGATATCGCCAATCAAAACATTAATTATTGAAACGATTCCATGTATTAAAGGGTAGGTAGCAGCTTGGCTCTGCCTTTGGCATTACCGACATCCGTGAGCGACGGTGACCACTCACCATCATGTGGGCCGTATGCTCGTCTGCCGACAAAGCAATAAAAGACAATGACGAGCATTTTAATTCACTCCTACTTAACTCTTAATATTGGCAACGTTGGATTTTATTCATTTTTTAGTACTTGAATTTAAATTATGAAAATCCAATTTCGGCAACGGTGTTTGTTATCCACAATCGGACAAACAGGTTTGTAGTGCCTCTGGCATTAATAATGTCGATGGTCCTACGGTGACCATTAGGTGGGTTTGTACAAGTCGAACGAATTATCCAAATAAGCTGATTTAACGATATTTTCCTATAATATGTAGTACTACATTAAGTGAACCTTTAGTTGTACATTGAATGTATACAAAAGGGTACTGTCCGACTGCAGTAAGAATGAGATCGATCCATCACCAAATCAAACGCAAAATTGATTTAGGTACTTCTTAATGATTCGTTAGAATATAAATGATAAGTTTTTTTATCGCAAACTCAAGTTCAAAGCTACGTCGTTTTTTCTTCACGGCCCGCCAGAGCCTCAATCTTTCAATTGACGGACATTAGCTGTATCGACGGAAGAAAGCGGAATTTTTTGAACTTGAAAAGCCCAAAAGTGATTTAGCCCAAAATGCAAGTTACGAAGTTATCGCTTTCTCCCCTCGATATGATGGAAATTAAAATAAGGGGTAGACGACTAAACGTGATCTAAGAAGATTGGGTTAGATATAGAATATCTGGTCAGATGAGAGAGAGAAAGAGTATTTACTGTACACCAAAAAATAAATAAACAATGCGATACATTAAATACAAACAAAGTATAATTGGAGGCATTGAATAAGCTTTCAGTTTCAAACCCTCTATGCGAATTATATGGAAGGAAAGCAGTACTGTCTAGGGCAGGGGTGGGAAAATATTTTGATAGTCAGGCCACATTGTAGATGAAAATTTGACCTCGGGCCAAATATTTTTTTTTTCTAATTTTATATTGTGCGACTATTATACATACTGTAATTATTCAATTATCATAATTATATTTTCGAATAAGAGGCGCTGAAAAGAGCGGTTGTCCGGGAGAAAATTTTGGCTCCCACCGGCCCTGATAATATGTATCAGAGTATTGCTAAATATTTTATCTAAAAAAAATTATGCACCAATTTATGTTAGACAAAAACTAATATTTGTGTTTTTAATAATAATATATACAATGCTTCACGGGCCACACAAAATTCTACCATTTGCCCAGGCCTGGTCCAGGGCATTGGTGGTTATAACTGTCGCGTGCGGTCAAGATAATGGCTAATGCAAACGAAGCATCGATCTTAAAGTCATAAAGTTGGGCGACGTTTTTCACGCAATGGCCGTGAACTCTGATAACCGCTTAATTAAAATTTCGCTCTTTTATGACAGCAATATCACGTATTTCATTGCGTTATCGATATACCAAGGGTATATAGTAATATGTGTTTCAGGTCCTTGATTCGAGTGAACTGACAATAGAATCAATAGAACTAGACGGTGCTCAATTGACGTACAAATTAGATGACCCAGTGCCGAACTATGGCTCCAAATTGACTATACAATTGCCGAAACGAGCCTCAAGTGGTGATAAGTAAGTAATCTAGTAAGTCATTCAAGCAACAACAAAAAAACTATTTTTTTTTGTCGAGTCGAGTACAATGAAACTAATTTGTGACGGATAAGGAATATATAGAGTTGACTTTTTCATATCAGTATTTTAGGTTCGGGCTGCAATCGTTTTTATGTTATATCCAAGAAGACTACACATATATAATTATTATTAGAGTTTCAGATCACAACAGTGCTAAAAAATTTAAATCAATTAAGTGAATTAAATCACTTAAAAAAACTTTAAGTTTCTCTGCAATTGCGTTTCTTTTTAATTGTTCTTGATACAGTTCTCCGAAATATAAAATTGCAAGAATATAGTATCTATATCAATATATCAGTAATAATAGTACAACCTATTGGAAGGCTATTGCCCGACGTTCAAACTATGAACAATATTTTCTTGGAACTAATTTTTGCTATAGATAAATCTCTGTAGTCTTTAGTAATAAAAAAAATGTTTTTTTTTCTTAATATGATAATGTTAATTTTATTAACTCAAGAGTCGACTCCAGTCGAGGCATTTCAAAGGAATCTTCATCGTCCGAAAAGAGTAAATGTTGTACTGAGGATACGCCTCTGGCCTACACGGGATTCTTGTACGAACCGCTATTGGGTGGTAAAGCCGACGTTTCAACTTCTACAAAATCGGATAGCTTATGTGAATGCTGCTCTTGTACAGATGAGACATATACCGGAAACCATTCTGGGTACAATGGCTATCGAAAATAATATTGTTCCTAGTCAATCGATAGACAATAGATAGTCAATAGTATAGTTACTAAACAGTCGATAAAGATTAGTTAGCTTTTGTAGTGTACCAATAGCGTGTAGGTTTTAAAAAAAGTATTGTCTACATTTAGTTTTTAAAATTTATCGGTCATATGAATTTACGTGTTTAAAAAAAAAAAGTATATGTATTTATCTTTGAAATTGGATATTCAAGATTTGAATATTTTTATTGAAAAACATTTCAATTTCTTATAGTTTCTAATGCAATAAAATTCAATAAAATTATAGTACATACAAAGATATCAAAAACCCGTAGATAACTCGTTGAAAACTATACACTAATTCGTATAAAAGCGATTTCTGTAAAACTTAGATCTTAGTACCTTTGCTTATAATGTCGAGAATGTATTTAATTGACCATTTCTATTCTTATGAAGCTCTTAAACTTCTAAACCAATCAACAGTCTTATGTAGGTATTAGAATTAGGTAAATACAATGAAACGATAGACGTGATTAATAATTGTAGTAACTTCAGGTAACCTAATGAATGTACTTCAGTGTGCTTAGTGCGAGTTTTTTTAACGTTCTCCATAGCGTAAAAGTTAGCTCATGGAATGGGATCGTTTGCCTACGTTTGTCGTTACACCGGTCACTCACATGCGCACGAATACGCAAACCCGCAAGTGTAGGACGACATTTGCAAATGATTATGCAAAGTTTTCGTTACATTCGTGGTTTTCCAAGCTGTGTCGGTTTTTTAACAGACATCAAAGCGCGCGAACCGCGAACCTTCGCGTAGTCTCCCACACATTCGTTTGCCCAGTTGCGCCGACGATTGCGAAGGTAACGGACGTATCGCCATTTAAATAGTTCGTGACGTCTACTGTGTAGCGTATCTTCATCAAAAGAAATCCCATAAAAACAGCATGGTTGTTAATGATGTCTGGGAAATAATTCAAAACTCTTTTTCTCTTCAATGTTCTATTGATGAATTAAAAAGGAGGAGAAATTCGTGAGACATTCGTAAAGAAGTGTAGGAGGAAGCGCAAACGGGTTCGCAAATTGAGTATGCGAACACATTTGCACAGCTGCTAAGTTTGCGAATGAATGTTTGACAGCCCTTCACATACGCGCAAACATTCGTACAATTACGAATATTTGCCCGCATGTGAGTGGCCGGCATTAGAGAAGCTGTTCCAACTGCATACAAAATTGGGTTAACTTTTACGCTATCGAGAACGTTAAAAAACTCGCACTAAGCACACAGGATCTTCCACGAAGACCCTCTGACCTGCTCGTGTTTGATTTGTTTTTTTTTTTTTTTATTGTGTAGATCGGTGGACGAGTTCACAGGCCACCTGGTGTTAAGTGGTTACTGGAGCACTTAGACATCTATAACGTAAATACGCCACCCACCTTGAGATATAAGTTCTAAGGTCTCAGTATAGTTACAACGGCTGCCCCACCCTTCAAACCGAAACGCATTACTGCTTCACGGCGGAAATAGGTAAAATATTGTAACGTATAAAATGGACGATTTCCGTCAGTTAAATTCTTTTGAAACGAAAGATATTTATTGAAGATTGAAGATATTTATTTTGTGGCTTTTTCAGGTTAAAAATTAAAATTAAGTACACAACGTCCCCGTCCGCGACTGCGTTACAATGGTTACAGCCAGCTCAAACTTCGGGGAAGAAACATCCTTATCTATTCAGCCAGTGTCAGGTACAGTTTAATACTATCTATATATTAATACGTAAAGCAAAAACTTTGTACCCCTTTTTACGAAAATTGGGCGCACGGAGGAGTAAGAAATTTCCCACACTTATAGAGAATATAGAAAAGGAGTGCCAAATGTTAATATTTTTTTAAATTATGCATAAAAAGTACAATAAATTAATAAAAAAAAACATCATACACACTATATACCATGTATTTGACCCAGTCACGCATACATACTATCTGTTTATTGTCAAACTTTTCTTATTGCTTATAGTCTGTGGTCAAATTGAGAATAGATTAAATATTGTTTGTTTTTATTAATATTTGCCTAAAGTAGTCTTGGCGAAATCTGTGATTATAGAATTTGACAATAGAATCATAATAGTGTACAAACTTATAATTTCAATTAAATAAAGTCGAATTTCGACTACCTACCGGGAGACGACTACTTATTATAAATTTTTCGGAATCCAAACTTCCCAAAACATGCTGTACGCGGTGTCATTACGTGTGACGTCACTGGAGGCTAGATTGAAACACCAGTTGACAATAGATCATACAATTCACATCATGCACTGTGTTAGCACGTCATCACGGATCCTCCTGATCCATTAACGGTGCTTTTAGGCAATACAAGCACCGGTCACCGTTCTCGTCGAACCCGTCGCTTGCGACGAAGGGCTAGACGAGCGAATTAACCCACAGACACAGCCCACTGAGTTTCTCGCCGGATCTTCTCAGTGGGTCGCGCTTCCGACCCGGTGGTAGATTCTGCGAAGCACTGCTCTTGCTAGGGTCAGTGTTAGCAATTCTCCGGTTTGAGCCCCGTGATCTCACCTACACAAGCTAGGGTAAGCTGAAATAGCCTCTCAAGGCTATCAGAATAGGTAGGAAAAAAAAAATGCACTGTGATTGATGTTAAAATTGTCAGAAATATTGGATTTGATATAGTGCTATAATTAGTGATATAAATATTGTTTTTTTTTTTTTTCACATATAATAGTGATTGAATCGTCATTTTAATTCAATTAAGATTGCTTAACTATTTTTTACCGGACTGTAGCAATCTGTTGATGAACAAGGTTTACAAATTCATAGAAATCGAATAAATTATTTAAATCGATAGTACCTTCCCAGTCTTGTAATTTTAAATCTCTCAGTCACATAAAGTCTTGTGACAACATAGTTTTGAAATCTAAAAGTTTACTAATAGACACACCACTAAAAGTAATAGGAAAAAGAAAGGTCATGGAGAAATTTGTCACTAAACGTTCCACTCAACAACAACAAAGCAACACCCACATTCCATTTTGTATAAGAATTTTATAATAAACATCCCATTTTCTCAGAATTTATTTCCACAGCTTTACTAAATGTTTTGTATTCATTTGCAGCCGTTTCATGATTTTATAATAAACATCCCATTTTCTCAGAATTTATTTCGATAATTTTACTAAATATTTTGTACTAGTTTGCAGCCGTTTCATGATTTTATAATAAACATCCCATTTTCTCAGAATTTATTTCGATAATTTTACTAAATATTTTGTACTAGTTTGCAGCCGTTTCATGATTTTATAATAAACATCCCATTTTCTCAGAATTTATTTCGATAATTTTACTAAATATTTTGTACTAGTTTGCAGCCGTTTCAAGATTTTATAATAAACATCCCATTTTCTCAGAATTTATTTCCACATAGTTTTACTAAATGTTTTGTACTAATTTGCAGCCGATTCATGCCCGATCGATTCTTCCGTGTCAAGACACTCCGTTTGTAAAGTTCACTTATGACGCCGAAGTCACGGCGCCCGAGGAGTTTACAGTACTGATGAGCGCGCTCAGAGGCGAGAGTCGCAGCACTAAAACGACCTTCAATCAGCCGATGCCCTTGCCGTCGTATCTTTTGGCCATTGCGGTCGGCGTTTTGGAGCACAGGACTCTAGGACCCAGGTACGTGTATCAGTATACATCTATATATATTAATACGTGAAGCAAAAACTTTGTACCCCTTTGTACAAAAATTACGCGGACGGAGGAGTATGAAATTTTCCATACTTATAGAGAATATAGAGAAGAAGTGCAGAATGCTAATATTTTTTAAAAATTATGGATTCAAAATGCATTAAATCAATAAAGAAAACATTACACACACTACCATGTATTTGACACACACACATATACTCTTTTTTATTGTTAAACTTTTGTTATTGCTTAAAGTCTGTAGTCAAATTGAGAATAGGTTAGTATTGTTTATCTTTAATATTACGAGTATTTGTCTATAGTGTAGTCTTAGCGAAGTCTGTAACAATAGAACCATAATAATGTTGAAACTTATAATTTCAATTAATTATAATTTTTTAATATTATAATATATTAATATAATAAATAATACTTATCACTGGTGGTAGGACCTCTTGTGAGTCCGCACGGGTAGGTACCACCGCCTTGCCTATTTCTGGCGTGAAGAAGTAATGCGTTTCGGTTTGAAGGGTGGGGCAGCCGTTGTAACTATACTGTGACCTTAGAACTTATATCTCAAGGTGGGTGGCGCATTTACGTTGTAGATATCTATGGGCTCCAGTAACCACTTAACATACGTTGGGCTGTGAGCTCGTCCACCCATCCAAGCAATAAAAAAAACCCATCAAAATCACCAAATAAGTCAAAAGAAAATGAACAAAGGAAAAAAAGATAAATTTATAAATATAAGTTTACAAAAAACAGCAGTTGCTTACATTACAATTGACGCTTCGAATTCGTGAGCTTTGTTATCGTCATCTACACACAATATTAAAAAATATATCGAGGGGTGAAAGACTTTTAGAAGTTATTTTGGTAGTGGTCAATAATGGTTCAGGGCGTTATCAGAAGTGATATAATTAAATAACACAACCGGTTAATCGGAGCGTTTATTCGCGACTGAACTTAAAAAGTAAAAAGCGACGGAGCTTGCGGGCGAAGCCGCATGTTATGACTACGAACAATTTTGTTTACATAACAAACTGTGTCAGTACAGACTATTTAATTTTAGTTTACGACATTTTTACAGGAAAGCCATTTAAAGCTTAAAATTTTGGAAAAGAATACATATTATAACAAAAAAACTTCTTCAGGTATTTGAATTAAGTAAACTTAATTGAAGTTCAATTAAAAACATCGAACTGTTGACGCTTATATCAAAATGAAACGTACCTTTAATTACTAAGATATATGTCGCTGAAACAAAATAGCCCTTCACCCCTCTATATAATTTTTATATTATACTAGCGACCCGCCCTCGCTTCGCTTTGGAAACATTAAATTTTATTATTGATAGCTAAGTTCTGCGATGTTGCCCGCGGTTATTGTCGTACCGCGGGTGACGCCGCTAGCTAGTCTAAAAAAGTAGCCTGAGTTAGTCCTTATATCATCAGCTACCTATCAGTGAGTCTCGTCAAAAGCGGTCCGGCCGAACCAGAGATTAGCCGGAACAAGACAGACAGACAAAAATTGTAAAAAATGTTATTTTGGTATATGTACTGTCATTTAATAAAAAGTGGTTATTTTATAATTACAAACAGACACTCCAATTTTATTTATATGTATAGATTTTATATTTCGGTATATTTGATATATAGGTCGAAAGTTTGGTCCGAGAAAGAGGAGATCGAACGTAGCGCTTGGGAGTTCGCTGAGGCCGAGAAATACCTGCAAGCCGCCGAAAGACTCTGCGGCGCTTACGAATGGAAACAGTACGACTTGCTGGTGCTGCCACCTTCCTTCCCTTACGGGGGGATGGAGAACCCGTGCCTTACTTTTGTAACGCCCACTTTGTTGGTGAGCATGAACACAAATCACAAGTTATTCAAGTCTCTATTACCAATAATAATAAGTTGTCTGTTCACTGTCTGCAAAGATATGATCATTCTCTTAAAGTAATTTAAATACTAACTATACTTGAGACCTTAGAACCTATATCTCAAGGTGGGTGGCGCATTTACGTTGTAGATGTTATGGGTTCCAGTAACCACTTAATACCAGGTGGGCTGTCCCCCTTGTAAGCAATAAAAATAATAATTAAAAAAGACAGGGACTCCCTTACTTTTTTATACTTATTTATCTATTATATAAAGAGACTCCCTTTCTTTTTTAATATGCTTTTATTAGCCTCAGACGTATGTACGTTAGACGGAATCTTTGAACATGATTTTGACCCCCTCCAAAACGTCGGATTAACTCGAAATTTGGTATACTTATACCGATGACAATATAATACTTAAAAAAATATTGAAAAAATTGAAATTCAACTAAAAAATGAAAAAATAAATAATAGTTTAAAAAAAAATAATTAAAAACTACGCTTTTAAAAACGACTAAAAAGTCTGCAATTGTTAATATGTGAAGATGTCGATTGTATTGATGAGATTAAATTAAATTGCCATACAGCATAATAATTACTAACTCTGATAAATGTTTTTAAAAGTATTTAATATGAAGTTATATCATTGACCATGACAGATGAAGTGGAAATCTATATTATGGAACAATCCCACTTCATGCTCGTTAGTCTTGTAATATGCAATAGGTTCTAATTCCAATTCTTTGAAATCGTTATAGTCTAGAAATAGATTACTCTAGTATGCTTTTAATATTTGTGTTTCGATTGAATAAGTCATCCCTTTTTCAAACTGAATGAAATGATTGCTTCACTGTTTAACATTAAATCCAAAATTAAATATACACAGGCTGGTGATAGAAGTCAAGCAGACGTGTTGATCCACGAGATCATGCACAGTTGGACCGGTAACCTCGTCACGAATAGAAATTTTGAACATTTCTGGTTAAACGAGGGCTTCACTGTATTCCTGGAGAGAAAAGTCAAAGCTTCTTTGATAGAAGATCCAATTGAAGCCAAGAAAAGCAGAGACTTTCATAGTATACTCGGACTGGAGGAGTTAAGTGAAGCGGTGGTAAGTGTAGATTATTATATAATAACTAGCTGACCCAACTTCTTAGTGCTTCAATCAATAAATAAAAGACCTAAACTTTTGTATAAAATAGACTTAAAACAAACAAAAGGAATCCGTCCGACGGGGGACACATCAAAGGAATTTTTTTTTTTTATTTAATTCCAAGCATTTTCATATTTATCTACCTTTTAAACATCTGGACTTCCACAAGTAATTTAAGACCAAAATTAGCCAAATCGGTCTAGCCGTTCTCGAGTTTTAGCGAGACTAACGAACAGCAATTCATTTATATATATATACATAATAATAAACCCTTTTGCGTACTTGTTTATGAGCTTCATATGTTACTCTTGTATATTTTTAATCCTAATATATAGCTTTTAATAACTTTGTTTTTGTGATACAGGTAAGTCAGTTAGGCGTTGACAATCCTCTGACCCGGTTGGTACCCGACCTCCATGACGTGCATCCTGACGATGCATTCTCCACGGTTCCCTACGAAAAGGGCTCGCTGTTTCTGCGATACCTTGAGGACTTAATAGGAGGACCAGGTCAGTGCTCATTCCATAACTAAAATCATAATGTTTTCCTGCATGTCGTGATCTTTTGGTATTCATGATTACAACACGAATTGTGGCCTGTTATCATCTTAAACTATGTTATAAATGATTGCTCTGATATAATTATGTAGATAAGTAAATAATTTTCTGGCTCATCTGGGTAATATTAAGATGTTACCGGAGTTTATATAACGCGTATATGAAAACTTGTATACGTGACAAGAATAATTTAAATAGTGCCGCCTATACATTTGTGCTTATAATATCTAATGCTGGATCCTACCAGTACTATCAGGTTGGTACTCAGTCCAACTTTGATTGTCTTCATATACCATGTAAAATTAATTGATACAAAATCCACGATAGGGTAAGAAATATTATTATATGAAATAATATGGAATTTGTTACAAAAACATGCTGTAATTTATACCGAATCTTACAAAAGTTGAACAAAGTATCTTAAAGTGAACCAGATAGGATGGCATTGTAAAATAAATCGTTGCCTCTGTCTATAGGATTTATAGTAAATTGATACTCAACTGTAATAACTCCTGAAGAGTGGTCACTAATTAAAGAAAACTTAGTTCTGCAGTCTAAATCTCAAAACGGAGACTTCTCAGTTACCATCAGTAATGTATTTTATGTTACCAAATTTTCAAAGAGGGTACATGTTTTTCAAGTTTACTTAATTTTTATATTTTGTTGTACTAATTACAATTGCACTATAGTAGAATTATTTTGTCCGTGCAGTTTGGGTCATAAAAAATCGGAGCGTTGAAGCGAGTATTTCGCTCTCTCTTCCACTCACGAACCTTATGGACGGGCGTAGTGATGTGCATTATTGTTGTCGATAAGCGTTATCGATAGTGTATTTAGTTTTGTCATTTTGTGGGTTAGTGATAAAAATGAAAGAAAGAATCACTAATCGAGTCCTTACACTACATATTGCCGCAGCAAGTTAACGAGAACGGCAGAAGTTAACACTTTGTAACTTTCGAGATTTATTCTTATTTCAGTGTAAAAAAATCTAACACATTGTTGATAACAACACGTGCAAATATTATTTTGAATAAATTCTGCCGTTTTGATACAACACAAAGGAGAAGCCATTGTGTCATTAAATAAATTCAGAGAACGAATGCATAAAAACACAATTCTCTTCAACATAATGTACTATAATTTGCAGGTAAGTACGAATTACTCTTAACATGACAATGTCTCACCACCCTTTGTATACCACCCCGCCGCCGTGTACCTGCCTTCGATGAGTCATTTGTTATTATTGATAATGGCGTTGCGCCCGCGCAACATGCTTACCGCCCTAGCCGAGCTATGTTTTATGACCCAAACTGAACGGACAAAATAATTCTACTATAGGTGCACGTTTTGTAGATGAATTTAAAATGTGAACTGTAGATTTGTCTTAAACGTGAGAGTGACGTATATTTTTATTTTACCATCTGGATATCATAACATAAAGCAAAGCAATCCTAAAGATACAAAAACACGTTCGTGCCACCAAATTTTATATTTCCTTTACTTTTGTTTACAGAAGTATTCGATGATTTCCTACGGTCGTACCTGAAGAACTTCAGTCGGAAATCGCTTGACACGGACGAGTTCAAGGCCTATCTGTTTAACTATTTCCAAGACAATGAAAAATTGAAGAGCGTTGATTGGGAAACATGGTTGTACAAGAGCGGTATGCCCCCCGTCATACCAGAGTGAGAATTATAATAATATATTATGTACAATTTAGCTATGTAAATATAGACAATAATCAAAATTCAAACTCATAGTCATAGTTCACCTTAGGAATCTTTTGCATCAAAATCTTTTTGCAAATAAAACTGCAGCCTTGTATCACTAATTAGGCCAGTTAAAATAGTATATCTCCATCCATTTGATGATTGAAAGATGAATCATTAATTGGGTGTCAATTTTACATATTGAAGTTATACTTCTTTAGGCGCGTTATGAAAAATTGATGAGAGTGAGATTTTACGATGCGCGTGACACAAAATTAACAGAAATGAAGTTGCCCACAAGTGCTCCAATACAATTGAAATTAACTATCCGTATGTATTATTTAGTAATATAAATGACAAAATTATTATTTAATATAATTCATACTAAACATTATTAAATTATTAACGTTAAATATTTATTAATAATTATTTAATATTAAAAAAAAGAAATAAATTTAATAAAAATAAAGTATAACTTCTTACGCGCGTACATAAGTACACGCACCTTTTTTTATATTAGAGTAAATATCTAAAATATACATATACGAAGTGTAAAATCCAGTCCAGTCCAGTAATTGGCCCCAACAATTTAAAATCATTCAATTAAATAACAGTGTAAAAAATTACTTAAGGTGATATATATTTTTGTTTCAGCTACGATACTTCAATGACGAAACCGATAACAGCTCTCGTTGCGAAGATCAACCAGCGCAACGCGACGCTGATATCGTATCAAGACGTCCAAACGTTTACTCCTCATCAAATAATGATATTCCTGCAAGAACTGATAAAACATCCTCCACTGCCGCTAGACATTCTCCACACTCTTGGCGCAGAGTATAAAATCGATAGTAGCAAGAATACCGAGATTTTGTATAGGTAATAATATTTCAGAGATATAAAGATTCGATACTTTTTACAAATTTAAGTCTGAAACATTGAGTCACCGCAGCGCTAATGTTACGATAACGTGATCCCTGGTCAACTGACATTTTGCAGAGTTTTTGTTAGATAAATAATTAAAAAAAAAAACGTTTTTTCGTGTTACTTGAATGTTTATCTATAATAGATTCGAAGTTTTATTGTTTAAAGTAATAAGCTTGCAATAAAACAAAACGTGGGTCTGTTCCTCATTTAGGATTCGCTTACTGTTGATATGATATGATATGATACATTTGAAATGCCTTAAAATATCCAATATTTTGTAGATGGTTGCGGCTGTGCCTTAGAAGCAAAGATCAATCGATCTTGGGCGAAGTGTTCGATTTTGTGAACCACATAGGACGGATGCGGTACGTCCGTCCACTGTATAGAGACCTCTACGATTGGGAAGACGTTAGAAATCAAGCAATAGAAAACTTCCTCAAAAACGAACAATACATGATGCACGTGTGTGCTCATACTGTGAAAAAAGATTTACATTTAATTGACTAGTTGAAAATTAAATATCGTTTAATTTTTTAATCTTTTTTTTTAATCCTGTTTTTTAGGCAAACGGATTTTTGATACCAGCTTAGCATTCGTTCTGTCTCTTCTTTATTTTTTTCTCTGATTTATTTTAGTATTTTTCACTGGTATCTTACATTAACATTATTGACACTGTCGAATGTTAAATTTCATTGTGTTTTAAAGTGTCCAGTTACTTCACAATTGAATTCTGTGATATAATAACAATGTTTTTTTTAATACTTTTATTTATATATATTTTTTACTGTCTTATTTTTGTCACAGAATACTAAATAATCCTCAAAACACGCCATTACGGAGTCTCCCGATCCAATAACGGTGCTTTTAGGTACCACAAGCACCGGTCACCGTCCTCTTCTAACCCCTCTTGCGACGAAGGGCTTCTACGAGCAAATTAACCCACATAGACACAGCCCACTGAGTTTCTCGCCGGATCTTCTCAGCGGGTCGCGTTTCCGATTCGGTGGCAGGTTCTGCGAAGCACTGTTCTTACTAAGGCCAGTGTTAGCAACACTCCGGCTTGAGACCCGTTAAATCAACTTTTTTTTATTTTTTTTATTGCTTAGATGTGTGGACGATCTCACAGCCCACCTGATGTTAAGTGGTTACTGGAGCCCATAGACATCTATAACGTATATGCGCCACCCACCTCGAGATATAAGTTCTAAGGTCTCAGTATAGTTACAACGGCTACCCCACCCTTCGAACCGAAACGCATTACTGCTTCACGGCGGAAATAGGCGGGGTGGTGGTACCTACCCGTGCGGACTCCCAAGAGGTCCTACCACCAGTGATTACGCAAATTATAATTTTGCGGGTTTGGTTTTTATTACACGATGTTATTCCTTCACCGTGGAAGTCAATCGTGAACATTTGCTGAGTACGTATTTCATTAGAAAAATTGGTACCCGCCTGCGGGATTCGAACACCGATGCATCGCTTCATACAAATGCACCGGACGTCTTATCCTTTAGGCCACGACTTCAAGATTTAGGTCGAATACAATTTAGGTCGAAGCTGAAATAGCCCCTCAAGGCTATCAGCATAGATAGGAAAAAAATAAAATAATAATAATTGATTACTGATTTGAATTTGAACTAGCTACGAAATAAATAAATACAAGTTTGTCAGTAGTGTCTGCACTATGCGCAACTTCGATTGCAGAGGACCTAAATCCAGTTTTCTAATATAGGGCACATATTTATGAAATAGTTTAAATTAGGAATCAAATATTCACTGAAGATTCCAGTAATTATTTAATATCAAGCAATACCCGTGCGACCTACATACAGATGATTCGTGGTCTCGAAATCATCTCACTATAACTTAACTCGCTGGAACAGATGAAACGCAAAGATCCATCCGTTGCAGACACTGGTTTTGCCACATTTTTGCAATGTCACAGATGCACGATACAATTATATTTTAACCACCATAATTACACACATTTAAACATTTAAATCTGAAAAAATACCAGTAAATTAACAATAAAAGGCAGTTTTCCTTAAAAAATAAAATTTTCCATTTTCATGCAAAAAGTAAAAGGTTTATATTACACTGCCAAGTTAAAACTGCTTCTGGTGTTTTTTGCAACTCGAGCAATACCTATACATATTTTTACCACACCTAATATTGAAGAAAAAATTGTTAGTCCTTTGCACTATAGTTTATATTGATTAAATGACGATACCATAAGGTCTATATTCTCATACCATATTCTCATGTCGTGAAAAAAACTGTGATGAATTCGTATCATTTTATTGAAGTGAAACTTCTAATGCGACTTCCAACAAAGTTGCGTCAAACGTTCAACGCTTCTGGGGAGGGGGAATAAAAAGAGACAGAACGAGAGTGAATGCGTGGCACTCGAACGGACGTGGGTAGTATAGGTACCTGTTATAGGCCAGCACGAGCGTTAGCAACGGCTGCGTCCAATATTTTAATGAATTATTTAAAAAAAAATATATATTATTTATTTTTCTTACAAGAGCAATCTGATTTGAGGATAAAAAATGAAGAAATCCACAATATTACACATCACAAAAGAAGTTTTACTTCATTCACGTACACCAAGTTGCACGCGCACCGTTTTTTTTATAGATTATTTTATTTCATTTATGTTATTTTATCTTACTTTATTCATTTAATTTCAATTTTTGTAGTTGTGCTCACAATTTGTAGCTGTGATCAATTTTATGAAAGTTTACATACAATGGATATAGGTCGCTTCAGTTTTCACCCCACTAAGCTTGAATGAATATATGGGTTAGATTCCCATTGCCTGTCTAATGAACGAATCCAAACAAAAAAGTGCTACAAAAATAAATATAACCTAAAAAAAACGTAAAGCTATGTTAAGTTATTTTTTTCAATAAATTAATAAATCAACATCTAAGCATTAAGATCTACAATGTCAGCAGCGAAACGAGTACAGGTATAGGGAGTATAGCTTAAAGTATAGATATAGGCATTTAGAAACATGAAATAAACAATTCATACAAAAGTGACATTATAAACAGCATAATTTTTTCATATTTTGTTAATATTCTTTATTGCTTAGATCGGTGGACGAGCTCACGGCCCACATGGTGTTAAGTGGTTACCGGAGTCCATTGACGTCAACAATATAAATGCCGCAATCCAACCTGAGACATGAATCTAAGTCTCCGTCTACAGTACAATAAGTACAGTTTTGCAGTACAATAAATTTATTACAATATTTTTACAGCAATGGGCAACATTTGCTCGTAGTTGGCACATATTCGACTGCAAATGGCAAGATCCTTACGAATCTGCTCACGTTATAAAAAAATATTTGATGGGCATGCACAAACCTATATACCATCCTATGAACGATTGTGGAGATGTTGTTGTTTGTATAAATAGTAGAGAGATAGCTCTTCGAGGCGACGAGTGGAGGAAACGTGCTTATTTCCACCACACTGGATACCCTGGAGGTGCTTCGTGGACTTTAGCATGGGAGTTACATAACAAGGATCCAACCATGGTAAAAACTTATAATCGTAACAAACCATGTAACAATAGTGAATTTTATGTTCGCTGTAATGTATGTATTGAAATTCTAGTTCAAATAAAGTATGCAATTGTATGATAAGAATGAATCTGATAGCAGTTTGTATATTTCAGAATAAACTATCTTTGTTTAAATATGTCACATGATATTAGAAAATATTAAGCTATAAAGTTATAAATAATATTGATAAATATATACAGATAAATTAATAATGAACTAAAAAGAAAAATTAATAATGATAATATTTATTATTCAAAGCTTTGCTGGCCGATCTTTGATTTTACTTTGATGTGATTGCTACCAAACTTCACTAGATCACCTGCTAGGCCAATCTCAAAATTTCATCAAAAGTTGTTCAGCCATTTCAGTGTCTGTAGGGAACATACTCAAATTGACTTAAATATAACGCTTATTAAAAATAAATAAATGTTAAATAAAATATATGACAATAAAAAAACAATTACCAACAGACAATGAGTAGCATTTAGAATAGTTGTAACAGCACAAATATGGAACTGCCTCAATGTGAACTCTAAACGTTAAAACAAACAACACTGATAGTCGACTGTGTTTTGTAAAATAAAAATCCAGAATTATCTATTTGCTCAGAATACCGAAAGCAATAGAAAAGCTCATAATATACCACAGTCTACCTAATGTTATTTCACAATTTCAGTTGCAACGAAACAACAGCTTTCCAGTCCTTAATACTGGCATTATTGCTTCAAATTAGAAATGAACAACCACTCCATAAAATAGTAATTGGGGACAAGAGATTAAAGATTAAAGCTGAGACTAAAGCTAAAGAAAATGGAATTAGTTTAATGTGTGATGGGCTAATAAAGCTAATTTCAAACAATCACCTCGTCTTGTGTGCTCTTATTTAATACAGCTTGAGAGTAATTTTATTATACTTGTGTAGTTTAGATGTCTTCGGTTTTTTTCAATCTTTTTGGGCTGGAATCTGTTTAAACTGCTTGAACTGGAATTTCTTTAGAATTAGAACTCCATATTGTGATCTTTTGGATCAGTACATATTAAACGAATTAATAAAAATGAGGATACTGCTATAATAGGTGGCCAGGATTGTAATAGGGCTTAAAGTATGAAATTTCCGTTTTATTGTAATAGGTACTTCGAATTGGTAGCGTCGAATTCGAAGCGTGGTATGGACATGTGATGCGAAGAGAGAAGATGCATGTGACTAGGAGATGTATGGAAATGGTAGTGCAAGGTAGAGGGGGAAGAGGTCGACCGAAGAAGACATGGATGGAGTGTGTGAATGACGATATGAGAGAGAGAGGAGTGAGTGTTGAGATGACGGCTGATAGAAGAGAATGGAAGAGAAAAATTTGCTGTACCGACCCCACCTAGTGGGATAAGGTGGAGAAAAAGAAGAGGTACTTCGAATTGACATAAAACCTTAACTTGCAGTTTTTGAGTGAAACTTTTTTAAAATGGTACATATGAGGTTCTTCTTTTAAAAAATGTGCAACATTTGATTATCGACTTTCAGCTGTTTTTTTATTCAGCTTAGACAAAAAAAATGGTAAAAAATGTTAATGGTACTCGTATTCAAAAATTCGAGTGATTTTTGAATACGAGTTCCGACGCGGAATTAACGCTGCAGAAACAGCTCGCAATTTTTTATTTTTTTATTTTATTGCTTAGATGGGTGGACGAGCTCACAGCCCACCTGGTGTTAAGTGGTTACTGGAGCCCATAGACATCTACAACGTAAATGCGCCACACACCTTGAGATATAAGTTCTAAGGTCTCAGTATAGTTACAACGGCTGCCCCGCCCTTCAAACCGAAACGCACTTCTGCTTCACGGCAGAAATAGGCAGGGCGGTAGTATCTACCCGTGCGGACTCACAAGAGGTCCTACCACCGGTAATATCAATATTGCATTTGGAGAGGGGACTGCTAATGAACGCACCATGCGATTTTGCATAAATTTCCTTCCTATTAGATGGCAGAAATGTATAGATAATAATGGTAGCTATTTTGATTAAATAAATAAGTTAAATGAAAAAAAAAAACATTTTTCAAATATTTCAGTACAAATCGGCAATTTCATACTTTAACTCCTAATACATTTGGATTCAGAACAGTAGAACATTGTTATCTACCATCCTTTGACTTTGTGTTCAATGATTAGGTTGAGCCACTGTAAATTTAAATCTTGAATCACTAATGTTACCAGACATTCAGAGTTTAATGCAATATTTTTGAAAATTTTCAGATCATAAAAAAAGCAGTGTACAGAGCAATGACTGGAAACCTTCAGAGGCGTCATACAATGCAGCGTCTTTTTATATACCCTGGAGAGAATGTCCCTGAAGACGTTTTGCAAAATGTTACTAATCAAATTAGACAAATACGTTACGTACCGAAAAGACTAGACCACATACCCGAAGAAGAAGTGAAAAATTATCCCAAAGTCATGGAATACCCAGAAGATTTTGTTGTTAAATAATTATTGTATTTAAAAGATTTAGTGTGATAATAAAATGTAGTACTGTAATTTACTGGTCTAATAATTTATAGCATTTTCGAATTTTTGCGATTTATAGACAATTTAGAAAAAAAACAAGTTATGGTTAAACTGAATGTGTCTAATTAATGGGTGAGGCTTAGTGGATAATTGTATAAAGAGTCGAAGCTCAGGAAAACGAATAATTTGGTTTTAACGAAAATCATGCTTACAGTTCTTTGAATAAAAATTAAAATATTATGTTACTAGCGACCCGCTCTCGCTTCGCTTCGGAAACTGTAATTTATTATTAATTTCTCCACTATTTAATGGATCTTATTATACATATAAACCCTCCTCTTCAATCACTATCTGCTAAAAAAAACCGCATCAAAATCCTTTGCGTAGTTTTAAAGATTTAAGCATACATACGGACAGAGAAAGCGACTTTGTTTTATACTATGTAGTGATAAGAAACCGATGCGTACTCACTATATCTATTACGCACTAGTTTAAGCGGCTCTATGATATTAACCCAATAGGTTTTACTGTAATATTGGCCTTTTAATTAAAATGGAAGGATTCTACGATTAATTTCCTAAGGGAAATGCACTGGCAAGTATTTTAATTCAAGTGGACCTTAATCGTATCTGTAGACAAGAGCAATGAAATAAAAATGAAACTGCAAGTTTTTTAATTACTTGATTTTATTTTGTATCAAAAAATATAAACATTGTCATTGACAATCCAAAAATTAAATTTTAAAATACTGTTTCAAAGTTGCTTACGTTATGACACAAAAACTAGTCGAATTGCGCATTTACAAGGTTCAGGAATAGTTTGAAGGATACACAAACTTTTAGTAAAAAAGTATAAAAGAATTAATTACTTATATAAAAAATGTTATTTATTAAATACAAAAAATTATGAATGTAAATGTTCTAATTCACATAGAAACTTGAAAAATATATAATTTATCGCCATGTAGAGTCCGGGTATCTTTTGCCGGGGTATTCACTTTGACTGTTCTCAACGATGGGGTTTACTACTTGAACAGGGCTTAAGTCTTCTGGTTCAGCGGCATTTTCGACGGGAAGGTCAACAAGCTGGGCTTTCTCTAAATCTTCGGGTTGTGCCTCAATAGGTAGATCAACAATAACAAGTCCGTTTCCATCTTCGTCCAATTCAGCAGGATATTCAACCCAGCTGATCGAGCCAACTTCACTGTCATTCTCGATTTCCTCATTCGTCTTTTCAACTGGTTCATCCACGATGTTCACAGGGGCGACTTGTAAATCGGCGTCCTCAACTGGAACCTCATCGACATTGTCTACGAAGTTTACAGAATCAGCCGGGACATCGGCGTCCTCAACTGGAGCATCGACGTTGTCTACGAAGCTGACAGAATCAGCCGGGACATCGGCGTCCTCAACTGGAGCATCGACGTTGTCTACGAAGCTGACAGAATCAGCCGGGACATCGGCGTCCTCAACTGGAGCATCGACGTTGTCTACGAAGTTTACAGAATCAGCCAGGACATCGGCGTCCTCAACTGGAGCATCGAGGTTTTCTACGAAGCTTACAGAGTCAGCCGGGAAATCGGCGTTCTCAACTGGAGCTTCGACATTTTCTACGAAGTTTACAGAATCAACAGGGAAATCGACGTTGTCAACGGGAATTTCAATGTCAAAAATCGCAACGTTGTCTACATTTTCGCTCAATTCAATCCCGGCCAAGGCGAGTTCTTGAATGACTTCGTCGGGGATGATGTACATTCCAGCGTCGATGCTCTCGTATTTCGGTATTGGGATATCCGCGATTTGGACGGGTTTGATTGATGCGGCGGCCGCCGCTCCAATGAGTGCGAGGACAATTAGCAATTTCATTCTGAAATGAAAACGTTACATTGCAGTACATTATTTTGCAATATTGTCAAGATCTTGGGCTGTGTTAAGTGATGGAATCATAGAGACCAAAACGAGCAGCCCACAGCTTGAGATATGAGGTCCTAGCCTCGATAATTTATGCAATATATTTTTAATACACTAACAAGCTCACGAGTCTAGTTAATTTTTAACCAATTACTGGGGTCCAATTATACTATAACTTAATATCCACCACCTAACCTTTAAACAAGATTCGGAAGCAATTCGAAATTCCGATGGTATTGGAATAACCGTAATCCGTACCCTTTAAACAGCAGACGACAGGAATAAGTCTAAAATGAGATTCACTTTTCACTGTGATTATCGCTAATTCTCATAACAAAAGCGACGTGGACCACTCACACTCAGGTGGGTCGCATTCTACCATCGAAGAAAATTAAAAAAGCAATTTTAAAAAGAGAATACTTCACGTTCCTGTGTAAAATCGATTCAATTATTATTTTAATTTTTAAATTGTAAATAAATAAAAATAATATACAAAGAGATGATAATTTATGAATTACGAAAAAGTATCATTTAATTAGGAAGAATAATCAAATATCTTACCTGTAAGTTTTATTGTTACAAAACAAACAAATCATAATTAATATTTCCGTCACTTGCTTTTATATTAAGCGACTGAATGAATTTATCAATATGATACTGTTATAATCTTCAGATTACGTTTATCAGGTCGATTTGATTTGTCCACGTATTTTTATTTGGCATAAGTTATTTTGAAAGAAATGCATAAAATCCCCTGAATTTACATCATTAATTTCCTTTAAAAATATTTGACTCATCAATTATATTCCCGATAGACCTGATTAGATACATAAAATAAAATACAAATCTCATTTCTATCTTGTTTGAACAATGTCTGGTTTCAATCGAAGTAAATAATTTGATGTTAGCGATATCATTTATTTACAGTCTGGAAAACGTTAGGTTGTGGGCACACGGAGACCTCCTATTTTTTATCCTTATTTCTTATTAAATTTTCCAGTAATGGTAGTAGGGTATATCAAAACATATATAGCTCAATCAGTAACGCACTCAGTGTACTCGTATCGTATCCAGTTTAAATCCTGGTTTTTTTTCAAAGCAAACACGTCTCTGGGTTACACATATCATAATATGGTGGAACTTCATAGTAAGTAAACAAATTAGAATTTGCGTAATTACTGATGTTAGGGATCCGCACCGCTAATTACCGTCGCCGTGCCGTATCTTCGCTGCGAGCACACATTCTGTTTTCAAGTGTAGGGTAAGCGTTCTACAAATTGAGAGTAACATCTTTACTGATAGTTGTCTGTTCGACTAGTCATCAGGAGATAATCGTACGCGATAACCACCTCTTAATCTAATTCTAATAAACATACTCCTATTTGTAGTAGAAGTGCCCATTTCTTAATTACCCTCTTCCTCCCAAAATCTTCTGTGTGCTTAGTGCGAGTTTTTTAACGTTTTCGATAGCGTAAACGTTAGCCCAATTTTGTATGCAGTTGGAACAGCGCCCCTGGCGGCAAACGTAGGCAAACGAACCCATTCCATACAAATATGAGCTAACTTTTACGCTATCGAGAACGTTAAAAAACTCGCACTAAGCACACTGTTCCCGCATCGGTTGTGCTACCGTGAGTATAATTAGGTAATTATAATCACGATAGCCCAACCGTAACCCCTCAGGGGCTGTTTACTTCTGACTGACTTCTATCTGCCGTGAAATTTGAGTTCCGACAATAAGGTATAGGATAGACATCGATTAATAGATAGTAGATATTACATAACTCTTGAGAGTATTAAGTGTGCGTCAGAATTCAATTTGTAAATGTCTTTGCTGCGGTAATCATTTAGGATTGACGGTATTGTGATTGTCTACATGTCTTTGCTTATTAAGAAAACCGGACAAGGGCGTTTGAAACTCGTGAACTGAGGGTTCCGTGTGAGTCATGTATTGTTTGTATTTTTCGTGCTCATACATAGGTATACGAACAATAAAAAAAAAGTAACTGAAGATTTGGATTTAGAAATAAAATCCACGTAACGGTTGTCGTTTTACCTGTAACGCTTAAAATCATGTCTTTGTCGTTTTGTATAACTTTGTATAATTGCCGTTTATTTATAAATATGCCCTTTATTTATAGAAAGATTTTTTTTATAAATATTTTTATTTCCAACCGATCGACCGACCTTGAGCAGTCGAAAAATATAAAAAGAGCTTTTAAAATATATACTATCTGCTGCTGCCCCACCATTTTAACCGAAACGCCTTTCTGCTTCACGTTATAACCAGTAAATGGTTCATCTATTATTTTACCCTCTTAGGAGTGAAATTTCGAAAATTCCTTAGCGAATTCGAATTGACTCCTTTCAACATAAATGTCAAATTAACTGCCAAATTTTCAAGTTTTAACTCTAGCGGCTTAGGGTCTCCGAGAATGAATCATTCAGTGAGTCAGGACAAATAATAATAATATGTATATTTTCGATTCGATTATCTTGTTTCGGAATTAAAAAAATACTAAACAGTGTTGTCTTATCTTTCGGTTTTTGCGAGATTTGTTTGCTGTCTTAAGATTCAATTGAATGGTAATAAAGATTGCGTTTTGGGCCTTCATTATTAAAAAATGTGAAGGTCGTTGTTCTAATTTTGTAGATAAATATCCAGTTTATTTTTTAGTAGATTCAAGTGACTAAAATATTTCAAATTAGAGGAAAGACCACACTTGTAAATTTATTATCGTCTTGTTAATCCACTAGTGTAAATTGAATTAGTAGAATGTACCAAATTAAAAATTAATTTATCTAATAAACAAACATTATGAGTCATAATGTTTGTTTATTATTTATTATCTATGATTATAATTTATGACTCTCTGCTGCTTTTTTTTTTCTACCTATTCTGATAGCGTTGAGAGGCTATTTCAGCTTCGCTCTAACGTTTGTAGGTGAGCTCGCGGGGCTCAACCGGAGAGTTGCTAACACTGACCCTAGCAAGAGCAGTGCTTCGCAGAATCTACCAGCGGATCGGAAACGCAACCCACTGAGAAGATCCGGCGAGAAACTCAGTGGGCTAACTCTGCTGCAAAAACCAATTCAGATTAAACAAGTCTCAAGTGTCATTTTATCCACCATTTTATCGAATCCTCTCGAATGCAAATTGAACTGCCGCCGACTCAGTAAAAAGCAAAAATTGCATTATGGATGCTAAAATGTAAACTACTACTCTACATTACTAATTACTACATACGTACGTACACACGTACCAGTTTTTTTGCTCATAATGAGCACACGAACTGCTCTGGTTTTAAGTGGTTTCCGGAGTTCATTGCAGACATCGAAAACATCACAGTGCTTATTGCCTTTATCTTGAGCTTGCCAAGCTTGAGCTCACGAGGTAATTTATGGTTAAAAATAAATTAAATACCTTGTGAAACAATCAAAAAGTTCTCTCCTTAGAAGTTCATTGTGAAATTTGACTTTCCTAACATCATCATCATCATCATTTCAGCCTATCGCCGTCCACTGCTGAACATAGGCCTCTCCAATAGATTTCCAGTGCAACCGGTCCAATGCCACCTGCATCCAACGAGACCCAGCACTTTTTACTAGGTCGTCGGTCCATCTCGTAGGTGGCCGTCCCACACTGCGCTTGCCAGTACGTGGTCGCCACTCCAGGATCTTTCTGCCCCATCGACCGTCCTCTCTTCGTGCTATGTGGCCGGCCCATTGCCACTTCAGTTCACTAATTCTACGGGCTATGTCAGCAACCTTCGTTCTTCTACGGATCTCCTCATTTCAGATTCGATCACGTAGAGAACTAACAACTTAAAGCTATTTCATTGTTTTGTTATGGCTGTAGGTTGCAATAGTGCAATTCGAATAACGATCATCATTATTGTCAATACGTTATAAACGTTTACTGCTGGTACTAATTGTATATATTCTATATTTTAATACGACCTTATAGGAATACATATAGAATTATAATTATCCTTATTAATGGTGGGAAATTAAAACATTATATAAAAATATGAATTGTGAGCATCTAAAGATTAAATCATCATCATCATAATTTTTTCATGATAATTGTTCTTGTTTTCGTACTTTGTAAATTTATTTTACAATTTATTGTTAAATAAATTTAATAAAAATAAAATGACAAAATATAATTTTATTACATTTTTTAACTATTAGTCTGCTTCGAAGCGATACAGGGACTTTTTACTACGCTAGTATTTTTGATTAAAGGGATTCCCAAAATTTACTTGTCTGTTCGATAAGGGTTCAGAGATTTCTTATCTGATAATTTTCAAGACAACATTAATTATTTTTACTGCTTATCGAATACTGTGCTGGTTTGATTTTTTATTCCTTATTTGAATAGACTGAGTACATATTTTACCGCCAGTGTTATCAATCATATTTGTTTGTTTCCTGATTAGTGTATTTCTTTTTTTTTTTCTACCTATTCTGATAGCGTTGAGAGGCTATTTCAGCTTCGCCCTAACGTGTGTAGGTGAGCTTACGGGGCTCAAACCGGAGTGATGATAACACTGACCCTAGCAAGAGCAGTGCTTCGCAGAATCTACCAACGGATCGGAAACGCGACCCACTGAGAAGATCCGGCGAGAAACTCAGTGGGCTGTGTCTATGGGCTAATTGGCTCGTCGAGCCCTTCGTCGCAAGCAACGGGTTCGACGAGGACGGTGCTTGTGGTGCCGTTAACGACCCCCGGCGACCCCTTTTGAAGAGCACCGCTGCGCTTTTCGTGGGGTTGATGTCAATGCGCCACTTCCGGAACCACTGTCCCATGGTGGTTACTGCGATCTGGAAAGTGTATTTCAAATCACGTCTGTCTATACTGTGTACTATGAGTTTAGTACCAGGGCATTTACTCACCACCCGCTCACTCTGGTTATCTGCCGACGACAAGCCTCGCAAATTTGTACGAGACTGATATGCACATTAGATTAGAATTTGTTGTTAGAAATGTTTGTAATAGAATTGTTAGAAATGCAGAGAACTGTTCACATCCAACCTACAGGGAAATCGGATTTTCCTCTAGTAATTTTGACACATATTGCTCGTTTAGAGGGGGTGAAGTAATGAAGTTATTTTATTGTAGTTTCTAAAGTAGTAAGGTAGGATAGGGATTCTGAAAGCCTCAAGCAATCCCAATGCGCCAAGTGGAATTACGCTAGAATCCTAACATTTGTTTGGTAAAACAGAACTATAACCAATATTAACCAATATTGTAAAGGAAAAATCGAAGCGCTTAGACATAATTGGCAAACGGATGAAGAATTATTAGTCTTAATGTCTGATCCGATCTCCTGCCAATACTTAATTCTAATTGAGTTTGGCCTGCAGTTTGAAATATAAAGCTTATCGCCTGCGTCTCCAAATCGGCTTCAGACAGTGGCGAATTCACATCATGAACCGAGGTCTAACCACCGCATCTTTGTTCTTGGGTATTGTATAAGGGGACTTAGGGGACAGCGGGTCGCGTTTCCGATTCGGTGGCAGGTTCTGCGAAGCACTGTTCTTACTAAGGCCAGTGTTAGCAACACTCCGGCTTGAGACCCGTTAACTCACCTATTTTTTTTTTTTTATTGCTTAGATGGGTGAACGATCTCACAGCCCACCTGGTGTTAAGTGGTTACTGGAGCCCATAGACATCTACAACTTAAATGCGCCACCCAACTTGAGATATAAGTTCTAAGACCTCAGTATGGTCACAACGGCTGCCCTACTCTTCAAACCGAAACGCATCACTGCTTCACAGCAGAAATAGGCAGGGTGGTGGTACCTACCCGTGCGGATTCACAAGAGGGTTTGATTTTTATTACACGATGTTATTCCTCCACAGTGGAAGTCAATCGTGAACAATGGTTGAGTACGTATTTCATTAGAAAAATTGGTACCCGCCTGGTATTCGAACATCGGTGCATCGCTTCAACACGAATGCAACGGACGTCTTATCCTTTAGGCCACGACGCCAGTCATGCGTTAGAGGTGGTTAGCGACATTTACATGTCTACGGGCGCCAATACTTTACGCCGATCAGATATTCAAAGACCACATAAAAAATCTTTAATGTATACGCATTTATATGTGAAGAAAAAGCCGATTTAATATTAATAAGGTTGGATAAAAAATACCATTGAAATGGATATCAACAATATACTTTATTTATTATATCCCCATCTCTTCAATTACACCGAATTACAGCTAAAATATATTTGGCAATATAAAAATAAGGAATACATTAGACTTGATACCTTTCAATCGTACTAACTACGTAAATATAATTTATACCGTACGTCTAAATGTATAGAAATTTCTGGACATTATTTGCCAATTTTTAAATGTTCACTATCTACATTAGTTATCAACATAGCCACTTTTAATAAAATTTCGAATTAAATCTCGACAAAAATTTAAACGTACGCCAATATTACAAATCAAATTGACTATAAAAAATATATTAAAGAAACAACATGGAAATCTTATAACTAAAAAGAGATAATTATACATTAGGAAATTACTTAAAAAAAGATAAAAATGCTCTTGAAGAATATTAAATTATTTTGCTCTTGGCTCCGTGAATTTCAAACCAACTTCCAAAGGAAATGCTAAAACATCTATGGTTAATATTATCAGACTTTTTACAATGCATAAGTCATGTACTATGATTATAATTTTTTTTGCTATAATCAAAGAGATCTCACGAGTTCTTCCGCTAAAAAGGTGCTTAAGATGAACTAGTGCAGAACGTTCTCGTACAAGACAAAAATACAAAAAAAAAATACAAAATAAAAAATAAAAAAAACATTTAACTTACACAAAAAGATATTAATTAATCAAATAAGTTCTTGATTAAGATAACAAAATTTGTCTTTATACGAGAACGTCTTAATGCAGATAATAATTATTATATCTAAAACATTACACATAATATATTATAGTTAGATATTCCTGTGAGGAAAAATGTTTTTATATAGAATCATATATATAACATAACCATCCTTTAAGGAAATTATTTATGAAAATTATTAGACATCACATTTATTTAAATTTCACACTGAGCTTCATACTAGTTGATATTAAACTAGACATTTTGGACAAGGCTCGTCATTACGAACCCTAAGTTTTGATAGAAAATATTTCTTGGAATGCTTAAATACATTATTGTGTGAAAAACTGTTTTTTTTTCTCTTACACATACATACAATAGATATATTCGTTTTACAGTTCAATGAAAACAATAGTATAGATTGTTGATCAATAAATTGATAGTGAGATAAACAAAATCAGTATCAGTGTTAACACCATTTATATCTGGTAACTTTACACAGTATGCTCAATTTGAGTTGTAATCTGATGTGTTCTATTTCCGGAAAAAAAAACTTTTTTAATTATTCAAATTGTAAAGATAACAAATACATTTTTAAAAAATTGCTTTAGATATTTCTACTTGTGTTCTATTTAACGCTATTGTGAATTACACAAGCTAATGACCAGTGCGTATATATACCCAATGCATTTTTGACGTGGAATTTTTATTTTGATACTTGAGCATCATCCATATATATAAAAATAAATTGCTGTTGCGGACCGATTTGGCTAATTTTGGTCTTGAATTATTTGTGGAAGTCCAGAGAAGGTTTAAAAGGTGGATAAATATGAAAATGCTCGGAATTAAATAAAAATAACAATTTTGTTTTCTCTTTGATGTGTCCCCTGTCGGACGAATCCTTTTGTTTGTTTTAAGTTTATGTTATACAATAGCTTAGGTCTTTTATTTATTGATTGAGGCACTACGAAGTCTGCCGGGTCAGCTAGTAATATATATCACTACATAGTATAAAACAAAGTCGCCTTCTCTGTTCCTATATCTGTCCCTATGTATGCCCATGGACATCTACAACGTAAATGCGCCACCCACCTTGAGATATAAGTTCTAAGATCTCTTTATAGTTACAACGGCTGCCCCACCCTTCAAACCGAAACGCATTACTGCTTCACGGCAGAAATAGGCAGGGTGGTGGTACCTACCCGCGCGGACTCACAAGAGGTCCTACCACCAGTTAGAATAATCTACTTCTCGCTAAATATAGTATTGTCTACTCAAAGAAACGTCTACAGTCTATACTGTTGCTATCTCCGACAGGAAATAAAACGCACGACAAAGGTTCAAATTGCGTTATCTAACTATTTTTGTGGAGCGCGCGTGTCCTAGTATCATTTAGGGCGGTCGTGTTTCATGTTTTTTTTTAAGCACTCGTTCATTGACCCGATTCTTTCTTTTATTACAGTTATTATCGATCTAGGAAAATCATCATTAATTTTCAAAACATACATAACTTTTAAAAGAATACCCTTAATTCTTAGGGCGTGGTTTTTATACATATACTAACGACACGCCCTCGCTTCGCTTCGGAAACTGTAATTTATTATTGATTTCTCCACTATTTAATGGGATGTTATTATACATATAAACCTTCCTCTTCAATCACTGTATCTATTAAAAACAACCGCATCAAAATCCGTTACGTAGTATTAAAGATTTAAGCATACATACGGACAGAGAAAGCGACTTTGTTTTATGCTATGTAGTGATATTAATACATTTAACTGTCGTGACGTTTAGATAATATCGTAATATCAATGACATCTGTTCTTTTTCATATCTACACCTTTTTTTTTTGTTGTAGTTTGGTTATAATAGTTATTAAAGTACTTTTATTACCCGAAAGCAGTATTTGATGATAAACGATTCTGAGATATATTTCATTTACTGTAAAACCTTTGCTGCAAATACAGAAATCGTCAATATGGAAACGCGCGTTTACAAAGGATATTCCGCTCGATATCTAACTAGGTACTGGAATCCATAATGGCATTGATTCTAGTTAACAAAAAAACTTTCCTTTATATTATAATATGCATTTGATTTTTTCAGTGACACGATTAGTTTTAAAATTATTGTGTATCTATATTGTTGATCAAACTATATTCATTTATTAATAATAATAATAAGATATATACGTATTAACTGAAAACTTGTAAATCTATTTAATATTATTAATTATAAACGATACGTAAACGCATACTATACGAACGTATAAATATACTATTTTTATATACATTTTATTTTATTGCCCTTGTAGACAGACGGGCATACGCTCCACTTTATGGTGAGTGGTTACTGTCGCCCATGGACATCAGCAATGCCAGGAGGAGAGCCAAGCCGCTGCCTACCGTTAAGTACTCTCCACGAGCCCCGTTTGAGAAGGGCATGTTATAGCTCTCGTGAAACACCGTGGAGGGGAGCTCATTCCAAAGCAATGTTGATATTTTACTATAGATTTTTCAAACAGCTGTCACTCTCAGATTTCGTATACGTTAAATGAAGATTTAATGTAAGTTAATAATAATATCGACGCATGAAAGGCAAACGTGACTAAGCGACAATGCGTGAACTTTACAGTAGACTAATTTGAAGTTGAAATACCTGAAAAAAAAATCTATTTTAACGAATCTAGCCGTAGGATTGAAATGATTTTAATAGACCTAGAAATATATATTTTTTGCACATCGAATATGGTTATTGCCTATCATTTATGTACAAAGCAGTTATTGTCGCTTAGTCACGTTAGCCTTTCAAGCGTCGATATATTGGTTATTATGTATTTGTTATCTTTACAATTGTTCTGTTTATAGGTACGTGTGTGCCACGCGTGTACAGCTCGAGCCCGCGGTCGTTTCTTCACTCATTTGATGGCGCGCGCTTCGGGAAGAAACGCGTCCCAATATCTAATCGCCTGTAAAACGTAAACTTTAGTTAGAAGCACATGCTTATAATCTACTAATCTATATATATCTATACGTGAAGCAAAAACTTTGTATCCTTTTTTACGAAAATTGCGGTATGAAATTGCACAATGCTAATATTTTTTTTAAATAATGCATAAAAGATACTTTAAATCAATAAAGAAAACATTACACACACTACCATGTATTTGGTACACACACATGCATTCACACTTTTTTGTTTATTGTTAAAGTCTGTGGTCTAATTGAGAATATATTAATATTGTTTATCTTTAATATTATTTGTCTATAGTGCGAGATTATAAAAGTATATTCTTTGACAATAAAACCATAATAATGTTCAAACTTATCATTTAAATTAATTATGATCGAATTTCGACCACTGGGCGATCACTAGTACAAATTATTAGTGAACGTGTCTTTATTGCTTAGACGGGTCAACGAGTTAACTGTTCATCTGATGTTGACATCAGGAGCCCATAGACATCAACAACGTATATGCCGATAATTATCGATATTTTTTTTTTGTACATCCCTACTCGTACAAGTTTCACTACTGATGCGGACTTTTTGGCGGGAAAGCGAGGAGTGAGGTTGTGTGATTTGTTTTATTTTGTCTATTTAGTTTTTCTTCAGGTTTAAATGTGTAATAACGGTGGTTTATTAACTGTTTACTGAAACAAAGCCGCTGGACGTAACTTCACAAGATCCTCCAAAAAGTCCACTGAAAAAATCTCAGTAAACGACCACAATTTTACTGAGATTATATTATATTTCATCCCATCTCATCTCATTTCATGCCATGTTTCGTATTAATCAACTTCATTTCATTTCATAATATAATTTTTCATATAAAAAAGTTTTCATTAAAATTAAAATAAGACTTGACCTAAAAGTCTTAGTTACCGGGTCATAAAATCCCTTAAAAAAAAATTCTATTGCTGACGCATTACTAAATTCGGTAAGTACGCGTGCTGCGTATTGACAGCCCTGACCTGAGCTTGATGCTTCATGTGTTCCTCGAGGTAGTGCAGCAGCGTTGCCCGCAACTCGTCGACCCGGATCTCCTCCCATCGCTCGATTTCCTTCTTGATGACGCGCGATATCGAGTCAAACTCTTGTTGGTTACGTTCGACTTTTGTTTCCCACTGTATTAAAAAAACATACAGGATTTAATAAAATTGTTTTAAATGGGAAATTAATCATCTTCATTTCTTCATAAAAATAAGAATATAAAGGGGATGGCCCATTTTAGGCCCAAAGCGGACAATAGATTATAGAAAAAATACTTAGTGCATTAATTTTGTCATAAATAAATATGCATTTACTTTCTTGCAAATAAGCGCCACTATAGTTTACAATAAGTAGTTTAAAAAAAGTAACTCTATTGAAAAAACAAGGATTTTTATTTTTGCGGGAAAAATATTGCCAGCTTCAAATCCTTTTACGTATGAAGTAAATATTTTGAGTATATAAATAAAACATATAAATAAATCATTTTAAGTATTATCATTAATCAAACGATTTTAATGGATTTTATGCACATAAAATAACATCGAAGACATACCCATTGGACTTTAACTTGTAACTATACTTGAGACCTTAGAACTTATATCTCAAGGTGGGTGGCGCATTTACGTTGTAGATGTATGTGGGCTCGAGTAACCACTTAGCAACACCAGGGTGGCTGTGAGCTCGCCCACCCATCTAAGCAATAAAAAAAACTTTACTAGTATTGTTATTTAAATATGTACAACTAAAACAAAAACATAAAAAATAATGTGTACTCGTAAAAAAAAGATTAAGATATAAATCAATTATCGGTTATTTAAAAAAATAATCGATATATGAATTTCATGTAATTATTTTTCTTTATACTGACAACACTGAATTTAATCTGACTGACTGACACTTCGCTTGCTGCTTGTGGTGTTGTGCTTGCGTACAAAATGGATGTGTTTTGATTTTTCTTCGATTTATTTTACTTTTATCAATAACGTTTCATACTACGACTAAAAAACATTGTGTGAATTGTGGTTTTACCCTGACCGAGATTTAAAACCGTGTATATGCTCTCCTTTGCTATTTTTAGATGATACTAATTGTGTATGAAGATGAAGAAAATATAGATATTTAAAGAATTAAGTGTGTTTTTATACCCTATTGGATAAAAATACATTAGGAACATCTTAAACATTAAGAAAAGAAAAGTTCTTGAAGTATCTCACAATCCGACACTTATTTATATAGAAAATTAACCTCAAAACGAGTTTTTATTTTTATTATATTTTTTGTAATAGTGGCGTCAATTTCAATATATTTTTTAGATATCCAATACATTTAAGAATTTGAATCAGTACATTTTTATAGTAATATTTGATGTCCATCTTGGGCCTAGCACACTATGGAGAGTGGGCAATCCCCTTTAAATAAGTCATGACTTAAAGGTCTCAGTTACCACGTCATAAAATCTCTTAAAAAAAGTTTTAAATGGGAAAAAGGCAAAGTTAGAGGATCGCTTTTATTAGCTTCATACGTATGTTAGTATGTAAGGGAAATTTTGAACATGATTTTGATCCACTTCAAAACGTCGGAGTAACTCGAAATTTGGCGTACTTATAAAGGACCGATGACAACTTAATATTTGAAGCAGTTTGACCTGTTATTTACTTTCAGCAGTCAAAACAACAAATTTATTTGAGCGCCTTATTTTTTTACCTAAGCAATTTGGAAACTGTTGTATTTGCCTGAATGTATGTTAATGAATAATTTATCATACCTAATACCTTTATGATACCGTAAACTAAAAAAATGAAATACTATTTTTAATAATTCAATAAAAAATATTAAAACATAGAGTACATATTTATGACTGAATTGGCAAATTACATTCATATTGCACAGTAAATTATTACCAGACAGGTTGTGGGAGTAGTACTTAAAATTTTCTTTAAATTATAAATTAAAGTTTAAGATCAGCTGGAATTATTTCGAGTATGTAGGATTTAATACAAAGTGGTACGTACATAGGACTCTTCAGAGATTTTGTTTAGTAACAGGTACTGAATTAGTACATAATTCAGATCTTGGTACCAAATGAAATACCTTATTAAGTATAAATAAAATATAAATTAGTTCATAATTGTATTTCTCTTGTTATTATATTTGATTTTACCTCGATTATTTCATTGGCTGCTTGTTCAGCTTTATCCGGTCGATTCGACAGTTCAGCCTTAGCTTTGTTCTCGCGCCTTTTAGTGAGCTGCATTTGAGCGTGTTGCCAGTTTTGGAACACCTACAAGAAATTCACGAGTTTATTACTGAAACATACTTTAAGACCGAACTCAAAAATAATGGTTGGGCACTTTCGCACACTCACTGTAACAGTAATATTAGGCAGCGGCGTGGCTGTGTCCATGACATTGTCGATGTCCATGAGCAACCTTAATTATTTACTATCAAATTCATACAACCTACGCTATTTTGTTAGCAATATCAATAAAATGAAATGAAAAAAAATATATAAAAAATATTTCATCTTTTGGTCACGAACGTTCGATTAACTTGAAAACTTGCGAATGCATCAAAGACCAATACAATAATTTTATTGTTTTGACTTAATATCCAGATCCAAGTCACATGAACATTTAAGAGACCCTCAAGCTAACAACGAAACGAAACACTTATGGACAAACTTTAAGAAAAGCAAAAGGTATGTATAAAACAATAGGTCATGCATATATTGGATAATTCATTTACTATAAATAATCATTCTAATACATGGTACTTATAGAGGAGCATTCTCCTAAATTTGTCATTAGTTTTATAATAAACATATTTTTTTTACCTTTACTCGTTCATGGAATACGTCTTTGATTGATCCGATAAGCCCGAGGTAATCTTTGATGTGTTCAGACAGAATGAAGAAGTCCGTGTTTGATTGTTCCAGTCTCAAGTTTTCAATCTGAAATAATAGTTATATGTTTTTTTTAATAGTTTTTATTAAGACAATGTTATTTGTTATAATAATTTGTATGTTACATTTAAACATCAAGTACTATTTTATTCGGTATTTTTATTGCTTAGGTTGGTAGACGAGCTCACGGCCCACCTGGTGTTAAGTGGTTACCGGAGCCCATAGACATCTACAACGTAAATGCCACCATCCACCTTGAGACATGAGTTCTAAGGTTTCAGTATAGTTACAACGGCTGCTCCGCCTTTCAAACCGAAAGGCATTACCGCTTCACGACAGAAATAGGCAGGGCGGTGGTATCTACACGTGCGGACTCACCACCAGTAATTATGCAAATTATAATTTTGCAGGTTTGAATTTTACTACACGATGTTATTCCTTCACCGTGGAAATCAATCGTGAACATTTGTTAAGTATGTATTTCATTAGACAAATTGGTATTTGCTAGCGGGATTCGAACACCGTTGCCTCGTTAGATACGAATGCACCGGTCGTCTTATCTTTTAGGCGACGACGACTAATTGTTATTATTAGGCCGCCGTGTACTATGTGTGTGCATGAGGTCACTGAGGTGTCACTGTGCGTATTGCGGAGTATCTTTTTTTTTTGGCCCTTGTAGGCTGGGCAGACGAGCACACGGCCCACCTGATGGTGAGTGGTTACCGTCGCCCATGGACTTCAGCAATGCCAGGAGCAGAGCCGAGCCGGTGGTTACCGAATATTTATACCTTCTCGTGCAGGTCGGCGACGTGCGAGAGAGCGCGGGAGAGGGGCGCGTGCGGGTCGGCGCCGGACAGCGAGGCGTGCGCGCGCGCCGCGTCGTGCGTGCGCACGGCCAGCTCGCGTCGCTCGCCCGCCAGCGCCTCGCACGCGCCGCCGAGTCGCCGCAGACACGCCTCCAGCGTCTCCACGCGGACCGCGCGCTCCTCGAACCACTGTAACAAGCACATTCAAAATTGACGCCATTACTACTAATTATATCGACGCTTGAAACGCAAACGTGACTAAGCGACAATGCGTGAACTTTACAGTAGACTAATTTAAAGTTGAAATACCTGAAAAAACAATATTTTAACGAATCTAGCTGTAGAATTGAAATGATTTTATTAGACCTAGAAATATACTTTTTTTGCGCATCGAATATGGTTATTGCCTATCATTTATGTACAAAAAAGTTATTGTCACGTTTGCCTTTCAAACGTCGATATTAAACAAAACTCAATTTTGTGTGCTGTTGGAACAGCGCCCCTAGCGGCAAACGTAGGCAAATGTTCCAACTCCATACAAATTTAAGGTAACTTTTATGCTATCGAGAACGTTAAAAAACTCGCACTAAGCACACAGAGGTGAGACTTAACCGTAAATTGGTATTTTATATCACATACTCGTTAAAAAACCCACAGACAATAGTATGACAAGCATTTTAATTAGTTCCTATTTGAATCTTTAACTTTTACAACTTTGAACTTATACTATTCTTATCATTTAACTTTAAATATAGAAATGCTATTTCAACGGCATATTTTACACTAACAGATAACAGGTTAGCTGTGCTTCTGGCATTAGTAATGTCGATGGTCCAACAGTGACCATTAGGTGAGTTGTATGCTCGTCTACCTAATATATTAGTAAAGACTCCATTATGGACTCACCGGATCAGCCTCGTCCATTCTATAAGTGATCTTGTTGACGGTCTCACCGACTTTATTGAAGAGACGTAACATTCCCGCTCCACTCAACGCCGATGTACTTGTGGCTTTCGGTAGGTCCATGCCTGCAGGAACCATGATAGCGTTATTGTATTACAATAAAATGAAAACACTGCAGAATCGAGATCATGAAAGCTTATGAGGTATCGCCGTACAGTGTGCTTCATAAAATCTTCTACTGTACGCTATATCTTATTTCGTTTTTTTTATTGCTTAGATGGGTGGACGAGCGCACAGCCCACCTGGTGTTAAATGGTTACTGGAGCCTATAGATAGTAAATGCCCCACCTACCTTATAAGTTCTAAGGTCTTAAATATAGTTACAACGGCTGCCCCACCCTTCAAACCGAAACGCATTACCTACTGCTTCACGGCAGAAATAGGCAGGGCGGTGGTACCTACCCGTGCGGACTCACAAGAGGTTTTACTAGCAGTAAAGCACAAGAGGTCCTACCACTAGTCAAATCGTTAAACAAGAATTCTAAACAACTAACCTGACTCGAGGAATTCTCTAAAATCAGGGTCGATGCTCAAGACCGGGTGCTGGGCTACACGATTAAGGAACCTCTCTAGAGCGGCCCGCCGACGTTCCACGAACTGAGACTGCACCCCCGCGCTCGATACGCTGCCATTCACGTTCTCCGTTGAAGGGGTCGATGTCATCTTTAGTTTCGTTGTGCCTGTTCCGATAATGTTTATCTATATATTAATACGTGAAGCGAAAGCTTTGTACCCGTCCCGGTCATCGTTCTCGTCGAACCCGTCGCTTCGGCTCGACAAGTAAATTAACCCTCAGACATAACCTACTGAGTTTCTCGCCGGATCTTCTCAGTGGGTCGCGTTTCCGATCCGATCCGTGGTAGGTTCTGCGAAGCACGGCTCTTGCTAGGGTTCGTGTTAGCAACGACGTCAGGTTTGTGCCCCGTGAGCAAATTGCTTGAATGGCTTTTGTGTTTAAACAATTTATCGTAATTGTACCGTAACCATTCATGGCCGAACAGAGACACATAAATAGCTAGCCTGAAGGTAATAATTAAATCTACGAGTTGTATTTGCAGCAGTAAAAATGAATTGTCGTTAACGTGATAAGGCACGCCGCAGCGCCGTATACTCGCATTGAGCAACCCTATTACGGCGGCATATCGACACGCTGCTTAGTGTCCGGGAAGCATGTAATAAATGGCGGCTATTCAAAATATACGTATCATTTGTGCTACAATTCGTTTAAATATATAATTAAAGATCAATTTTTGTCCTCTATGCGTTTCCGAACCTTTGATCCTTATTTTGATGAATTTAACTATTGATCTTTATTCCGATGAATATTTGTTTTATATTTTATTTAGAGTGTAATAACGGTGATTTATAATTGTTTAGTATTTATGAATGGCTTCTCGGGTTCTTTCAAATCGTCCACTGAAATCTCGGTTAATAACCACCATTTTGATTAGCTGTTGTTTCATCTCATCTAATATTGTTCCTTTTAATTTCTCTCAATTGATTACAGTCTCAAATAAACCAAATTCATCTCGTTTCACAGCATACCATTTCTTCATTTAACAGAAAAATAATATGTATGTATATATATTTATAAATTCTACACTGGCAAGGTAAGAAGCCATGCCATAGATACTTAAAAAGACAAAGAAGAACACTGTAATCTGAGCCTCATGAGTTTTCATTAAAAACATTGTGATTTGTCGTAAGTAACACAATGGTGCAAGGGAAAAGCATTATCTATACATATCACTGCTATTTTTATCTATTTTAGTTTGGGTTTATTAATACGAGGTATTTGTTATCATTTAAACAGGAAAGGATTGAATCATCCAATATATTAAAATTATAGTATTTAATATACTGAGGATAAACGGATACGGATCGTGTTGTTCAGCGACCTTTCCGTTTTTCGATTTCAATATCGTGTCATCAATTTAGTTTTAAATACATTGCTGGTTTTGAAAGGAATTTAATCATTTACAGCAAAGCGTGTTGAGTTTCAGATAATGTCGACATTTGACGTATCTATTCAGATAAAATCTAATTTTCAGATTTAAATGTTTAGAATTAAAACTAGTTTGCATGTATTATTAACAATTGTATATATACTTAAACGGAAGCATTGTTAGGACAATTCTTTGTGTAATTTAACATTATATTAGTTGTGACCCAGAAAAAACCCACTACATATGCAATATTTTTATAAAGAAAAACTGCCTTATGCTTATTACCCTTTCAGAACACGAGCATACCGCCTTCTTGACAATAAGTAATCACTGTGGCTCATGGATGTCACCAACGCCAGGGACAAAGCTAAGCTGCTGCTTACAGCAAACTTATGCTTTTGCCATCTAGTATTGTGATTATAGCCGTGAATAGATAAAAAGTTAAAACCTTACCAACTATGCTTTTTTCAGGTGCAGGTGGTATTATCCTTCCGGAGCGCAGATATTTCTCAGTGAGCTTTTCGTGTAAGCCCAAGAAGTCACTGAAACGTCTGAGCACAGCGAATTCGTGCTTACTAAATATCGGCATGTTTGTTTTGGTGAATACTCGATACGCGACGTACGAACTCATGCCTTCTCCAATTTTTTGTGGTTCCGTTACCGTTATTATGATGTTATTTGAACGTTCTGTGGCAATCTGAAAATTAAACGTTTTTCTTTGGTTGATGGTGGATTTGTTAGTCTTGTGGTTCGCTATTAAGACTTTTAAAGATGAATGTTCTACGTAAAATATATCGTCTGTCGTCACAAGTGTTGAGAACGTATTTTTCATATTTGTTTTATGAAGTTTTGAATTAAAGATCCTTAGGTGTTTGATGTGAATGATATATTAGATAGACACCTACTTGGCTGTACTGGGTCTCAAATAAGGAACTAAATATTTTAGATAGCAAGTTTTGGCGACGAAGCCCTAAAATTAAGGGTTTCATTAAATTACGTTTTCAGAGCAATATAAACATTCCTAACATAGACATGTCAGTAAATAAAATGTAAGAACTCTCTTTGATGTTAGAACCAGTCAGACAATTGTATTTGTGTCTATTTAATGGTGTCCTTTGAGTTGTGAAATAAATATGCTTTCTGACCTAATGAAGACAAAGTAAAAAAACATATGCACTGATCTACAAAACTTTTTTATTATAATTAACTATTTTAAATATTGCATAGTTATTGCAGGCAAGTACATAGATTGATATAAAAACAGCTTAGTGTTTCTGCATGTATTAAGTACATAAAAGCTAATAGTAGTCTATGATATTCTAAATACATATGCCTTGTGTGTAATTTTTTTTTCTACTTTTTATTTTTATTTTAGATGTGCACACCATTGTATAACCTACAAGCAAACAAACAAATATTTCCTCTTTATAATATCAGTATAGATTACTTTATTCTATCATCAATAGTTTTCGCAGGGCACGCTATGTAAAGAATATTTTAGGTGATTTTTTTACACCTTGGGTTACATTATTAGAGTTTTAGTAAGGATCCCTAACTTTTTTCAAAAAATAATATTGCCTATGTCACTCGGAAATACTGTAGCTCCTAAACAGTGAAAGAATTTTTCAAATCGGTTAAGTAGTTTGAAAGCCTATTCGAAACAAACAAATCTTTCCTCTTTATAATATTAGTATAGATAAACTATTTACATTATAGGTAACAATAAAGGGAATGTAGCACTGACATTTAATAGAGAAAAATGAAGAAAACAATATAAAGCTCTCTCTCTGATATAAGTTCAATAGTTCAGCTGATCTCCATAGGTACTTACGGTACATATTCTGTTTTTAACTAAAGCTACAGCATTGATTTATATTTACTAATAATTGCTGTGAAATGCTTAGAAATGTATTAGTTCCATATAATTGTAGACAAGCAATCTTCTCTGCTGAATATTATATTTAAAAAATTTTTTTCTAATTATAATATTTTATTAAATCATATGAATCATCATAGATTTAAATTTGTTTTTACTCTCTATCTAATACTAAAACTTCTTAAATTTGTTATTGTTGAGTTATGATGTGAAGCTCTAGGCAAATAAGTAAACAAGTTCACCATTCAGGCAGCACGGCGTTTTTTTTTTCCCTACCTGTGCTGATAGCCTTGAGAGGCTATTTCAGCTTCACCCTAACGTGTATAGGTGAGCTCACGGGGCTAAAACCGGAGAGTTGCTAACACTGACCCCAGCAAGAGCAGTGCTTCGCAGAATCTACCACCGGATCGGAAACGCGACCCACTGAGAAGATCTGGCGAGAAACTCAGTGGACTTAAGCATGGCGTTGCTGACGTCCATGGGCGATGGTAACCACTCACTATCAGGTGGGCTGTATGCTCGTCTGCCTACAAGGGCAATAAGAAAAGTTAACTTGGTAACTTTGAGGATTCATCCACCTTATCTTAGTATTTTTCGTAAATTAATACAATAAAAAATGGGTACACACACCTGTTACAATTACAACCTCATATGTAGATATCAGAAAACATTGATTTGTGAAGGAGTGCCTATTAACATATACTATGCGTATCAGAGAATTTATGGGATTAAAATTCTGTAACCAGGGATAAATTTAATATTGTTTACCTCTTCCATAACTGGACTGTTGAGAGAGGTACTTATTGAGGCTGGAGTGTCATCAATGGAAACTTTCTCCAGACCCTCACGAGCTCCATTCACTTCTGGATCCAAACTGACTTCCTAAAATATTTATTTTTATCAACAATAGACTAGGACTAACTTATTTAAAATTATATGTTTGTAATATGAATGTTAAAAAGTAGTAAGTTTTGTTAATTCTTTTTAATACATTAAATAATGTTAATTAACTTAATTCTTTTACTTAAAGATTTCAATGCATGCTTTGTTTTAGTAAAAATAATATTATATTAGTTTAATTAAAGGTATAGTATGAAGTCACTTTAAATTAGACTATTAAACAGTAATCTATTGAGCAGATAATTTAATATTTTATGTGTACAGCTCTTTCCTTTTTCTTTCCTATGAATGTATAAAAAAAATAAACTTTCAGTAACAGATGTGATGTTAATATGATCTTGGAGTTTATTTACTTTTTAGGTAACTTAAAAATGTTTTAATTAAAAATGTTTGTGAAGCACAAATTAAAGCTAATACAAATTTCTATTTGCTTATTACTCGACAAAAAAATGTTTTTATTTGGAAATAAATGTACAGAACATCCCCTTTGTATCTTCACTTTCCAAACTTATATCTCAGAATTTTATTTATAGCTATAACAACAGACTGATTCTAAATACGGATAAGATACATTAAAAAATTTCGTAAAAAAAAACATTTCTTAGATCTTCAAGCATTTGTAATAAATTACGCATTCTAAGAAACTCCGAATGTGTTTTGCATTTAATTGTTTAACATTCAATGACTCAGACTTGAAAAAAAAGTGTATCATTAAATTTCTTTCTGAAGATATTGACATTCACTTTGTTTTGTTATTTGAAAGGTGAAAATACAGATATTTATTTAACGGTGTATGTAGGTACAAATAATTAATGTTTTTAATTAAATATCCAAATATGTATTGCTATCAGATTAAATGTATTGTTTAAAGGGGCGTCTACGTGGTCGTCGACGTCCCTGGGGGCGGATGCGAGACACCAGTAGATATTACAAGATTACCAGATACCTGTACAGCGGACGCAAAAATATCCTCGTCATCTCGGCTATCATTGTTGATGTCAACGGTGCTAAATGGCGGAGTATCTGGGCCCGCCGACATGATGTACTTTCAGTAACTAATTGAGGATTTGAATTTTTAAAGAAATACCACTGACAAGTAGGTAAGTACCCACTTTTTAATTTGACTAGTCAAAATTTAATCAAAAACAGAAACGCTGATGATGACAAGAGTCGTTAATTATTACTTTTTTTTAAATTGTTATTCCATTGACTACTAGACTTTTAAGCATATCCTAGTTGTTCAGACGACCTTTAAAACTTTCGCGCATAATTACGGCAAATTAAAAGAATTTATTAGTTCATTTAGAAGAACTGTTAAGAAAAATCTGAAGAAAATTGAGCTTTCATTAAGTTTCGCTTTTCGGAAGTATGTGACTGTCTAATAATGGACTATGGACGAAGATGTAGTGCATTTTGCGGTTTTATGGATATTCCTGAAAAGGCCATTAAATCTTGGCAAAAAAAAATTTGAATCAGTACGAACATAAAATATGCTAATTATATAACATTATTCTAGAGTACTTTGCGTCAAAGTGTAACGAAAAAAAAATAAAAAAGTCATAGTGACAAATTTTGTCCATTGTCACTTGTCAAATAAAAATTAAAAAGACAAGATTAACACTCGGTTTTATTTTGAAATATATACATACATACGTTTAAAAATATTGATAATAGCTCAGTCAGCGTTGTTTTTATCTCTTAAACAACAGGGCAAAATTTAAAACAGGTTAAGCAATCCTCTCTTGTTTCGATAAAGTATTTTTGTCGAGTTACACGTATTAGCCCGAGAGCCCGTGGGATCTACCTGTATGTATTTGACCAGACCTGAATTTTCGTACTTTGAGACCCCTATACCTACCATGCATGAGGTGGGGACTCATTAAGCTCAAAGTGGTCGACGCGCCGAGCGCTCAGGTAGGACAGGTACCGATTTTGACGGATTTTAAATCCATTTGACCACGTCTGCCGTTTTGAAATTTTGAAAATATATGATTATTATTATCGGAAAATAAGAATGGCAGACCATTATCGCGCATTTNCAAAATTTTGCATTTTCAATGCAATTTAGCATTTTCAAAGTGGTCTGCCACAAAGTAAAATGCGCGATAATGGTCTGCCATTCTTATTTTCCGATAATAATAATCATATATTTTCAAAATTTCAAAACGGCAGACGTGGTCAAATGGATTTAAAATCCGTCAAAATCGGTACCTGTCCTACCTGAGCGCTCGGCGCGTCGACCACTTTGTGCTTAATGAGTCCCCACCTCATGCATGGTAGGTATAGGGGTCTCAATGTACGAAAATTCAGGTCTGGTCAAATACATACAGGTAGATCCCACGGGCTCTCGGGCTATATACTAAACATATTGTTGATTAACAACGATGACGGATTGAATTTATGTTTTGATATTTGTAGATTGCTAGAGATGAGTTCTGATAGAAAAAAGATTCCTGACCCTCCGACACCAGTTCCTTCAACTGGCAATTTGCTTTCAAATGTAGCACCACCGCTTCAACTTCCAAATTTTGTGACTGCTGTCGCTGAAACAATGCCTACGTCCCAGCGTGAACCGGTACGTTGGAGTCCAGTGTTGTAATAATATCGAAACATCTGTATCAAATTACAACAGTGTTGGTTGCGTGTGGCTTGTTATAAATCGTTATAGTTAATTATATATATGTATTTAAGACAAACAAATGAAAAAGTACAGTGCGCTATATTTTAAACTAAAACATAAATGTACACTACTAAGTGTGTACATTTATAGACAGACAGGTAGACAAACGCAACAATAACAGTAAGTATTCACATAAACTGCACTGTTGAGACTGAACTGTTCCTCAAGATACTGTGGAGATTTTTGTTATAGATAATACGAAATGCTGATACAAGTAACATATACTTGCTTACTGTAGATACCTTAAAACATAAATACAGGTAGATCAGAAATCATTCCAAAGATCAAGTGTGTATGTTAATTGTATGAACAATAAACAGATCTGTTTCCATGAACCTTTGATTGCTATTAAAATATTTTGAAGATAGGTGTATACCTACTTCCTACACTTTGATTTTGTTATTAACATATTATATTTTTGGAAAAATTTCAAGCATTGTATTAATTTTGTGGTGAAAAAAATTCTAACATACACTTCGGTAAATCTACAACATAATCAGTTGAGTTAAAAAAATCAGTTATTAATATCAAAGATACAATTTAGGGTATAAAAGCTTAAACATATATAGAGCAGTAGATTATTTATATGCTTTTCTAGATTATTTTCTGAAAGTGAGTTTTAGTCACATAAATAGCCTCAATAGTAAAAATACTTAATTTGTAGGTGGAGCATCCAGTCCCAGTTCAGCCAATAGTAATACAACAACCTACGAAGATAGATCAGCAAGCATCAGAGAAGTTTTGGTGAGAAATTTAAATTAAACAATTATTTGGTAGAATACGGAGAGTTATTTGTTGCAAACCAAAATAATAAGATAATTTTTTTTTAATAATAATAAAATATTTTAATTATCTGAAGAATATTAATTTAATTAAAAGAATAAAATAAATTACTTATAAGAAACAAAAATACAGAAAGCATTTTAGATAACATGCCTGAGTAAAATAGTCTAAAAATTCACATTTAACCAGAGGGGGCTTCCAATTCATGTTTAAACTTATGCAACAGCATTCATAGTCCATCGGCTGCTGTAACTGTTTAGCCCTTCTCTACTATACAAATTTGAAAGCAATTTAACATTTTTTTTTCCTTACCATTGCTGATAGGCTTGAGATGCTATTTCAGCTTCGCCCTAACGTGTGTAGGTGAGCTTATGGGGCTCAAACCGGAGTGTTGCTATCTGGAATCTACCACCGGATCGGAAACGCGAACCACTGAGAAGATCAGGCGAGAAACTCAGTGGGATGTGTCTATGGGTTAATTCGCTCGTCGAGCCCTTCGTCGCAAGCGACGGGTTCGACGAGGACCATGACCGGTGCTTGTGGTGCCTAAAAGCACCGTTAATGGATCAGGAGGATCCGTAATAACGTGTGACTTTTGTAAATACTCAACATTATCTTTTTCAAGTTAGTGAAGTAAAATATTGTGAACCAAATTAAAAGTTGATGTATTTTATTACAGCCCTGCAATCCCGCCTAGTAAAGGAACACCATTGATGTCTATACGATCACCCGAAGACTCGGAGACTGCACAAACTCCAGAATCCATACCAGAAATTTCACCCGAGATGGATTCATTCAGTTAGTAGCATAGTTATTGTATATCAGTAGATCCTACCGCTTTTCTATGTAAATGCATACCCAACACATTTTCACGAATTATTACGAGTTATAAATGAATTTACATTGCACATTGACTTTGCATATTAAAAATAAAACCAGCTAAAAATAACAATTTGTATATTTAATACAAAAACTACTTTTATGGCTTAATCTCGCATTTCTTATTGTCATACTATTTCTGATGTTTTGAAAACTAGGTTTTTCGTGTTAATGGTCGGTTTGCATATTTGCTGGCTGTACATTATATTGTGAATCCTCACATGGGTAGGCACTGGATAGGTAGATGGGTAGGTCTTTAGAAGCAGCTCTCCATCTGAAGTATTTAGGCTCTGAACAAAATTTATGTGCTGAGTTTCTTGTCTAGGTGATATAATGCCAGGCACCGGGTTGCTGACGTGGGTGAAGGGTGCAGTTGCCAGTGGTGGTATTCTACAAAGAGTAGCCGAGAAGGCGAAGAATTCAGTAGATTCAATGATCACTACCCTTGATCCACAGATGAAGGAATATCTTAGTGAGTATGTTAATTATTGTGTAGTTTCCATATTTTACATACATTACATATTTTTTTATAATATTACTGGTGGTAGGACCTCTTGTGAGTCTGCACAGGTAGGTACCACTACCCCGCCTATTTCTGCCGTGAAGCAGTAATGCGTTTCAGCTTGAAGGGTGGGGGGCAGCCCTTGTAACTATACTGAGACCTTAGAACTTATATTTCAAGGTGGGTGGCGCATTTACGTTGTAGATGTCTATAGGCACCAGTAACCACTTAACACCAGGTGAGCTGTGAGCTCGTGCAACCATCTTCAGAGGTTTTAACCAACATTTCTCAATATAAAAATGTTCAGGTCACAAAATATTGTTTCATAGTCTGCTCTGTACTTATAAAACGACACAATACTTGAGAATCTACTATTAGTAATTGTATTTTTTTACCTGGTGGCATGTCCACGGTTGTGGTAGCTTATTTGTATAGCGAAGCAATAACATATTCCAGTGTAACCATCTGAAATTAGGTGGGCTGGTTATTTCATCAGCACTACTTAAAATGTATTCTTTGTTATTGTCATATATGTGTATTTCAATACCAAAAATATAGCTTCTGATGGAATGTATAATGTTAAGAAACAATGTAATGTTTCTCTTTTTAACCGACTTCAAAAAAGGAGGAGATTCTCAATTCGACTGTATGTTTTTTTTTATGTTTGTTACCTCATAACTTTTGACTGAGTGAATCGAATCTGATGATTATTTTTTTAGTAGAAAGCTGACGCTTCCCGTGTGGTCACCTTTCAATTTAGTCCAGTTCTGATAATGGTATCCATGACAAAACCGTATAAGTCTTAAATTTGCATTAAGTACGTGAGCGACAAATAGATGAATAACTCATGACTGAATATCACGCCAACCGATTTCGATGATTATTGTTTTTAGTGTATTTTTTTTTTTTGGAATATCTTTTTTTTTCTATTTTGAAGTCGGTTTTTGTTAAAGCTTGTTTATTTACAATTATTTATGTTATTGTTATTCAGAAAGTGGAGGAGATTTGTACATAGTGGTCGCATCGGATAAAGACGTGAAAGTATCACCAATAAGAGAAGCTTTTCAGACAGTTTTTGGAAAGGCGACTGTGGTGTGAGTATCCTAATATCGAATTAAAATGTATGTTCCCACGGAATTAAGTGCTGGAAATCTGATCAAAACATATGATGAAGCGTTAGTTTTTAGTGAGAAATGGTTTAATGTGGACTTGTTGTTGAACAGAATATGCTTTTCTCAAAGCACACAGCTTTGTTTTTGGACCAAAGCAATACCGTTGTGACATATGGCAGATTCAAGCCTGCTCAATTTGTACAATGTTTACTGGTGGTAGGACCTCTTGTGAGTCCGCACGGGTAGGTACCACCGCCCCGCCTATTTCTGCCGTGAAGCAATAATGCGTTTCGGTTTGAAGGGTGGGGCAGCCGTTGTAACTATACTGAGATCTTAGAACTTATATCTCAAGGTGTGTCGCGCATTTACGCTGTAGATGTCTATGGGCTCCAGTAACCACTAACAGTAACACCAGGTGGGCTGTGAGCTCGTCCACACATCTAAGCAATAAAAAAAAAAAAAAAAGCACTGGGTCAGGTTGCATCGTGAGTCAAAACGGACAATACGTACATAGGTATTAATTACCATTGAGCTTATTTTTGTTCCGAAAAAGTTCGATCTTCAGGTTCCAACGAATGGTCAGCATTAGTAGAAATCTTTGATAACTCTATAACTTTAGTAGCTCCAGTAAGCACTTATGGCTTGCTTCCACATTAGTCATAAAAACTTGTAGTTCACTTAAAAAAAGAGGTTTTTTTTTCTATGTAGTTTTACATTTATACGTAGTTGTATAAGTTTACGTATATTAATTAAGGCCGTCAGCGCAAAAGTGGCCTAACTTAAAATTTTTCATAATCATGCTTATAATTATGTATATCGCAATTTATTTAAAATATAATAAATTTTGATGCTAAACCGGCCTATTCATAGTTTCGGCCATAGATAACAGATGGCTTTGTAAACATTATTTTTGCGCGTATCTTTTTTTCCTACTACAAGTTCAAATTCATGGAAGCTTATAACTCTTTTTTTCCCTACCTAAGCTGATAGCCTTGAGAGGCTATTTCAGCGTAAACTTAACTAGTAGGTGAGCTCACGGGACTGAAATCGGAGTGATGTTAACACTGACCTTAGCAAGAGCAGTGCTTCGCAGAATCTACCACCGGATCGGAAACGCGACTCATGAGAAGATCCGGCGAGAAACTCATTGGGCTGTGTTTATGGGTTAATTCGCTCGTCGAGCCCTTCGTCGCAAGCGACGGGTTCGACGAGGACGGTGACCGGAGCTTAAACCTCATTGCTCCATAATAGCTATGGTAAGCTTAGGTCACTTTTGCGCTGATGGCCTCAATTGTTGTAGAGGTTTCGCGGCTCAGTCTGACGTGACAGCGGCTCAGCCGGTCGGCTATGCGGCCGCTTATGCAGCAGCGAAACAGAGATTAGCAGACCTTCGGTCCAGACATTCGGAAATAACAAACAACGTTCCCCTAGTGGCCGTTGAGAGTTTCTTACACGAAGCGATCGCAGACAGGTATGTAGGTCTGTTTATATCGATACTCGCCAGTATATTTATCGATTTTAAAATCGTTGTTAGGGTATTCATCACAATTGACTATTATTGTTGAAATAATATTCTAAAAATATTATGTAAGATAGATATTTTTATATTACTTTACCGTATTTCTGAGATAGGTATATTATAATATAATATATCTATATATAATACAGATGTATTATAGATCCAAAGCATAAGCATAGCTAATTACGCAAATTAAGGCGAATTTACATTACGAAATTAGTGGCATGAAACTAATTTCGTGACATTAGTTTTACCAACAGTTTCACGTGTAATTTAATACTTTCGTAATGCATGCATTAATTTCATGCATGGAAATTAGTTTCGTGCCCTGCGCGATTTTTTGGTGAAACTAATGTCATGCAACTAATTTCATAGTGTAGACGCGACGTGAAACTAATGTCGCGAAAGGGCCTGCGCCGCGCGGACGTGTGTATTGTTAGTCCGGACGCGCTTCAAGCCTTGAAAATGGCAAACTAACGATGGAGTACAGAAAAAAAATACAATTCATTAATGAATATCAGCGACAAGAGTCTCTGGGACCCGAAACACCTACAATATAAAAATAGGCATGCCCGAGATGCGGCCTACAAAATAATTATGGAAGCCATGGAGATGCAATATGTCAAAGAAGCATATATTATATAAGCATTTCTATAGCTACATTGAATATAGCAAAATATAGCTTTGATGCTGGCGGCGCCATGGTTACTGCGATACTGTGGATTTCGCGACACTAATTTTTTAACGAAATTACTTTCGCATGTATCGAAACTACTTTCGTGCAACTGAGTTCAACATGCATGACACTAATTTCGTAATGTAAACTCCGCATTATAGTTTTGCAGGTTTGATTTTTATTACACGATGTTATTCCTTCACCGTGAGTACGTATATCATTAGAAAAATTGTTACCCGCCTGCAGGATTGTAACTATACTTGAGACCTTAGAACTTATATCTCAAGGTGGGTGGCGCATTTACGTTGGGTTGTCCATGTGGGGCTCCAGTAACCACTTAACACCAGTTGGGCTGTGAGCTCGACCAACCATCTAAGCAATCAAAAAACAGTGTTGTCGTTTCGTTGCACATCAGATGGTACGAGATGTCGTTGATGATCCTGTCACAGCCGTCTCTAGGCGTTGAACTGCAAGTGCAGTCGCAGGGCGCGGGCGTGCCGGGTGCCGCCGTGTCCGCCGCCACCGCGCCCTCCTACCCGCACGCGCAGACCGGCTACAGCCTCACCGTAGGATCCATCATGGCCGACAGCCTACAGGTCTGAACGCCCGGTGTGCTCCAGTGTGCTTAGTGCGAGTTTTTTAACGTTCTCGATAGCGTAAAAGTGAACCCAATTTTGGTATGCAGTTGGAACAGTGCCCCTAACGGCAAACGATCCCATTCCATACAAGTATGAGCTAACTTTGCCGCTATCGAGAACGTTAAAAAACTCACACTAAGCAAACGGCTTAGTGCTACGCTGGAGATCGAACCTTTTTTTGTTTTGAAGTGAAACTTCTTTAGAAACGTTGTGATTTAAAATTTGATGATACGAAAAAATAAGTCCATAGAGACACAAACACATAAACATTAATNTTTGTTTAAACTACGTTTAGCAACGGACAAAAACTGTCAATTTTGTGTCAATGAGGTCGCTGATCTGAAACATATTGTTATGAAATGTCATAAATATAGTATAAATAGATTAATTTTAGTGTCTGAGCTGGACGATGTTTCTAAGGGTGACTCGCCTTTACAAACAGGCGTAAGGATGGACTTAGAAGAAATTTTATCAAACCCGTTGTACTTTAAACCAATTTATAGATATATCGTTAACACAATAGGAAATGTTTAAAAACAAACGAGTAATGTTAGAACTTCAATTTGATGCTGTTTTGTTTAATAACTACTTGTAAATTTTTACGTACTTCATGCGTGAAAATTAATTTAAGATAGGCTATAAGGTCTTGTAACCATTGGCCGTAAATAAATTAAAAAAAAAAAAAAAAAAAATGACAGTTGACAGCTGACAAATGACGTTATTGCCGATCTGACAGTTGACATTATTATGTAACATTCATTTCGGGCGAGGCTACGAGAGTAATTGTACTGATATTGAGAGAATGTTAAGTGAATCGTGTCAATTAAAATTACTACTTTATTGCGAATAATAAAACAGTTCATTGTTCATTCGATCTATTTTGTAATAAAATTTCCTTGTCGGTTTTTAGTTTCATTATAATAATAAATAATGAAAGATAAAAAGAACTAAACTACTATAGAAAAAATACCATAACATAGATACATAGATTATTTACTTCTCTACAAAATCTATGTTATTATTTATATAATAACATAGATTTTAATGTCGTCGTGGCCTAAAGGATAAGACGTCCGGTGCATTCGTATACAGCGATGCACCGGTGTTCGAATCCCGCAGGCGGGTACCAATTTTTCTAATGAAATACGTACTCAACAAATTCTCACCATTGACTTCCACGGCGAAGGAATAACATCGTGTAATAAAAACCAAACCCGCAAAATTATAATTTGCGTAATCACTGGTGGTAGGACCTCTTGTGAGTCCGCACGGGCAGGTACCACCACCCCACCTATTTCCGCCGTGAAGCAGTAATGCGTTTCGGTTCGAAGGGTGGGGTAGCCGTTGTAACTATACTGAGACCTTATAACTTATATCTCGAGGTGGGTGGCGCATTTACGTTGTAGATGTCTATGGGCTCCAGTAACCACTTAACACCAGGTGGGCTGTGAGCTCGACCAACCATCTAAGCAATAAAAAAAAAAAAGATACGAGGAAAAAGTATGTATAGTGATACCAGTACTAGTATCTGTATTTTAGTTTTCCAATATATCGGTAGAGGCGCTGGTGAGGCTGCGTTCGGAAACACCAACGAAAACTCTACTACAAACTTAATTGCATCTATCTTTAAAAGTATTTGAGAAAGGCACCTCAGTAAATAATCGAATAGTATAAATTTCGAATGTTATTATTATTATTAATCGCTTTGGCCGTGAGTTCAGTTGGTTTGTTTAGTTAATATGCTACCAGAGGATGAGATTATTTTTTTTGATAAATTGTGTTTTTTAGATATTAGATTTAAATACGAATTACATACCTATTGATTTTATATTATTTGTTATTTTCTTTCAATAAAATAAAAAAGTTTATGTTTACTTTATCGATAAGATAACGTTGATTATTGAATACACGATTAAAACAACATTTTCTGAAAATAAATCGTAGCTAGATCGATTTATCGCCCCCGATATAATCCCCTGTAAACTAAATTTTATGAAAATCGTTGGAGCCGTTTCCGAACCTCAAATTATATAATTATATCGACGCTTGAAAGGCAAACGTGACTAAGCGACAACGCGTGAACTTTACGGTAGACTAATTTAAAGTTGAAATACCGGAATAAATTCTATTTTAACGCATCTAGCTGTAGGATTGAAATGATTTTAATAGACTTAGAAATATNGATACGAAAAAATAAGTCCATAGAGACACAAACACATAAACATTAATAAGTATACCAAATTTCGAGTTAATCCGACGTTTTGAAGGGGGTCAAAATCATATTGAAAGATACATATGTCTGAAGCTAATAAAAGCGTATTAATAACTCCTGGCATTGCTGTCGACGGCCACTATTTATCTGGTGGCCCATTTCGATGTCAGCTGTTTAATATATAACTTGTTCTAGGTCCCGCACACAGACTGGCAAGAGGCGTCGACCGGCGTGTCTAGGAGGGAAATTCTTTTGTTAGCGGCTAAGTCACTGGCGGGCTCATACAAACAGCTACTAGCGGTATCCGCTGCCGAGACCTAAGGACGCGGGACGTGGAATATCATCGTGTCATTTGCGTAATCATTAAAAAGTAAGCAAACACAATCGAATTGGTATATTTGACGGAATTTCGACTTTTTGAGGGTGGCAACATTCCGAGCGATGACAGTTGACAGACTTTTTGGCGGGAAGTCAAACAAGGCGCGCTTTTTTAATTTCGTAATTGAATTTAAATAATTTTCATCTGATATCTAAGTTAATAACTTTAAGTTTTGACGCTCTGCGTCCCATTTAATAAAATGGGACAGCATAGTGACGGGGAAGAGCATTCAGACAAAAAGAAAAGAAAATACGCTAACACCAAAGATGTAAGTAATAGTTTTGAAGAAGATAAATATAAAATATATTTTAAAACGAACTACACTAGATTATTCTTGGAAAACGACTCTGCAAACTATACCGTTTATGTGGAGTCAAAGGAAAAAGAAAAACTCGGAAATAAAAATCCAATAAAATTAACAAGTTTATTAAATGAAAATGTCAAAGGCATTACATGTGTTTCACGAATTAATGCATATAAAATTGGTGTGAATTTCCAAAAAGCTGCAGATGCTAATAGCTTTATCAAACTTGACAACTTTCTCAGCAAGCACAAATTCCGCGCCTTTATACCTGCTCACTTAGTAGAGAAGGTGGGTGTGATTAAATTTGTGCCTACAGACTTATCCAATGAAGACATCTATAAAAATATTAGTAGCGATGCTGAAATCATATCTATTAAGAGGTTTATGAAAAGAAATGCAGACAAGAAGTTAATGCCTATGAGCTCTGTGGCTATAACTTTTTCAACAACTACATTACCCCGTTATGTGTATCTCAACTTGTTTCGCTGCGAAGTACAGACATATATTTCACCTCTAATACAGTGCTNCGATGCCGTTGGTCCGTTTTAATCCACAACAATAAACTCGATTGCCCAATAATAAAATTTCGGATCGTAAATTATAATCGAAGTTTTCGCGTCCTTAGGGTTAAATTTTTAATGCCACAATATGATGCGCATTTACGACATTCGTCAATGTAACTAACCTTAGCCGCGTAATAAATTAATATGTAATATAAATTTGTCACAAAGCCCGCATTCGAATGTTTTTACAGTTTAATCACGTACTTGTTATTGTAACTGACCACAGACCACCCACTGCGTTTCCCGCCGGATCTTCTCAGTGGAATCCAATCATGTAGTGGATTGAGCGACTGCTTTGTTAAGGCAGTTTTTTTTTGCTTAGTTAGGTGGACGAGTTCACAGCCCACCTGGTGTTAAGTGGTTACTGGAGCCCAGTTTTATCAGTACGCGCCGTGGAATAAAAAAGACTCAAGTTTAAATATTTAAGATTTGCGTTGAGCTTATATAGACTTCTGGAATAGGGTTACTGGGAAGATGAAATCGGAACTCCTTTAGACATTCCTTCTATGCGCAAAGAACCGTAAATATCTATTAATTTTTGTGGGAAGATTAACGACGTTTTTTTTTTCTACCTTTTCTGATAGCCTTGAGAGGCTATTTCAGCTTCGCCTTGACGTGTAAGTTCATGGGGCTTGAACCGGGAGTGTTGCTGACGTTGGCCCTAGCAAGAGCCGTGCTTCGCAGAATCTACCACCGGATCGGAAACGCGACCCACTGAGAAGATCCGGCGAGAAACTCAGTGGGCAAGAATGTTGTTGTTCAGAACTTGTATATATTCAAGCTTATCTTGTAAATGTCGAGATTCAGGCATCCGTCAAATATCTTGTGTTCTGTAATGGCTACCGTCACAATTTTGTTGTTATATAAATTTGAAATATTCAAATGTCGACCATTAATATGTACCTCAGTCCTCCGCGAAAACTATGTGTTCGTAACGTCCGTAATATCTAATTCATTGAAAATAATAAACTCGATTTTAAACCGTATAAACAATATAGTTAAGTGCGATATTTCAATGAGATTTCAGTTGTTATTTGTTCAGATCTGTATAGTATAAGCAGAAGAATGTAATAATTTTAGTATCATCATATTTAAGTCCCTGTCGTTAATTAAATTTAAAACAACGTTAACAACACACTCGAAATCAAATAAGCTAATCGCCAAATCGGATTGAATTAGAAATTTGCTCTGTTACAGAATTAATAATATTTTAGTTAATTGTAATTCTCGATCATTCCATACAATGTAATTTTCGCTCATCTTTCCTTTTAATTTTAGTAAAATATTTAAGATTCATCAACAAAAAAAGTGACGAATTGTTTAAAGTTTTCGTTTAACTTGTAGATAGTTATATTGTAATTATATCTGTTAGTAGTAAGATAAATAAAATTTTACATTGTTTTTTTCTTTCTCTTACGTGTACGCTACCTTTTTTTTTATTTTTTTATTCCTTAGATGGGTGGACGAGCTCACAGCCCACCTGGTGTTAAGTGGTTACTGGAGCCCATAGACATCTACAATGTAAATGCCGCCACCCGCCTTGAGATATAAGATCTGATTTTACGTATCAACGGTTCTTTTTTATTGACCTTTGTAGGCAGACCAGCATACAGCCCATCTGATGGGTGGTTACCGTTGCTCATCGACCTTAACGTAGACAGCCAAGTTGCTGTTCAATTCATCTCAGAGATGGAGGGTGCGTGGTAAACAAGACATCTGGAAATGCACTGTGGATAAACTCAACGATTCCAGATTGCTTTGTGGCGAACTTTGGCAGTGCTGTGGTGACTGCTCAAACGGGCTTACAATACCTATCACAATCCTACCACAATTAATTAAGCAAATTAAAATTTGTGCCGGTTTCATTTTTTATAACACGATGACATTTTCCCTTATTGCGGAAGTTATTAGTGAACATGTGATAAATACGTATTTCATTTTTTTAAAGGTATCTGTCTGCGGGATCCGAACACCGGGAGAGTCGTATTGATCATAATATCATTTAAGCCACAACGGCTTCAAACCTGTTGTGCACTAAAAATTCCCAACATTATTTGCAATCGTTGTTACCTTGATTCAATATTTTACCTTGTATTTATCCGATAGATCTCACCGACACTAATCAAATACCAGCCTACGTCAATTTTTTTTAGTGTCAATCCACAAATTTATGGGCTATCGTCACGCTTGAGTTAGTATACTGATAAACTATTAATCGCTATGACGTTAGATAATCATATCAGTAAAAAAGTAGATAGAAAGGAATTTCGAAATAATAAAATTCGTTAGAAGGACTTGTCTTGGCTTGTTGGAGTTGGGCAAACAATTTTCTGATTTCTTTGACCCTTGAAATCTTTTGTGTCAAGTCAGAGTGACTTGCAGACTACTAGACATTAGATGGTATGACTGTTTATTAGAAAAATCTTTTATAAAATTCCTTTCTTTAGTTGTTGCTGGGTGCAGTAAAATAGCCGCTATTTAGGCTTCGACCTAGCATCTCAAAGTGGGTGGCGGCACTCATACTATTTTCATAGGGGCTTGTTTGTTTTAATAAAAAAGAAAAATTGGTCTTCGCGTTTGTTGTCTGGCGACAAAAAATATCTAATCGGACTACCGTAAATGTTTTTTGTAAAACAGTGATGCTCGAAATTCAAATGGACCTCGGAGTCTACAAAATTGGGAGCTTACAGTGTATGAGTGTAAAAGTGCGAGAAAAAAAAAATAGTGCGCGTGCAATTTGNTAGGGGCTTGTTTGTTTTAATAAAAAAGAAAAATTGGTCTTCGCGTTTGTTGTCTGGCGACAAAAAATATCTAATCGGACTACCGTAAATGTTTTTTGTAAAACAGTGATGCTCGAAATTCAAATGGACCTCGGAGTCTACAAAATTGGGAGCTTACAGTGTATGAGTGTAAAAGTGCGAGAAAAAAAAAATAGTGCGCGTGCAATTTGGTGCACGTGCAAGAAGTGAAACTTCTTTTACACACACTGTACCTATCGTGGTTTTTTCATTTCTCAATCTTAAATCAAATTTCTATTGTAATAGGGAATGCTGTGTATAAGATAAACGACCTAACTCGCTTAGTCCTTGCCCTCTCCACGGTCGAGTGGTTCGCGAGACGCTGTCTATTTTCTCACTCTCGCTCTTCCTAAATTGTATTTTTTTCTCTCTAGCAGTATCGAATTTGTCGCGATTTAAATTTTACTCTCAACACGCCTAAAGAAGTTTCACTTCAAAAAGGACGTTCACAAGGCGATAACGAGAATAAAGTCGTGAAGAAGAAATGGATAGACAAACTTTGGGATCCAGTGGTTGAAACAATGACTAACGTTAATGACTAAATGGCAATGTCCTGCGAAACTGGTTCTCTTGTAAATAACGTGTCGTCTCTGTATGTTAATTTAGAAAAGACAAGGATGGCTACATGAAGGTTTTAAAAGCTCTTTGGTGTAGGTAACGGTTTAATGTATGGTATTAAAACTCAGTTCTTTATAAGACGTTCTTTAGTTTCCGTTGAATATTGTGGGCTTATTTAACTATTTTCATATTTTTTTGTTCTTGTTTTAAATACTGTTTGTCGCGGTTTTCTTAGATCGAAGGTTTCAAAGAAGAAGAAAAAAGGTGATTTCCACAAAAACTAAGGTAATATTTTAATGCAATATCTGATTTAGAATGATTATATATTAAAAAATCTATAGAATTGTGGAGTTAATTACCAGTCTAGTAAATATTTGGATGTCTTTTGTATTCGTTTAGTGGGCAAAGCATGTGACAATGCATAATCTATTTTACCTATTTTGTAGTTTTATATATATTTACACACAACTGTAAAAGTATAACTGTTATACAGTTATAACTGGCTTTTCGACCTTCGATGTAGAAATCAGAATATAAACTTGCTAGTCTAGGGGAGCTGGATTGCTGTCAAATCACAGATACACAAAATGTACTATTTTTTATGAGATGAAATTAATTAAGAGCAATAATACTGTAGTTGGAGAAGTTTTACTGGTGGTAGGACCTCTTGTGAGTCCGCACAGGCCACTGCCTTGTCTATTTCTGCTGTGAAGTACTAATGCGTTTCGGTTTGAAGGGTGGGGCAGCCGTTGTAACTTTACTGAGACCTTAGAACTTATATCTCAAGGTGGGTCGCGCATTTACGTTGTAGATTTCTATGGGCTCCAGTAATCACTTAACACCAGGTGGGCTGTGAGCTGGTCCACCCATTTAAGCAATAAAAAAAAGGAAATGAATTAGATTATGAACATAAATTCGAATATATTCTGTTCTTCATAAAACATTTAAAAAAAATACGTATCACAAGTTGGATTTAATAAGTAAAATAAAAGTTTAATAAAACATACGTAAAAGAAGTAACTACCGAACTAAAGAGAAAAAAAAACTTGTTTTTATTCAAATGATTATGGTCAGGATAAAAATTTTGTACTGTCTTTCATACCTGTGCAAATTTAAAAGTTAATCGAACACATGAAGTACTGTGAAAATTGCGTTAAAAGATTCCGATTACATAAATAGATAAACTTGCTAATAGAAGCGTGTGAAAGAAAAGTAGGTATTGTACTTACCTAATCCAAAATCTCACTAAGAGCTATTAATTCGAATTATTCGAATAATTTGTGTAAGATTTATTTCAGTTATTTATAAAGAAAGATTTTGTGTTTTTTTTTTTATCAATAAATCTCTTATCACATATTGTGATTTTCGATTCGGTGAGCTAGCCGGTGCAAAGCTAATTTCAAAGCGCGATTGCATAGTACTAAGATGATGTATGATGATGAGTGGCCGGAATGGTATTTTAACTATGGATAAGGTGTATGTAAGTATGCATGTTTGTGTAGCCACCACCATCCTGCCTATTTCTGCCATGAAGCTATCCGATATGAAAGGTGCGACCGCAGAATGTAATGTCACACTTTACGTCGTGGTGTCTCGTCTATGTAGTGTGTTCCAGAAAACCCTTAATGTCATGTAGACCTTGAACTATCGGTCTGTCGATATAGGGTTTAAAAATAGACTATAATTTGAGTTTGACTCGAATTTGAGTTTTGGTGAGTGAACGCGGCCCACCTGGTTAAGTGTTTACCGAAGCCTGCAGACATCGCTCCACTGTTAGCAAATCCCAACCCTCCTGGCCGAGCCCTTGCTCGCCGACCTGTCCTTGAGAAATTGGAAAGCCGGGCCACCAGTAATCCCAAAAAAAACATCGCACCCAAAATATCGCCACACTTAGGCTAGAGGTTTAAGTCTTAATTGTATAGTTATAACGAGAACACTATTCGCGTTTGTTCGCGCGTGTTTTTTTATATTGCAATTTCTCACTACACTTTTCTCATTCTCGCTCACGACTCGGTCGTGTGCGGACGTGCTTTCCGATCCGTTGCTCGGTTGTGATCTACGTCTCGGAACTTACAGTTGTGCGCGACAGTGTAGTGACCGTGAATACCCCATACCAACTGTCTTTTTCAAAGCAAAAAGGATCGCTACGATCAGGCTTTCTGTGGCACTCTCACAGGCTAGCGATCTTCCCAAACCCTCTCTTACCCCCGCTGACTGTCGTTTTCACGGCATAGGCACCCCCCCCCCCTGCTCCTTGCTGTCTTTACAGCACAGGGGGGTTCTCCCAAACCAGGGGACTCGCCTTTCGGCGAGTTGAATAAAAGTCCCGGGGCCGCCCCCCCCGGGCGAAAATCACGTGAAGATGGAGGAAAAAATTTTCATCGACTTCATTCGGGAAAAATATCCGTCAATCGCGCCCGAATTCGAAGCCTATAGGGCCTCATTTGGTAAATATTCTCCCCCCGCATGTCTCGCCGCCGTCGCCAAAGATGGCTCGCAGGCATGCCTCGCGTCCTCCGCCGCCGGTCCGTGTTCAAGCGCACGTACGCACGCCGTCGCCGTAGCGTCTAACGCCCCCGCCCCCGCTACCCCCGCGCCCGCGTCAATCACGTCAGTTTCGTCCGTCGCGACCTCAATAGCGTCTAGTTCAGGCTCCGATACCGAATCGGAGATGGACTTCGAGTCCGCGACTAGCCCTCAACCCGGAACCTCGGATGGGTTCCAAACTGTAACGCGCGGTAAAAAGCGTACTCGCGTCGTGGAGTCCCGGAGCTCCATGACGAAGCAAACCAAGTCCGCGACCGCCTCCCGACCGCAGGTAGTCGTAACGCCGGAGTCGGACTCCGCCCGCCGCGTAATCCCACCGCCGCGCCCAAAAACCGCGCCCGCGCCTAAAACAGTTGTCCCGCCCCCGCTGATACTCCAGGAGAAGTCAGCGTGGAATCGCGTATCCCAGGCCCTTCAGGCCAACAAAATTAATTATACCCATGCGCGTAACGTCGCGCATGGGATTCAGATTAAGGTCGCAACGCCGGGCGACCATAGGGCCCTCTCTGCTTACCTCCGAAAGGAGAACATAGGTTATCACACCTATGCTCTTCAGGAGGACCGCGAACTCCGCGTAGTGATACGTGGAGTCCCCAAGGAACTCGACATAGACTACGTAAAGGAGGATCTGATCGGTCAGTCCCTCCCAATAATTAGTGTGCACCGGATGCACAGCGGACGCGGCAGACAGCCGTACAATATGATTCTCGTCGCGCTAGAATCAACCCCGGAGGCAAAGAAAAGAATCTCATGTCTCAAAACGATATGCGGCCTCTCCGGGGTCACCATCGAAGCCCCCCATAAACGTGGTACTCCCGGGCAGTGCCACAGGTGCCAGCTCTATGGCCACTCAGCGCGTAATTGCCACGCGCGCCCCCGCTGCGTGAAATGCCTCGGCGATCACGCAACCACAGAATGTTCGCGTGTTAGGGAAACCGCGACGGAACCCCCAAGCTGTGTCCTATGCCTTAAGCAAGGGCACCCGGCAAACTACCGCGGATGTCCTAGGGCTCCGCGTAAACGCCCGAACCACCCAGCCCCCCGAACCGTCGACCCAAAGACTTCGGCGCCTTCAGTGCCGAAACCAGCCTTCGTACCGGCTGCGGTTCCCACCGTCTCGGCGTGGAAAAAACCGCTGCCGTATACGAAGGAGGGAACACAAAACGTACCCCAGCTCCCGCCTGCGACACGTCACGCGCCTCAGCCCCTGCTCGCACCTCGCCCCGCGCCCGCGTACCGCCCCCCGCAACCCTCAGTCGTCAACGACTTCGCGCTCGTGCGCGACTTCGTCACCGCGGTAAACTTTGACCGTCTGCGATCGTTCGCAGATGCTATCCGTAGGTCGGTAACCCCCGAACAGCGGCTCGCGGCCGCTTTCGATCACATGGACGTCTACGAGTCCGTGTCTCGCACGTTATAAAAATTCTTTACCGGTAATCAATGGCGCAAAAAGGTAGAGAAAAACCGTATTCCCTTACGTTAGCATTCTACAATGCTAACGGACTCGCGCGGCAACGCGATCAAATTTTCGAATTCCTCCGCGATAATCTTGTAGATATTTTGTTAGTGCAGGAGACCTGTCTGAAGCCCTCGCGTCGTGACCCGAAAGTCGCGAATTACGTCATGGTTAGGAATGACAGACTCACCGCCTCCAAAGGCGGGACTGCCATTTACTATAGGCGGGCTCTGCACGTTGTTCCTCTCGATACTCCCTCGCTCTTACATATCGAGGCGTCAGTGTGCCGTATCTCGCTGACGGGACACCAGCCGATCGTCATCGCATCCGTTTATCTCCCCCCGGACAAGCCCCTCCTGAGCAGTGACATCGAGTCACTGTTTGGCATGGGAGACTCCGTCATCCTGGCAGGCGATTTAAATTGCCACCACACTAGGTGGAACTGCCATCGTACGAACGTTAACGGTAGGCGTCTCGACGCGTTTATAGACGACCTCACTTTTGAAGTAGTCGGTCCCCCAACTCCAACATGTTATCCGTATAACATCGCGCTCCGTCCGAGCACTATAGACCTGGCATTGCTTAGGAACGTAACTCTGCGCTTACGTTCCATCGAAGCACTGTCAGAGCTCGACTCAGACCACCGACCTGTCCTTATGCAGCTCGGTCGCCCTCACAACCCAGTCACTGTTACGAGGACCATGGTGGATTGGAATAAGCTGGGCACGTGCCTAGCCGAAGCCGCTCCGCCAATCCTCCCTTACGGCCCGGATTCGAATCTATCCCCCGAGGACACCGTCGAATCCATAAACATCATTACCGATCACATCTCTTCCGCGATCATTAGATCTTCAAAAGAAGTCGATGTGGAGGACAGCTTCCACCGCATCAGACTGTCCTCCGAACTTAGGAATCTCTTAAGAGTTAGGAACGCGGCAATCCGGGCCTACGATCGTCTTCCCACGCATTCAAACCGGATTCGGATGCGTCGTCTACAACGCGAAGTCCACTCCCGCCTAAGTGACGCGCGTAACGATAATTGGCATAGTTATTTAGAACAACTCGCGCCCTCCCACCAAGCATACTGGCGACTAGCTAGGACTCTCAAATCCGAAACTACCGCTACTATGCCTCCCCTCGTACGCCCTTCAGGCCAACCACCGGCATTCGATGACGATGACAAGGCTGAGCTGCTGGCCGATGCACTGCAAGAGCAGTGCACCACCAGCACTCAACACGCGGACCCCGAACACACCGAGTTAGTCGACAGGGAGGTCGAGCGCAGAGCTTCCCTGCCGCCCTCGGACGCGTTACCCCCCATTACCACTGACGAAGTTAGAGACGCGATCCACAACCTCCAACCTAGGAAGGCACCCGGCTCCGACGGCATCCGCAACCGCGCGCTAAAACTCTTGCCAGTCCAACTGATAGCAATGTTGGCTACAATTTTAAATGCCGCTATGACGCACTGCATCTTTCCCGCGGTGTGGAAAGAAGCGGACGTTATCGGTATACATAAGCCGGGCAAACCGACAAACGAAACTTCTAGTTACCGTCCGATTAGTCTCCTCCCGACGATAGGAAAAATTTACGAACGGCTCCTTAGGAAACGCCTCTGGGATTTTGTTACCGCGAACAAAATTCTCATAGACGAACAGTTCGGATTCCGCTCTAAACACTCGTGCGTACAACAAGTGCACCGCCTCACGGAGCACATCCTGATAGGACTAAATAGGCGTAAACAAATCCCGACCGGCGCCCTCTTCTTCGACATCGCGAAGGCGTTCGACAAAGTCTGGCACAACGGTTTAATTTACAAACTGTACAACATGGGAGTGCCAGACAGACTCGTGCTCATCATACGAGACTTCTTGTCGAACCGTTCGTTTCGATATCGAGTAGAGGGAACTCGTTCTCGTCCCCGTCAACTGACTGCCGGAGTCCCGCAAGGCTCCGCGCTCTCCCCGTTATTATTTAGTTTGTATATCAATGATATACCCCGGTCTCCGGAGACCCATCTAGCGCTCTTCGCCGATGACACGGCTATCTACTACTCGTGTAGGAAGATGTCGCTGCTTCATCGGCGACTCCAGATCGCAGTAGCCACCATGGGACAGTGGTTCCGGAAGTGGCGAATAGACATCAACCCCACGAAAAGCGCAGCGGTGCTCTTCAAAAGGGGTCGCCCTCCGAACATCACTTCGAGCATCCCACTCCGTAGTAGGCGCGCAAACACCTCCGCCGTTAGTCCCATCACTCTCTTTGGCCAGCCCATACCGTGGGTCTCGAAGGTCAAATATCTAGGCGTCACCCTCGACAGAGGGATGACATTCCGTCCCCATATAAAAACGGTACGCGACCGCGCCGCGTTTATTCTAGGACGACTCTATCCAATGCTTTGTAGTCGAAGCAAACTGTCCCTCCGCAATAAGGTAACTCTCTACAAAACTTGTATACGCCCCGTCATGACGTATGCAAGCGTAGTGTTCGCTCACGCAGCCCGCACCCACTTGAAATCCCTTCAGGTTATTCAATCACGATTCTGCAGGATAGCCGTCGGAGCGCCATGGTTCCTTAGGAATGTGGATCTCCACGATGACCTGGAGCTCGACTCTCTTAGTAAGTATCTACAGTCGGCATCGCTGCGCCATTTTGAGAAGGCGGCACGACATGAGAACCCTCTCATCGTAGCCGCTGGAAATTACATACCCGACCCAGTAGACCGAATGGTAAACCGTCGACGTCGCCCAAAGCACGTCATTACGGATCCTCCTGATCCATTAACGGTGCTCTTAGGCACCACAAGCACCGGTCACCGTCCTCGTCGAACCCGTCGCTTGCGACGAAGGGCTCGACGAGCGAACTAACCCATAGACAAAGCCCACTGAGTTTCTCGCCGGATCTTCTCAGTGGGTCGCGTTTCCGATCCGGTGGTAGATTCTGCGAAGCACTGCTCTTGCTAGGGTCAGTGTTAGCAACTCTCCGGTTGAGCCCCGCGAGCACACCTACAAACGTTAGGGTGAAGCTGAAATAGCCTGTCAAGGCTATCAGCATAGGTAGGAATAAAAAAAAAAAAAAAAAAACATTTTTCTATTTACTGCAAAGCAAATATTTTAAATTTGACATAAAAACTAATTGGGTTTGCGATTAGTTGGAACGGTGTCGAAAAATGCGGTTTTCACCTTACAATTCCAGAGTACTTGTGTTGTTAAAACAGTCGGTTTTCTTGTTCTGAGCCCAGTACTGTTTTGGCGTGCTTAAGAACAGTAAGATTCTTGGTAAAATAAAATATAATTCACTTCTTTATAATCATTATATTTGTCTATCATGTTTCTATTTTGTTTTATGAGTAATTAAACTAAGGTTTAACACTACAAGTCCGACTGGCGGGCTTTTGTGAGTTTTCGTGAGTTCGTTGTTCCGGGCTGTTGGCGAAGATGATATAGAAATAATGTTTACACTGATTTGGTATGAGGTTTTACTATAAAAGCGACACAATGACTAACATAAAATACAAAATGAGTTGAGAATCGTACAGTTAAACTAAGACTCGCAATATTTTACTGGTCGTCGTCGCGCGCGCTGAGGGCGTCTGTTTTCGCGCTCAAAGAGCTCTGTCTCAGCGGGGGGGTAAGGCGGCGGCGGGGGCGGTATCGCACGTTCGGAAATTTCGTTCCGTTATATCCTCCCCCTCCGAGTCACTAGAACGCCTCGTTAGTGGCTCGGCAGAAACAACAAGACGGGGCCGTCCACGCAGGCGTCGAGGCTGTACTAGAGCTGAGACCTGACCGGTTTGATTATGATACGGCTTCAAATGAGAAGCATGAAATTTCCCTAAAACCTGCGAATTCAAATCAGTAACCTCATAGGTAGTAGGACTAACGATATTACTAATCTGGTAGGGTCCGTCACGCTTAGGCATGAACTTCTTCGTTCTACCTTTGGCGGCATCACTTAACAAGTGCGTAGAGAGAAGGACTAGATCACCTACTTGGTAACTGGGACCAGATAACTGNAGTCAGGAAAACACAAATCGTTCATGTAGGCACAATAATTTCATATAAATATCACTTCACAGCTAAACGTTCGGGCGCCATTTTTAACACTACAAGTCCGACTGGCGGGCTTTTGTGAGTTTTCGTGAGTTCGTTGTTCCGGGCTGTTGGCGAAGATGATATAGAAATAATGTTTACACTGATTTGGTATGAGGTTTTAATATAAAAAAGCGACACAATGACTAACATAAAATACAAAATGAGTTGAGAATCGTACAGTTAAACTAAGACTCGCAATATTTTACTGGTCGTCGTCGCGCGCGCTGAGGGCGTCTGTTTTCGCGCTCAAAGAGCTCTGTCTCAGCGGGGGGGTAAGGCGGCGGCGGGGGCGGTATCGCACGTTCGGAAATTTCGTTCCGTTATAAAGGCTGTTTTTAAGGGACAGAATTAACATTATGTTTAATTTTTAAAATAATTTGGATTAAGTGGTAATATTAACAGAAATCGACTGTTATCTATTAAAATTTTTGGGAGACATTCGAACTTTTAAAATGGTCTTTGGTTTTCTTTAAGAAATTTGCGATTGCCTCTTCGAAATGACGCATTTGTAAAAATATCTTGCAGTATAGCTACGAGGACCACGACTTCTGAAATATAATGAAGTACGTAGTATTTTTGTCTTTGGCGCTAACGGTTTTTGGAGATCCCGTAGTCAAGACTTGGACCTTAAATGAGCTCTCAGAAGCCATCACTTCCTCGAAAACTGACTCTACAATCAAACCTCACCTAGAAGACGCACTGAACCAGATTATGTTAGCACTCTTTACTGGATTTAAAGTGGTGAGACTAAAAGTACATTTGTATCAATTAAAACCTTATTTTTAAACGAAATGAGTCCGGATATTATTTTTATCATGTTGTATAGAATTTAAATCACACACCATCATCATCATTATCTTAATATAATTAATTCTTTCATTCTATTAAACGCTGTTGTATTATGTGGAAGAACGAGTGTTAAGTATATATATATATATATATACTTAACGGATATATATATATATATGTATATGAAAATAGGTATAAAAAATACCGCATTTCATTAGAAGGATTGGTACTTAGATAGTAATGGTAATCCGATGTCATGTCTCAAGTGGTATTGATATTGTTATATCTCTGGACTCCGTCAACCACTTAATACCAAGTTTGCCGTGAGTGCAGGTGCCAACCGAATGGCATAACTGTAGGGTGCCAGAGTTGGCAAAAAGCTATGCTGTAAATTTTATATAATTACTTAAAACCAATCAAAGTTAGACGAAACTAAATTTTAATATCATAATTATTATTTTACAACCAATTTAATATGTAATAACCTATTTATTCCTTTTTATATTAATTATATAAGATGCTAGTTGTTAATCGCGGCTTTGCCCGCGTGGTCAAGGGAAAGTGTCACTGTAGTTTCTCTTGGAAATGATATCTTTTTTCGGGGTAAAAAGTAAAACAAATAATTAATTATTAACTGTAAATAAAAACATAGAATGCACAACATATTAGTGATGCTTTAGGGTGACTAATTTAGTGATTTATTAAGGTTAAACTACAACGTGACGATTTTTATTGGGGACCCATTCAAGGACTTTGGCCTGGGCCTCAGGTCATATAGCTAGAGCTACGTATCTGCAGCAATAATAACAATACGTTTATATGAATAAAGTAAATATCTAATTTCATGGTTTTAAGAGCAATGGAACTTTAACTGCTAAGTGATTTATCTTAATAGGTTAATGTTCATTGTTGATAACAATGCATTGTAATGCTTTTTAAAGCGGGAAACAGAATATTCTTAACATGAAAATGAAACATATAGATGTATAGGATATTTAAAAAAAATACGCGTATTTTTTTTTTAAATGAATCATGCGCATACGCATTCTGTCTATGGTCGGGTACAATTTTTTTTAATAATTATTTTCCTAGTAGCTTGATGTGGTTTAATGGTATCTGGTGGTAAAGCGCCTAGTCAGCCTGCACGGGTAGGTATTACTACTGAGCCTATTACTGCCGTGAAACAGCAATGCGATCCGGTTTAAAGGATGTGTTGCCCCATCCTTTAAACCTATTACAAAGACTGAGACTCAGAACTCATGTCTCAAGGTGGTCATATTTACGTTGTTGATGTCTTTTGTCTTTTTGAATTTGGATTTCAGAAATCAATATACGCTTTAGTACCATCACCTGAAGGTTCAGCAACATGGACCATGAACGAGCTGAAGGAGGCTCTGAAAGACCAGAATACTAAGCCAGAATTGCGACCTGCAATCATGCAAGCTGTCGAACATCTGGATTACAACAACCATAACGGAAAACCTATGGTAGATTTTTAAATTCTATTTTATAATCACGATATTTGAGGGCTTCATTATAGGAGTGCATAGACTTCACATAGTAAGTAGAATTTGCTACTGACTTTCAGACATGATGTGGAAGTCTCAATAGTTTTACATGCTATAGCTGTTTAGAGTCAGACCAGTGTGCTTAGAGCGAGTTTTTTAACGTTCTCGATAGCGTAAAAGTTGGCTCATATTCGTACGGAATGGGATCGTTTGCCTACGTTTGCCGCCAGGGGCGCTGTTCCAACTGCCTACAAAATTGGGCTAACTTTTACGCTATCGAAAACGTTAAAAAACTCGCACTAAGCACACAAAACGTATGATGTAGATGGTGTCCATCCGTGTTAGTTCACGATGCGGCCTATTTCCTCTATTTCGATACTTCGAGTGGGGAAAGGAAGAATTTCTGAGGGTATTTAAGCAGAGGATAAAAGAAGAAAAGTAGGAGAAGCAGGGATTTGAAAAAAGATACAGCCAGCCTGTGGTAATTTTAGAATCGTCTGACTTTAAAAGCGACGAAGAATCCTTTCAAAGGTTTATGTTGTTATGGAAATTATAAATAGTGCTAATTACATTGGGAATGTTCGATCAATTAGCTGTGTGTTGAAATATTTCAGAACTCAATTGAAGTAAGTACGCCAGCTTTAGACATTTCAATATGGACACTACCGGATTTGGAAAAGGCGATCAATAGCTCTGACACGAACCCAGAACTAGTGGATCTTTTAAAACAAGCCCTCAGTAAATGGACCGAGAAAAATCCGTCAGAAAAAAACGTAAGAACTCTTTACTCATATGAATATTTCGAGAGCTGATCAATATGAGAAGATCTTACATATAAACTATATTAATCTGTTTATTGGAAGTTAGAAGAAGAAGTGAGATGCGATTCCAGTCGGCTTCTTATCTATTACAATTTTTAATTTATTTGTTATTGTATTGTTAACATCAAAAATCACAGAGGACTATAAGTTATCTGATGTTTGGCATCGATTCATTAGCGATTGTTACATTGCATCACTCATTATCACGTTATACATTGTAATCTTTGCTATAACTAATAATTTAATTCACATTTAAAATTGAATAAAACTATTTATTCGTCTTTATCGATTTAAACATAGCGTAACGGTAGTGGAAGCATCTAGTAGACCTATTTTGTTTTATTTTTTGATGCTTGTACATTTTCATAACCGATTTTAGGCGATATTAGTTAATATTGAGATAGAAATTCAAGCCCGTTAGATACCAGCTCGGCTGAGCGCAAGGTAGTCTGATATTCTCGAGTTTCATTGATCATTAATCAACAGACAGGCCGCATGCTGGTCAGCATATTACGGCAAAAGCAAAAAAAAGAAATACCAACTAAACATTTAATACAGGCCAGGCTTATCGTTAGAATTGTCTTAATTGATAAAATTATTTTCTTTCTTTCCAGAATAAAATTATAGTAGTCACACCTGTAGGTCTGGTGAAGACTCAGAAAACCGAAAAATCATCGTTATTCAAAAAGAAACCATAACCTCATTTTTATATTCTGTATTATCATGAAAACAATTTCTGTGTAACAAACATTTAAACTTAATAACTAATCTACATTGTTTCATTCAAATGCTTTTAAATTGTCGTTTGACAGCTCTGGTTTTGACCAAGTTTGTGTGTAAGTGAAGGACAATATATTAAATTCACGTTATATTACGTTGTTTTTATTCTCGAATTGTTTAACGACGATTTACGTCACGGACAAAAGAAAACACTTAACTATTTTGATCATTAACCTCACCGAATATCATATGAAACTACCCTCATTTAAAAACAAGGAAATATATTCATAATCAACCGTCCCAAGCTAGGATTTGCGCCTGCTCAATAAAATTAGTGTCAGAAACTTGCAAACATAGACGACGAATAACAAAATGTACCCAAAGGCAAATGTATCACAGATAAAGTTAGTTAAGAAGTTGACCTGAGACCAATACCAGTTTTCGTCTACAAGCATTAAGAATACACTCAATTAGTGAAATTATTGCTGACGTTAATGGTTTTATGACAAATGTTCCCTAAAGTGCTAACACTTGTACTAAGGTTGATTACTGGTTTAGGGACACACAGAGAACAAACATTCAAAGATACATTATTGTTTAAACTAATAGTACAGTTTGAAAACAATATTTCGTATGTTATGAGATGTTATGTTACGAACTCTTGGACGCTAACTATGTACTTTACATCAGGCGGACCGTAAACGCGGCTGCTCAAAAGGATAGTTTTTTTTTACCAGATTATACGAACCAGATTATTTACCAGATTATTTATACGAACTACACTTTTCAGAATACACGATTTCATTGTCTTGCAAAACTCTTAGGATAATACAAATAATACGAGAGGACTTAAATTTTCCGAATGGTCGTCGAATGTGAGATAATAGGGGTTAAAGTATGAAATTGCCGTTTTATTGTAATAGGTACTTCGAATTGATATAGAACCTCCATGGTTTGAGATTTTTTAGTGAAACTTTTTTTCAAATGCCTTTCAAAACCTATGAGGTTCTTCTTTTAAAAAAGGTACAAGATTCAATTATCGATTTTCACTTATTTTTTTAATTCAGCTTAGAAATTAGAAAGACGGATACTTCGTAAATTCTGGTGATTTTTGAATACGAGTTCTGACGCGGAACTAACGTTGCAGAAACATCTCGCAATATCAATGTTGCGTTTGGAGAGAGGACTGCTAATGAACGCACCGTGCTATTTTGGTTTAAATGCCTTCGTGATGGAAATTTAATTTGAAGAACGAACCACGTGGAAGACCGACCACACATGTGAATAACAATGAATTGAAAGAGATGGTGGAAGCCGATCCGAGCCAAACTACCGAGGAATTAGCGGCATGGTTTAACGTTACCTTACCAACAATATTGACTCATTTGCGTCAAATCAATATATTTTTTTGTGAAAAATGGGTGCCTCATGATTTGACTGATCTGCAGAAAGAAACGCGTGTTGAAACTTGTGTTGCCTTATTAAATCGATACAGAAATGAAGGAATATTGGATTGAATTGTGACATGTGATGAAAATGAATTCTTTACGATAACCGTAAACGAAAAATGCAATGGCTGGCCCCAGGTCAAAAGCCGCAACAGTGTCCTAAAGCAAAGCTTCCTATTCCGCCCTGCCTATTCTGCCGTGAAGCAGTGGTGCGTTTCGGTTTGAAGGGTGGGGCAGCCGTTGTAACTATACTAAGATCTTAGAACTTATTGAGATATAAGGTGGATGGCACATTTACGTTGTAGATGTCTATGGGTTCTAGTAACCACTTAACACCAGTTGGGCTGTGAGCTCCTCCACCCATCTAAGCAATAAAAAAACAGCTTACCAATAAAAAGGTAATGGTAACTGTTTGGTGGTCTCAGCATGGTGTTATTTACTATAGCTTTCTCGGAGCTGATCAAGCAATAACGGCAGATGTTTACTGTGCCGAATTCCGAACAATTATGGCAAAACTTATGGTGGCAAAACTTGCAGTGAAACAGCCCCGACTCATGAATCGATCTTCGCCATTATTGCTTTATGATAACGCGAGACCTCATACAGCAGGAGAAACCGTTTTAACTCTACAGGAACTGCAATTAGAAGCCATTCGTCACCCTCCGTATTCGTCAGACCTCGCTCCAACGGACTACCATTTTTTTCGTGATTTGGACAATTTTCTACGTGATAAAAAGTTTTCTTCCCAGGAGGCAGTACAAAATGCTTTCACACAGTTTGTAGAATCTAGATCAACATATTCTATCGCAAAGGCATAAATTACCTTCCTATTAGATGGCAGCAATGTATAGATAATAATGGTAGATATTTTGATTGAACAAATATGTTAAATAAAAAAAACAACGAATTTCATTTTTTCAGTAGGTACAAATCGGCAATTTCATGATGACCCCCTAATATGATTGCGAGATAAAAATTTATCAAAATATTGGCGCTTTGTTGTAATAATTTAATTACTGTTCATTGATAAAATTAAGCTTTAATATAGATATCTTATTTTTATGTTATATGATTTGAAACAATTTTATACAGGGTGTAATGTAAAGTGATCCTGAATAAAGTAATTGATCGCTCTAAGACTTTTTTTTTATTTTCCCTACCTATTCACTGGTAGCTAAGGGCTTATTCCAGCTACGGCCGGACGGGTAGGTGAGCTCACGGGCTCAACTTGAGAGAATTAGCCTCACTAGCCTTAACAAGAGCAGTGCTTCGCAGAATCTACCACCGGATCGAAATAGCGACCAACTGAGAAGATCCGGCGAGAAACTCGGTGAGCTGCGTAAAGACAAAAGAGGGAGGTCGAGGGTTCTAATGATGACTTCCGGTGCATTCGTGTTGAGCGATGCACCGGTGTTCGAATCCTAGGCGGTTACCAATTTTTGTAATGAAATACGTACTCAACAAATGTTTACGATTGACTTTCGCGGCGAATGAATAACATCGCGTAGTAAAAATCAACCACGCAAAATTATACTATCCGTAATTATTGATGGTAGGACGTCTTGTCAGTCCGCATGGGTAGGTATTACCACCCTGCGCCTATTTCTGTCGTGAACCTGTAATGCGTCTCAGTTTGAAGGGTGGGGCAGCCGTACTGTACAAACTGAGACCTTAGAACTCATATCTTAAGGTAGTTGGCGGCATTTAGGCTGTATATGTCTATGGGCTCCGGTAACCACTGAACATCAGGTGCGCCGTGAGCTCGTCACCCACCAAAGCAATAAACAAAAATACTTTAAAACATGAAAAAAAATTGAATATTAATTAATTACAAATATATTAAGTTTTCGGGCTGTAACAAAATGTCTTTAAGAAAAAATAAGGTTTTTAACAATAACATTCAATGTTTCTGATACATCTGTAACATAAGATAGAGTTAAAATAGGATTACTGTTTACAACCATCATCCACCGCAAATTACGTTACGTCAGTGAACGTAATAAATTAATTACGATATATTTTATTATTTTTATCAACGCAACTAGTATAAATAATGAAGTTTGCAATAATATTTCCAAAACTACTTGAAAACAGGTAAGTGAACTGTTTTGTTTTTAAACTGTATGCTATAAATGTGGCAAAGACATTTTTAGTACACTAGACCAACTCCAAATTGTAATGTTCGTTTTGGGAGGTTGATGTCCTCAGTATTCGACTTTAAGCCTCAATTTTCGAGACATGCAAGGTAACATGAAAATGATGACCCTGCATGATTTCTAACAATCCTGCAACTAAATTGAAACTTGTTTTAGATCAAGAATGAAATTCATTACTGTATTCGCCGCTATCCTGTCGGTGGCCTTCGGCTACCAGACTACCTGGACCGTGCATGAGCTCTCCAATGCCATCCAGAGCCCGTACACTTCTGCCGCGGTCCTGCCCTACCTTGAGACAGCTCTCAACCAAATGATGGCTGCTCTTCACGCAGGAGAACAAATTGTAAGTATTTTTTTATCAGTGGTTACTAAAAACAAAATTAGAAAACAAATGATAATGTCCATTTCTTGATTTCGGAACGTCAAAAGTGTCGAGCGACGTTCGCTATGACACTTTTTCCCTTTCAATTCCAGCCATCAAGGGCGACGCATTGATTTCATATTTCATACAATAATATTCAATCTTTAATTTGTCACCTAAGGACTAATAAATATCTCAAAAGCAATAAATACAGTCCACGCTCATTTACCACAACGCAACATATGGTCCTTCGAGCCATTAACAGGTTTCCATTGCTTTGCTTTGAATGTTTACTATAAGGGCGTTCTCCAAATTCAATATTGCTGTTGTATTATTAAGAAATTAATGGGAAGTGATGGTATTTTAGATGATGGTGACGTGATTAACGTTAGCCAATAGCTTTACCTTTTTATTGCGTGTAAATTAGGCGGTCTCTGTTTTCAACGAATTTTACCAAAATCAACAGCTTGAGTTAGATTGTATTAACTATGAATATGTCTCACGTGGGAACTCAAGTACTAATTTAAAATATAAAAACTTAGTAATAGTCGTCCTCTTGGGTTTAAAATATAAAAATGTTTTTATAAAAGCAGTTTACCTGTTTCCGGGGATCAGCAACCACAGTAATGTTTTAAATTGGATTTAATTTTTCATTGCGTCCATTTCATATCATAATTTATTTAGGGCCAATTAGATATTGACCTAGGTAGATGCCATAGGCTATAATTATATTGATTTTTTTTTTCAGGAAGCTGTACCCGTTACCATTCCCGCTTTGGACCTCACCGCAATGACCATTCCCGACCTGTCTAATGCTCTGCAGGACCCTAAAACTGAACCCGCTATGATTCCTTACCTTGGCCAGGCGCTCAACGAGGTCGTCACCGCCGTCCTGACTGGACAAAGCCAGGTACTACGGGAAATTTAATTTAATTTAGTATTACAAATAATATATTATTATAGAAACCCGCAAAATTATAATTTGCGTAATTACTGGTGGTAGGACGTCTTGTGAGTCCGGTACCACCACCCTGCCTATTTCAGCCGTGAAGCTGTAATGCGTTTCGGTTTGAAGGGAGGGGCAGCCGTTCTACTGTTAAAAGTGTGAGAGCTTAGAATTCATGTCTCAAGGTGGGTGGCGGCATTTACGATGTAGATATCTATGGGTTACGGTAACCACTTAGCACCAGGTGGGCCCTGAGTTCGTCCACCCATCTAAGCAATAAAATAATAATAATATAACGGCATACCAAAATTGCAAAATAATGAATAATATATTTTAATTCTATTCCATTAAATTCTAGCTTCATTAAGCTAAGGTCTCAGGTTTCAATATAGTTTTATTATACAGGACCATACGGCTCGCTTTATTGGTTTTTTTCTTTTTTTTTTTCTTGTTTTTTGAAGTTTGTTTTGGTTAATCAAGGAATCGTAATTAAGGAAACCAACTCATAATCTTAGTTCCTCATTTTAAATCAAGTTTCGTTTTTATCTTATTTTCAGGTTGCCACCCCAGTGATTATCCCTGCTATGGAAGTCTCCCTCTGGACCCTGGACGAGATCTCTGCTGCTCTTGAGAGCCCCGTAACTAACCCTGTTCTGGTTCCTTACCTGGAGAATGCCCTCAACGTGATCATGGACGCCATGTTCGCAGGACACCAAGTGGTAAACGACTAAATTATATTTAATCTCATTTGATTATAGTTGCCTTAAACTGACTATAGTTTAAGTTTATTTTATATATCGTTGTCATTACATTAACATAAGTTATGTTATATGCAAAAGAATAGCCGAAAATTTACAAATTGCATTTCTAATTTCAGACTTCAGTTTGTGTTACCATCCCTGTTGGTGTACCCCTAGAGGTCCCCGTTGAGATCCCAGTCCAGCCCGTAGACGTACCCACCCTTCCCATTGAAGAGGCTCCTGCTGCCCCCAGTGCTCCTTCTAGCGCTCTAGTCCAAATCATCATCAACGTTAACACCGAAGTAAGTACATAAATTTTGTTGATCACATAAATGTTTATTATTAGCGGATGTTTATTGATACTATGTTTAAAATCTTTACAGGCCGCCGTTGCTCCTTCCCCCGTTGAGGTTCCTGTCAAGCCCGAACCAGTCATTGTTGTTGAGAAGCCCATTATCACTCCCGAACCGGTCATTGTTGTTGAAGGTCCACCCGCGGTGTCCCCAGTGATCGTCGCTAGCCCCGAAATCTAAGTTAACCCCATCGACATCAACGCCATCAACCCTCTCGATTAAGAAGTTCGGATCTGTTTTCGAAATGTACGCACTATAAAAATCGAATAAAACTGATTTATGATATAAAGAATCTTTGAGATTATTTCTTTAAGACAATTAATGCTTTAATATTGCATTAAGGGTAAATGCGTGTCATAAGTATTCGAGGAATGTAAAGAAAGAGAGTGAAATATTAAAATGTTCAAAGAGGTTTCGATGAAAGATTATCAAAAAGTTAATAACAGAGTCGTATACCCGCAATTGATCCGTCGAAGAGTGTGGCGGGATCCATATTTCACTGTGTGTTTGGAAATAATTGGTCATATGATATTTATTATTATTGCTATCGAAGTCTACAGCAGATCTAGTATTGATTCGTTGGTGTCGAATATAGTTTGTCAGCAATATCAGAGAGACATCACTAAGCCAGCTGTCGAACTAGAATTTAGCAAATTTCCGCGGGACTAAATTTATCGATAGTCCCGAATACTCGACTTCTCTGTGATGCTACACTAAAACTAATGCGCCCAGACCCGTACGTGAAAGCGGCAATCCATCAGTTTGGACTCGTCAAGGAAAAATCTTTGACCACGCTTTAAGTACAAAATTTATAAACGAAAAGTTGGATTATCGGGATCCAGGCATAAGCTTCCGAGTAGTGTTCTCTATTGTTTTACTATATCTATTGTCTTTAAATGCAAACTAGTATTCGTATTTCGCAATCAACACGTATTTTCAATGACTTGAATACGATTAATTTTAATTAATCCTCTTTGGAGAGCAAAAGAGTTCTCCATTTCAGGGCAAAGCCTCGATCGTCTTACCTCGTCTGTGCTCAGAGAGATACTCGCCCACTGGGTTTCTCGTCAGATCTTCCCCGTGGGTCGCGATTCCGATTCAGTGGTAGATTATGCCAAGTACTGCTCTTCTTGCCAGGGTTAGTGTTAGCAAATTCTCTCAGGTTGAGCCCGTGAGCTCACCTACTCATCTGGGTGTAGCCTCTTAGGCTACCAGGGAATAGGTAGGGAAAAAAGCATATTTGGTGGTATGAAAAGCTTGAGGAACACCGAATTATCCAAAATAAAAAATACCAGTAATGATACATTTAGGTAAAGACGAAACTGATAAGTGGTACAAAGTTTTTCATCGTGTTGGTCACACGATAAGAATTCTTTTGTTTTGTATTTATTGACAGGCTTTAGTGCTATCAATAAACAAAGAATAAATTTTTATTTTCAAACATCAGATACATACGATACGAACATAAGATAATTTAATTTTTTTTTATTGCCGTGTAGGCAGACGAGCATTAATACTAAAATGAAGCTAAAGATTTAAACCTCAGGGATTATGCCCGTTGTTTTTTTGTTGAGATATGAGTTCTAAGGTCTCATTAAAGACACAACGGCTGCCCCCCCTCAAGCCTAAACGCATTACTGCTTCACGACAGAAATTGTGGTGGTACATACCCGTGCGGGCTCACAACACGTTCTACCACCACTAATAATAATACCGCCAGTTATTGGGCGAACACTAGCCGTCCACAATTGCCGAGTCCAGTGCTATTGTATTGCAACGGGGACAACTGAATTCAATTCGTTTTAACGCCATTGATGGGTTTTTCACTTCTGTATGAATTGATTTTCTGTCTATTAAGGTTCGAGCAAATGTTTATCGATACTTTTTTTTCAAATTTAATATGCATACGATTAAGCTTTTTAGCTAACGTATTTTCGTAACATTAGCAGTTTTATTGTCTCTGCTTGCATTCTGACGTGCTAAAAATAAAAATTATTACATTTATTATTTTGCATCACTCATTCATTTCATTTAGTCTATCTAATATTGTTCGATTGGAATTGCGTTACAAATAGAAATATGGCAAAAATTTAATTTTTTTACTCTTATTAATTAGCTTAGTGCGATATGCATAATGTATGTGTGTGACTCACATGTATTAATTTATTTTATAATATCTATGTATAGATATAGATATTATAAAATAAATTATAATATATAAATCTACAGTGGTTTTTAGGGATGTTCCGTTATAACTACTGAACCATGCATCCGATTGACTTGAAACTTGGTATCCATGTAGAAAATACATGTACTCAATGGATAGGCTAATATTCGAGTCCCTAATAATAATGACAATAAATAATAATGTTAATTTTAAATGCTCAGCGAAGCGGGCGAGTACGGCTAGTTTTATTATAATTACACTACACAACAATACATATATACATGCTTTATTTTCACCCACATGTATCTAACTGTCGTTCTAGCAGGATCACATTTTCACTTTCTTTGGACATGTGTCGTGACGGGGTTACGACGCAGTGGAGCGCCTTGTGCTGCAATGGCGTTATTGAGAGTAAATGACCGCGCGTCTGTACACCGTTATGACGGACCGACCAAATAAAGGCAGTTCTAAACAATCCCGTCAACGAGCGCACAAGAAAGGCCGCGGTACGCGAGGAATGGAAGCCTACTGAGTTTCTCGCCGGATCTTCTCAGTGGGTCGCGTTTCCGATCCGGTAGTAGATTCTGAGAAGCACTGCTCTTGCTAGTGCCAGTGTTAACAACACCTCCGGTTGGAGCCTTGAGAGCTCACCTACATGCTAGGGTAACGCTGATATATAGGAAAAAAAAATAGGATGGCGACGTCTTGTTGAGCGCAACACCGCCGGAACTGATGATCATGACCAGCATGCAAACGACCAAGAAGAAGAATCTAACTCTTCCAAAGTCGAAAATGGAAGATATTTTTTCTATCTTCATATTGTAATTGCCTTGAAGAGGTGGGATTAAGAATAGGACGCTCGTTTACTCCTAATAAACGATACCACAGTACTAGTAGTAATCAAATCTCCCAGGCAGGTATCAATCAAAAACTGTTGCAGCGCATCTGTCCAAATCATTGTTTACCTCAATACCCATGTTAAGTACATTTTGACACTAAACTTCGTACTGTCACTTCGTCATACGTTATTAATACTATGCCGGCTTATCCGAGTTTCAATAACAACTCGATTGGATAAAGAACGCACGAACGGACAGTTGATAAAATTACTAGCAAATAAAGTAATCAATAATTTTGAGTATTTAGATAAGGCTTGATATATTAGAATGGTCATCAACATGAAGTCAGTGCCTAACGGATCCATAACAAAAATATTGAAATAAATCACTAGGTAAGGAAAATAAGGAACTGTATTTCACAGATTTTTTTTTCGATGTTTCTATTAAAGTAAATGTCTATTTCATCAACGAGCTGATTTTAATTAAATCCCATTTGGAGAGCCAGAGTTGTCCATTTAAGCTTCGATCGTCCTCATTAGAGCGTGTTCCGAGAGAAACTGTGATAGCCGGTTACTCGTATATCTCGGACGAGGCGCACAAAATACCAACACAATATATAATTCGTTATTAACAGTGTGCTTAGTGTGAGTTTTTTAACGTTCTCGATAGCGTAAAAGTTACCTGAAATTTGTATGCAGCTAAAACAGTGCATCTAGGGGCAAATGTTCCAACTCCATATAAATTTGACTTAACTTTTACGCTATCGAGAACGTTAAAAAACTCGCACTAAGCACACAGATCCCGAATCTAAGAGCACGAAAATGAACTCGGACTCGAACAGAATTCGCTTCAACACCGCTGATAAAAAATTCATTTCCGTAGAAATCTATTTACTAGTAGCAGACCCGGCCACACGTTGCTCTGGCTAAGGTTTTTGTTTCTAAATACACGTGGCCGGTTATGTTAATACTAAAAATTAACTAAGTAAGAACAATTGGATTCCACTGTATTGCGTTTACTACGAAATAAATTAATGCTTATGTGAAACGTTGGTATTTTTAACACAGCGCCATCTATGAGATATTCATGTCAGGGAGTATTACAATTGTCTGGAAAAACTGATTTAAGGCGCCATCTGTTTTAGACTTATGAAACTTACGATTAATAATAAACGTTTTATTGACCATTAATCGAAATAAAAACCATCCTATGGCCTAAGTTGGAACCAAACACATATTTAAAAAAAAGTTAAAATTGGTTCAGTAGTTTAGGTGACACGTAATTTATATATACATTTATTGTATAATAATATTAAGATAGTAATTAGACGGTACGAATAAACTCTACTTCGATGTCAAAGGTGCAGTGGCGCAAAGGAAATAACGGGATCACGTTAACTAATCCCACAGAGCACTCTCCATTGAACATCGGTACAAAACGCAGAGAGAACCCTCCGTAGACTGTTTTATATGCTGCTGAGAGACGCTGTGAAAATAGCAGCGGTGGCTATTCATTATCCCCGTATACTACTCAAATATTCTAACTTCTAATAATTATGTTTTTTTTTGGAACGAAGTTCCTTAAGGGACGATGCGGAGGGGTACCCTAACCGGGAAAAAACGTCCGTAAACTAAGATTTTTATTAGTAATGCACACAGTGTACTACTTAACTTTGTAATAACGTACAAATTAGTAATGCACACAGTGTACGACTTAACTTTGTAATAACGTACAAAAAATAACATTTATTTATCATTCATTGACCACGATCTCAGAGCGCTCGTTTGGGCAATACACTAATTCTTATGCAAACAACCGTGAATGAAGTGTACCACAATAAGTTCGCACGTTACCGTATGACCGTGGGTTGTTGCGAAACCTCCAGTTTTATTTTCTTTATACCTCAAATAGAACTTAAAATTAATATTTTTATATTAAGGGACTTCGTTCCTATCCGGTGTCCCATGACACCGCACATCCATTATTTATTTATTTTTTATTACATATATGGGTGGACAAGCTCACACCTCACCTGCTGTTAAGTTACCGGAGCCCATAGACATCTACAACGTAAATGACGCCACCCACCTTGAGATATGAATTCTAAGGTATCAGTATACCTATAGTTACAACGGGTACCCCACCCTTCAACCCGATACGCATTACTGCTTCAC